TCTGGTGACGATTCATGTTACCAATAAGACATAATACCGCAGTAGTGCAAAACATAAGTTATTTTCAATATCTACTTGCACTGTCATAGAAACGCTTTGACCTAAGTATGTTTTGTCTAGGTATTATTTAGTCTAACAAAAACATTTAAGGTCGAATAATACATGTTTTGCAATTACTGGTTTAAGAAAGAGATAATACCGAAGGGTAATTTAAATTGAAAATGTATAAAATACCCGTGGAAAAGAACAAAAAGAATAGGACCATGCGTTCCGGAAGAGAAAACCACTTCTGAGATCTGTCACGTAGATTTAAATCAGATCCAAGGAATATCAAGTTCTCATGGCGAGAACTGGGCAAAACGAAACATCAAGGCACACTAAGGAACATTTTAAAGTCACGAACCTTCATATCAAACAAAGAAATAGCATAAATACTAAGTTTGTTTTGAACACAAATAGGACTTGAACACTTATTTTGCGTGCTTTTGAAAATGTATGTTTCCCTTTTCAAGCAAATAGTGCAAATGACCAGTGTCTCGACTCTAAACCGCTAAAAACCTTAGTGGGCCGAATCAAGTAAAGTCAGCTGTCAAAAATCATATTTCGCCCAATTGCACTCTAATACTGCAGGCAGTCAGGGGAACGGGTGACATGTTTACCCATTTCGAATGCACTCTGTGATTGACAAAGGAAACAGACGTTTTCGAAAGCTCACAACATAAGTTTTCAAGTCCTGTTTGTGTTCAAAACAAACTCAGTCTTTATTATTCATACCAAACTGATGAAGCTTATTCCGAATAAAAGAAATTACATATTTTCCAATAGGAAATTGGTCATCAACAGAACTTCAACAGGACTTTGTAGTAAAGTCACATAATAAGAAATATTTTGATCTGCCATGACCACGATATATCGATTTAATTATATGGTTTGTTGTTGATATGAAGGTTAATGGGATGAGACCACAGATACCTGTATTAAAATTTCATTATCATAAGAACCGTTATGTCGGCTAACAATGTCTAAATAACTGATTCCGAATGATTAACATCATTGTACATTCCTATATTTTGTTATTGTTATAAATATAGCAAAATAGTAGTTCTATTGATGGTTATAAAGTCTATGTATGATCGATGTACTTTGCAAGGACAAAAACAATACCTTTCGTTTCTATCCCCTCCAAAACAGTTTTGATTTTTTTCATGTTGAGAGATGTCGCTGAACTGTTTTCAACTACACATTTAAGCGTATCTTTCTCTGGATTCCTCTCCTGCAAGCGCCGTAAACATTGGTATACCTGTTCGTATCTGTCGTCCGGATAATTATACTTCATTTCATCTATATCTTCCTAAGGTGTCCCCAATAAGTCCATAAACAGTTCCCATTTCGGACCAACGCAGCTTGCTATACGTGATAAATTTGCCTCGGAAATCCTCATCGATTGCACATCCTCTATAATAAACCAAAACATAACATTATCAGCATTAATATGATAACATTGATTTCTTTAGATATCACAATCAAATTGTCTTGTACATGTATTATAAATTATATTTAAACTGAAGGAAGAGTCCATCCGTACAATAACCTATGGCTATTAAAAGATGTAGCCCGCACCCGGCGATATCGTCCGCTTTCGGCTAAATAAGCCTGCACTCGGGTTTTATATTAGCTATACCCAATACTCACTCCTGGTCTGATTCAAAATTTATTAAAGAAAAAAAAAGGAAAAAAAAACAAATATTATGAAATATTATAAAATGATATTGTCAGCAAAAGCCTATTGGATTCATTAGAAAACAGCATTATGGTGTTAAATGATATAATTGACAAAGGAGTTTGGCCTGGTATTACAATGAGGTAGGATTATAAAGTCGGCATTAGAACCGCTCTATCACAAGGAGGAAAATACACCAACATGTCCTTCATCCAGCACTCATTTACATATGCACTTTTACAGTACACACATGGAGGCACATTAGTAAGTGACCTTGTTCGTTAATAGGACGTTGAACGAAATAAAAATAAATAAATAAAATAATAAATGTATAAATCACGATGCTTATAAAGGATAAAAAAAATAGTGTTATAAAATATAATATGGCCCTTGGGTCCGAGAGAAAATATTATAATATGACCCTTTGGCATGATATAAAAAAGTGTTGTAATATGACCCGTTAGTCTGGTATAGGTAGCTTGGGCAATCGCTTGTCTTATGTGAAAGTGGTGAAATTATAAGCTCTTAATATCGTCAATATCTTTACAGACATACTTCTGAAATGTAAAAAATTAAGCAACTTTTAAAAAGAACCATGCCCACATTTGATAATGAAGAAGGCGTTCTCAGATATATATTCTTTTTCTGAGCATTGAAGTGGTCGATTTAAAAAGATGGATATTTCTGAAATTATTCCAACTCGTAAATGTGTATTTTGAAATATTTCCATAGAAGTTATAATAATAATGGACTGGTCCAAAAACAACTCATGTTAGTGTTACCTCTTTTATGACACCCTTAGCTTGGATAATTGATAATCCGATAACTGATCCCCCCCCCCCCCTCCTTCCGAAAAAAACAACAACAAAAACCAACACAGAATTGTGAGACTGCTATGTAACTAAACGAATTTTGAATTGAGAAAAGAAGGCAATCCAGATCAGTCCAGTTTTGATCGAGTCTGGTTTAAAATGCATATAATATAAGTGCTGGCAGAAAGAGGAAGTTATAGTTACAGGACCTGGGCCCGTATTCATGAAACCGTTATCATGCTCAAGCATGGTATCTGTGCTCAAACCAACTTTCTGGTAACTCGCTTAGATCATTACAAACGATCAAAAAGTCATATGTAAACATTAACAACAGTATTTGGCTATAAGTCTCTTCAAAATGTTTCCAAATCATTGACAAGATAAGATTTATTTATTGAGTTATAACCAGAACAAGAAATTAGTCTTGAGCACAAAATCCATGCTTGACATGAGAACGGCTTCATGAATACGGGTCCTGGTAATTATTATCCCAGGGTATGATAATTTTGTTTTAAAAGGGCTATGTACAAAATATTTGGAGTATGTCAGCAATTGTTTTTTTTTTTTTACATATTCATAAAAACGATTTTTAACGCTAGGAGTATTTTTTTTTAATAACTATGCAATGCAATATATATTTCATGATAAGAATCTAAAGTATAATAGAAAAACATACCATGTCATCGCCATTTCATACAGACACAGTTTTAACCCAAAGTCGATAGAAACTGATAATGACGTGAAAAGAAACTAGAGGAGACGCATTATCATATACAAAGACACTATATCCTCATCGAAAAAAAACAAAAAATAAAAAACAGTTGCCCCGGTTTGGACAATTAAACGTTTCCTACACCCCGTAAAATATAAATGTCACCGACAAGCTTTTAGTGGTTATTTACTATAAGGAACTAGTCTACTAATAACGGCGTAATAGTTAAATAAACACACAGGCAGTACCTTGCATGCTGGATAGTTCGACTTCCTCAGCCACTGGGGTAAAAAAAGTAAAATAACCCAATTTTTAAAGCATTCGATATGCGTCCGGATTTATAGACAGAGTGGCAGGCAGACAGGTCCGCACTTAGTCAGGCTGGCTAAGAGGCAGCAAGCTAGGTGTACAGATACCCGTATCCACGTCCATACATACATACATACATATATTAATATAATAATAATAATCAATATTTGATATAGCGCCCTATCTAGCTAACATAAGCGACTCTAAAGCGCTGTATAGTACATAGAGAAACAATGTCTAGATTTGGTGATGGTTTTACTATCGACATCAGATGATTCAATTGTAGTCAGATACGTCCTTGCCTGAAATCATATTAAACAGACTACGTACGAAGACAGTGTATTGAAAACAACGCCACAATGCATTGAAAACAACATGACTTTACATTGAAAACAACATGACTTTACATTGAAAACAACGTGTGTAATCTTAAATATATAAATGATTGTGCAAGTATATTGCATTGGTTTCCACGTGGATGGAACAAATAACCAAATCCAGGTACTAATTATGGAGATGGATAGGCTTACCGTTCACAGCACGGAGACGAATGGTACAGAACGGATGAATGTACTTCGTATAAAGCCATGCAAAGAATGCCATCAAAGCCGAAATTATAATCTTCAGCCATACAGGGATATACTCTACAACTAAAACCATTATGTATCATCATTTTTAGTTCATTTTATGACAGTAAGTTTTACTTGATGATGAGTTCATATTTGTTTGGGAAAATAATCCTATTCAAATCATATATTTTTAATTTTATCTAAGCAACTAATTATAAAATTATATATGTGTTACAAAATATTACATTACATTGACCTATTATAAAACATGCCTATCTATAACATTACATAAATTGACTTTTAATGAAACATGTATATATGTATTAATTAAGCATTAGCGCGCATTATGTTGTTTGCTTGCAAAGCTGTGTCATTCAAATAGATCATAAATACCATACAAAAACAGTTCAATACTTATATTTACGTTTTCTCTACCTCTTATGTTCTTTTTTAACTTATAATTTGTATTTAAAATTTAAAATGCCCGCCTTATCGACAGTCCACACAATTTCGTTCAATAGTTTGAACAGCGTATTGTCGCGTGCTGATTGGCAAACAAAGTAGTACTTTGAAATTTTAACAAACACTTCAATTTTATTCCACAATTCAGTATNCCGTTTTATTTAAAAGAGAGTTTTTATTTTGAGCTCAAATATTTTCTGTCTTACAGTTATTTCTAGCCTAGTTTTCCCCATAATCAGTGGTCTCTTGTCTGTCGCCGTATTCTTTGGAATCAAGAAGTTAATTTTGTCAAAGGTATGTAAAACGTTCTTACAAGAATGCCTACTTACTTTCTGCATATAATAGCAATTTTCCATTCGACCCACCTGCTCTATACTATTTGATTTTGTAACCTTTGCAAAGCGGCATTTTTGAAATCAAAGGGTTCCATTCTGAAAAACATGAAATATGTCACGAAAAAATCTTCATTTTCATTACTTACTCCAGTACAAAAAAAATCTATCAGTCCACCAGGTACAGTGTCCCTGGTTAAATGCAGTATAATAAATCGATTAACTCACAAGTCGTAAGAGCTATTCCGTCTTTGCGTATTGCAGAGTTATCTTCTCTTGAGAGCAGGTATTGATTGTTACGTCATTGGTTTGTGTGAGAAACTTACGTCGTTTTCTCAAAAAATGATGACGTTCCTCTCACAAACAAATGACGTAACAATCAATACCTGCTCTCAAGAGAAGATAACTCTGCAATACGCAAAGACGGAATAGCTCTTACGACTTGTGAGTTAATCGATTTATTATACTGCATTTAACCAGGGACACTGTACCTGGTGGACTGATAGATTTTTTTTGTACTGGAGTAAGTAATGAAAATGAAGATTTTTTCGTGACATATTTCATGTTTTTCAGAATGGAACCCTTTGATTTCAAAAATGCCGCTTTGCAAAGGTTACAAAATCAAATAGTATAGAGCAGGTGGGTCGAATGGAAAATTGCTATTATATGCAGAAAGTAAGTAGGCATTCTTGTAAGAACGTTTTACATACCTTTGACAAAATTAACTTCTTGATTCCAAAGAATACGGCGACAGACAAGAGACCACTGATTATGGGGAAAACTAGGCTAGAAATAACTGTAAGACAGAAAATATTTGAGCTCAAAATAAAAACTCTCTTTTAAATAAAACGGCTATGACGTCATAAGTAAACAACGTGTTACGTCACGAGAGATTTTGCTTTCACACTAAAATGAAGTGCATTTGGTTATGTTCATATAGTGGGTTGCAGCGCAAATGTAAATATATACATATTAATTTAAAATTACAATTACGTCCTTGAACGTCATTTGAAACCCTTTCTTGGTTAAATATGTCAACTTGAGATGATTCCTTAAAGGGGGTTGTTAATCAGTAAATGTTATTGAAAATCTACTTACGTTATTTTCGCATGATTAAAATTGTGATATTTCACTTCTGAATCTATTCGCAGAGTCATCAATTGGAATTTTCGTTTGATATTCATACTTACTTATAGTAAAGATGATTAAGTTTATATCAGAAACAGTTTGATGGGAAATAGGTGTGTTATCATTGTCCAGGGACCATAACTTTAAAAATGGAACTTAATCATAACCTGCCATTTATGAAATTATTTAATATACCTACATGGGTGATACGTGAACATCGGCCTTGGCTCTTAGAATAAAATTGAAATTTAATCATAATGAATTTACCGCGGCACGGTAGTCTAGTGGAAGGACGCCAGGCTCGTGACCGAAAGGTTGGAGGGTTCGAGTCACGGCACGCACTATGCTGTATATTTGAACAAGATACTTTACTCTGCTTTTTCCAGTCTACTCGGCTGTAAATGAGTACGCGGTTGGGCAGTTCTATAATTGTTGAACACTACCTGTGAGCGTTGAATTGGCAGCACCGGCCGTATGCTCTCCAGGGAGTTGAGAAAGATATAAGCTGGTTGCAAAGGCCCTATAACCACGGATAATATTTTGTGAACCTTTTTGAGACGACCTGTGAACTAGGTAGTGAAAAAGCGGTATATAAGTACCACGAATTATTATTATTATTATTATTATAATCTGTCATTTATGAATCTATCCAACATACCTACATGGGTTATCTCCCATTGTATGAAACCCGTCACATCTGGAATGGCAACATACACACCGATCTGAGCAAGAAACATATTCATCATGCCCGATGAAGGTAATTTGATTATTAAGGGCAAACACACCGAAGATGTTCCTAGAAAGAAAAAAAAATACAGTCATGGTTTTATTTTAAGTAAGTGGTTTGCATAGCATAAACATTGGGATTACAAAATGAGAAAACAAAAGTCAATACAACGAATCATGTAGTAGCCAAAATGTAACGAGACCTTAATACATAGCGCATCTTACATGAATGAATATGTCACGTTGAATTTATTAAACGAGTTCAATAATTTAAAAGACACGAGCATTAAGGTCACGGACATGAATGTATGATTCTATTTATCACATAACATAAATAATTTGCAAACAAACTTCAAATACAATTACGTGTTATCGTTTATATGTGTTTTAAATGCAATGAAAATAATTAAATTTATACCATACCAAAAACACTTTAAATTTATTTTAAATTACAGACAATGTTTCATGTGGTAGAGTAAAAATAATATCAGTACCTGTAGTGGTGCAGGACTATGTTCCCAGGGTTTGGACCAATCGCAGCACCTTCACGTTTTATCACACGTGTGTATTACCATATTTATGACATGGCCGCATGACATAGTAGAATGAGTCAGTTATTTGATTGGGACACTTACCTATTAACATTGTGATGTCAAAAATCACCTTCTGCTTTTCACTAATATTGAGGTAGCCAGTGGGGTATTTCTCCGTAACAGCTATTGGTCCGGCATAGTTGCTTTGCATTGCGTCATATCCATGTGGGGTTGCACCAAAAGGTATTGATCTTGATACTTAAAAGTGAACAACGATATATGCGTTTGAATAGATTATAACAGAAAGAAATAATTGTATCTCTGAAAAGCAGTATTGTTATTAAATTAAATTTTTGTTCCATCTTGCAGTGTTATTTTGGCGAAAAAAAGCGAAAATTACTTATTTACAGTATTAAATCAATACGTTGGGAATTTCTTTTCGAAATTGTCATTTCGTAAATCATTATGATCAAGTACCAGTTAGAATGGCTGCAATGGACACAACTATGGCTGTGACGATGTTTGCTTTTCTATGTGTCCAATATTTCGACCGTATTAACGTCGCTGGCAACAACGCCACGTCAACGGAACCTAAAACAAATGCACAGAAAAGTGGAGCAATCCAACTACAGGTGGTTAGCAGAACATCGTCGGAGTACCCCATCCTGACAGAGCGTGTTGACAGTCGCACGAAGAGGAAGTCCTGGAAAACAATTAATGCGTTATGAAATATAAATATATGTAGCCATGGCCCATCTTTATAGTAATAAAAGAAATAAGCATATTCATTTTTAATTAAGAAAAAAAATGCATATACATTTCACTGGAAGCTGATTAGGTCATGTTTTGGCTGAATTAATGTAGCATTATATTAACTGCAAAATAAAGAATTGACGACCAGCATCAAATCTCCGACGCCACAAATTAGATCGCTTAAGTACATAGTCATCCTTAAACTTCCAGTGATAGCTCTCTCCTGCGTTCTTTACATCCCTGTTATATGTTTTAAGAAATCGAAGGATCTTTACTCGCCACCATGTGGATGATACATGTAGACTAATTTGATCCTTTGATTTACACAAAAAAGTCGCCCCGCAGCGTAACGGTAAAATGGAAGATGGGTGCGCACCACTGTTATCGTCCAAGGAAAGCTATCAGCCTATTGATAGGTAAATCAAATAGCTTACCCCGTGCCCTCGATTATGTCTTGACATACTCTAGGGACGCAGAGAACATAGTCCTTATAGAACGTCGATGATGGTATATGTTATACAAATAAACTGAAAAATATTTAATTAATCATTTTCACTAATTAACAGGAGTGCTAAGTGACAGATGTAGTGTTTGTTCTATACATGTCACACAATGCCGACTTATTATTAATACCCGATATTTTGCTGTATTAAAGCAGTGTAATATGTCATTTCACATGTGATGTCAAAGGTATATCATGACACCAGAATTACGGAGCATTACTATAGATGAAACCATTATGAACTTAAAGATAACATCGTTGAAACCAATTAACATAAAAAAATAATCCAGAGAAAATGTTATTTTCAGAACTATTGAATGATGATGTTTTTAATATTCTGTGATAAACATGATATTGATAATAAGAAATATAAGCAATTGAATCGCGTTTATGATATGATTCCAGTTAAGAAAAGACATTCATCTATTTATTTATTTATGTATGATACTTTATCTCCAGAGTGACACCTGAATGCATACATAACTAATCAAAATCAGTAATAAATATTGATACAATTATAGATGTCAACATGTTTTGTCTCGCGAAATATTAATTATTTACGAATATAATCCTTGAAATACCATCTTGTTCAGGCAATTCACAATAAAAAGAGCATTGATAAGTGGCGAGATAAACGGGGTATTCGAGATGCCCTGACAACCTGTTGTAATTGGTCATAGTTTAAGTAGTTATAAATACACGTATATTTATTACAGAAGATTTAAATAGCAACGACCTTCACATACCGTTTATTTTTAAAATTTATTTTAAGTACCCATTCATTGATCAGCTGACTGTAAACTTCCTATTATTTCATATAGTTACCTCATACGATGTTGCGCGATTAAATACACAATTGCATTTCTTTATATAAGTCGCTCTTGCTAAAAACTTTTTCCTTTTTATGTTAAAGACGAAAATTCATTTTCCTCATATGCGAGAGAATAGAATAATGACATTGACATTATATTTCTATTCACGTATGATCTAATAGTTTGCACAAAAATAGAATATGCATGTCTATACACACACAGTGGACAATTTAAAGCATAGTCGCCTAATATAGCATTAGGTTCGAGATCAGGCACAACCATTACCATGGACTCAGAAATGATGACATAACGCGGGTATTAGAGATACCTTGATTTTGTGTTTTGCGACAGGTATTAAAAAAAAGTTGTAGAAGAAGATGATAATATTACCTAATATTTAAATATAACTCCTACCTCCGCTCTAAATGTTTATATTAACAACTCATTCGTTTACGGTTATTTATACTTCCGTGTACTTCATGCTCAAGAAAAATATTTTTATGTTAAGGTTAATAACGCAAACATATTTTCATGTGCATGTAACAGAAAATAGAATTAGAAAGAACTTTAAAATTGGTTACCTTGTTAACGTTTAAGTTAAAATATGCACACCAGTTAAACATGACTGTACACTTTTAGAGGTATATTTAGACCATTGTCCATTGAAATATAAATCAGTGCGTATTAGACAAAAATATCACCACTACTCTAAAAGTAAACCATAGAGATGGGTTTTTTTCTAATACAGAAATTCATAAATTATCCCATAGATTAATTTCAATGAAAATACAATGGACAAACTGTGAGGGCTTTGAACTTACGCAGTTCACTCATACGAACTTACAAGCATACTGTAAATCTGCTTGCAATCTGAACTGCAGATACAGTATTTTATAAAAAAAAAAAAAAACATATTTTCTAAGATATGTGATTATTGAAAATGTGTTATTCTTATATAAATGCATGCATTGAAATGTACTTACAATTTCTTCGCGACCACCAAAGTGTCCTGGGTTGAATGAATATGAAGTCTATATATAGGCTAAAATCTTACGTCATGAGTGAAATTACATCACCTAACTATAATGCCTAGTATTTTTTTTATTTTTTTTTATAAAATGTCTGTATAAGTCATACAGCTATTTAATTCTCGTAACATTTTATTTTTTAATACCAATTAATCCTATACTGCAGTAGACTTTACATGAAACTATGAAACAATACTACAGCTTAAAATACATCAACAAAAAAAGTTATCACTTATGAAATAAACTGATGTTATATTCCACTATCCCCTCGATTATCTTGTATATATTCCTTTAAACAGATAAGATGGTGTCGTGAATATTTTCCATATAAAATATGTTTGTATATGTTTGTTTAAATTTTATAACAATTTTGACATCTACAGTTCTTGTATGGCTCAAAGATACGGTATATCTACTAGTAATGTATCAACATATCACAATATTCCGTAAATGCATGTACTAGCTGTTATTTCCTAGCTCCTTGCTCGGCAACACCTCACTTTTGGCTTGAATGTTGAGAGTTCGCCCTGGTGAGGAAGGCAATGGCTTCTGTCCCGAGGCCGGGACATACCAAAGTCCTTAAAAATGGTAGATGTTATTCCTTGCTTAACATTCAGCATTAAGGGGAATGGCAACAACTAGTTCACCCGTTGTCGGTATAATGTGACCGGACGTAATGCTGTGTTTGGTGCCTTTGTGGTATTTCAGTGAAATAGCACTATAAAGTCGGCATCAGATCCGCGCTATCACAGAGAGGCAAGCACGCCAACATACCCTGTCTCCTGCATACACACACGCAAGCACGCATATATAACACGCATGGAGGCACCTCCTTAAATGACCTTAGCTGTTAATAGGACGTTAAACAAAATTAAACCAATCATGTGTAAATGTTCATGCTTATTACATCTAAAATATACTAAGCCATATTTATGGCGTCGTCCTTTTGCCTTTAAGCTTGTACAACTCCTGTATGTAAGGAATGGAAAACAACTAAATTATCTTTGTAATTTTGTGTGTGTATTGCCACTGCCAGGCGTGACAGCTACTAGTATATATAAAATCATTCTGTTATCTTGTATAGTACACTTATTTATTGCATGATTTATGACACGGAGCGAAACTGTTACACGTTGTCCAGCCTCCGTTATCTTGTATTTACATTTACTATGTTTAGCATATGTACATGTTATTAATACGTGAAATATACTTGGATCAGTGATGCGCAGCTAGGGTTGGTCTATGAAATGAATGCTTCAGATGCTGAATTTGATTTTTTATTTACGCTTCAATGCATATGTCTTACAGAGTATATTGTATACCAGGTTTAATTGATTAGTTCGTCCATATGTCGGTACCTGTAAGTGATTGAAGATTTTTGCTTGCATCGACTTGGTCTAATTGTGACTCTTCAATGACAAATTAAATACGAAAAGGTCTAATCCAAATAAGGGATTGCATAGCTGTTATTTAAGTGCATTTGATCCTTGCAACATTTACATCCATCATATACATATGTAGCTCACAACCCCGGCACAAACAAAATTTTAGCAAAACTTGTGGTCTTTTACTACAATGAGCTCTTGATAGCGCGAGTTTCATCTGGTCCTGTCACTAGACTTGTATATATATAATTTATAATAAAAAGACATTTCGACAGGTAGATACCACGCCAGACATATATCTGTCAAAATGTCAAAGCCTGGTGTCAGGGCCAGAGGAAACTTGAGATACTAACACCAGACATATATCTGTCAAAATATCTAAGTCTGGTGTCAGGGCCAGAGGAAACTCAGACTAGACTCTATAACTCATTCACCCCTAAATTTTCATAATGAACTATTCCAACCTTTGAATTGGAAGAGTTCAAATGTGTCTTCAGGGGTGAAGGAGTTAATTGGTTCTGTAGAGGTCCTTTACAGGAAAAGTTGTGGACAGACGAACACAATGCACCATCACATAAGCTCACAGGTTCTTCATTTTGTACCAGGTGATTTAACAAGACAAGAACAATGGATATGTTTGTTTGATTATTTTTATTCAGGTTTGTATAAAAAAATGATCATTCATTAAAAATATCTGACAGCTTATATATACAACAATATAATTACAATCTTTTTTATGATAATCACATATAAAATGAACCAATATGATATGTATATATTGACTTTCTTTAAAATCTACACCCATTCTCTTTGATATGTTAAATGACGATTATACATATAATATATGTATTTTAGTGGGAATCATTACACAGAACTAAGAAAATCCTGAAAATGTATGTCCCAATATGATTATTTTATTTTCAGAGCCATACTTGATGAATTAAGGATTACAATTGCTTAAAATTTGCTTTGGAAGAGAACTGGAAACTGAAAATCTAGGTATATAAAATGTTCACTGATCTGGAAGAATCCATTATAGTCTACAGTGATGAAAGGGTTCACCTGGTTTTATCAGATGACATTTAATTAATATGACTATCATTCTTTTTTTTTGTTTCAAATTTTCATGATATGTAGCTGGATTAGATTGTTGAAAAGGTGGAAATGATCAGGTGTGAAAGTTTTTGTGTTCAGATACTTCAACCTAATCAAAAGGTTAGAAATTGTGACACTGACCATGGTTCTGAAAACTTTTAAAGATATACATTTGTAATCCAAATATTTTCATGCTAATTTACTCTATGCAGAGAATAATGCTAACATTTTTACACGCCAGCAATTTCGACTTTTACAATTAAAAAAAAAAAAATGCATGAAAAAAGGGTGGTTTTGTTACATATTCATCCTCCAGACTAGGTCAAGTTAAAACCAAGTAAAAAACAAAATTATCCTAATTGAAATGATACCGCTCTAATTAACCAACTGAGCTTCTTGATTGGTCAATTTTGTTTTGGCCTTATCAACATACACATATCTATAGATTTAATGATTTTTTGAGCTATCATATCATAGTTTAAGTTTAAATAATTTAGAGTGGAAAGCTGTTATTTCTTCCTAACAATGAATTACTGCCATCATTTGTTGAGTGAAAGTGCATTACATTGACAAAGTGTACAAATTAGTTTGGAACTCATTCACCCCTGAAATTTTATAATAAATTATTCCATCCTTTGAATTGGAGGAGTTCAAATGTGTCTTAAGGGGTGAATGAGTTTAAGATATTTTGGTTTAACACAGTTTAATAGGAATTTGAAAACTAATGGAATGCATGGCACATTTATTAACAGAAAAATGGAATGTAAACTTTAAAATGAAAAGTAATTCAATCATTTCTATATACATGTATATTTATCTATTTACATTATTTTGTGTTTCTTGTCTCCTCACACGATATATTTACAAATGTGAAAAAAAAATGAAATTGTTGAAATGATATTTATATACAATGTTATGACAAATTAAAATCATAATTTCTGAATATAATTAATAGCCATAGGATCAACCTATGGAAATTCTATTGAAGATTCTTTTGCATCATATATACTGATGTATACTAAGATTTCATCTTTTTCCTGTAGCTTATATGTAGCTACATTCTCCACGTGTCTTATCAGTTTTTGTAACAGCCAGGATTTTCAGTTGACCTTCAACCAAAACCTTAAGAAATTTAGAGGTTCAAAACATTCTTCAAAATCCAAGAGTTAAAGCTAAATTTGGGAAATTAAAAAATATATACTCTCAGGGGGTCTACTGAAAACCCGGACTCGGACTGTGGTTTATCTCTGGTTATCTCCCTTTGATAAATATGTGATCACACATTTAATTAACCCTTTCACCCCTATGTAACTTTAATAGACTCTACCATGCATTGAAATGGATGAGTTCATTATGGTCTTCAGCGGTGAAAGGGTTATACACAAACAGTTAAAAATCTTTGAAAGTATCAAAGAAAATATATAAATGAAAAGAATATATTCCTTACTTCTTATCTTAGGTAGGCTGCTAATGATCAGGTGTTCAACGGGTTCAGTATTGAAGTGTAATATGAGATGTTTAAAAATAAATTCCATTTACAGTATAAACATATGTATATTTCAAATTTTCTATGAAAGCAAACCATATACATGTTACTCTGTACCAGTTAAAGATCCAGACTGGAGCATTTTATTTTCCTGAATTTTTCAAAATTCCATTAAAATTTGGACCCGATCATGACAATAACGGTAAAAATACAAAATCAATTGTATTTCTTAACAAAACAAGAGTATTTTAGGCATTTCACATTTAACTTACGTCAATACTCTTGAAACTATCAATCATTTGAAATTTTTGAAGATTTTTTATAACAGCACATACTGTAGTGCATTTTATGGAGCTTATTTTGAATTGAAAAAGGGGGCGGAGGAACACCCCCAAAAAACTGCATAGTTCATACTAAGGATTTTAACATTAGAAATTTTACCAATGATGCACTTTCTATACAGGAATTTGAATCATAAATGAATCACACGGAAAAAATAAGAGCCTAATTTATGGACGGCAAAGTCTATACATTGACAGGTACATAGCTTGACGGGGAAGTTCATCTTTGCCAGAAAAGCTTAATATGGTTGTTTTGTGTCCTTTATAGAAGGAGAATACTAAAAAATATATAAAAAAAATGGAATTTCCTTCACAATTCTAACAGATACTGTGGTTCTGCTTTCCTTAATTCTAACTGAAAATACTTTAATGCACGGTATATAATATTTTGTATGGTGTTTCAAATAATATTTATTGCAAGGTTTAAACGATATATAAAAAAAAATGTACCTTACAAATGTCAAGACATTTACATCAGGTGTACATTATAAAATGTACTGTACGCCAAGATACTTTCGCCCAGTCAAACTTTCGCTGTTAAAATTCATATATTTTATTCTCCCAGTGATAATTTTGCCTGTCATATTTGACTGGGTTTATAATATTGTTTATCAACATCTATAATGATGAAATATTTTTTTTGTACCTCTGCTAAAAGACAATGTTTGACAATACCCACTACCAGAATGACTACAAAGTCCAAGTGTCTGTATTTCTTTTTTTCAGGAAGCCAATAAAATTTGAAGAAAACTTCACCTAAATACAAGTAGAATACATAAGATTAAATTGATATATGTGCAGCACTCAAACGAAAGATTCTGATTTTCCTGTGGCAGTGCTTTCCATCCCTAGTGCACTTGCTGCCGGAGGGGGAGGGGGACGATGTTTGTCAACGACGCGTGCCGTGCCTCTCTTCTTCTTTTTACGAATGTCTGTAGATTTGATGAAAGCTGCGAGCCCACCAAATGCCGAGAAAAACCCAGACAGGACGTAGAATCCGAACGAAAACGAGAAGTAACTCAGCCACGGTCTGGGCATCCAGTTGGGATCTTTGGCCTTCATGGCAAACACCAGCGAGCAGATAAGTACCAGAACGCCTGTAAAAGTAAGGGTCAAAGTTGATATATATATACAAAATCAGTTGCTGTGTATTAAATAACACATATCTCTCCTAAATACTCATTGTTAGATTATAATTCTGTTGATTCATGATCATGCTATAGCAGGTAATTAACATCCATATTTTATGATGCCATTTCAAGTATGACATCACAATGCTTTCTGCCAAATGCATCTACCGGGTAATGTAACAATTATCTATCAAGGACTCTTATTGTTGCAAATGTGTGGTTAATTGGACCTACATTGTAAGTCTTAGTAAGAAAGTGATATTGATTTCGTTAATTTTGAATTTGTATACACAAGACTGTTTATAATAAAACTCAGCAGTTCCATCTTCTCAGTATCTTTTAATTACTATGAACATCATATAAATATACAGGTAGAAAATACAACTACCATTTAAACAAGATATTTACAGATTGATTAAACAAAACAAAATGTTTCCCTTTTGTCAAACCAGATTTTCTTCAATTAAATATTTTTTCAATATCTGAAATTTATAAAGAATGAAATTTAACATGCCATTCTTTTTTCAAATATTTATGATATTCAGTTGTTTATTACCTTTTAAAAATATTCTACAACTGTTAATGGGCGCACCATAGCTAAATGCTATATACTGCAGATATTTATACATGAATTTCAACTTACATTTTAACCCTTTTACCCCTATGTAACTTTAGTAGACTCTACCATGCATTGATCTGGATGAGTCCATTATGGTCTAGAGTGGTGAAAGGGTTCAGGTAATGCAACATACTGCTTTTCTCCTTATTATCTTATATAATAATTATAAAACATTTCAATTTCTTATAGGGTTCTCTCCAACATTTTATTTTAAGCTGACATGTTTCATTGTCGACAGATCTATATGCTGTAGCTATATAGGCAGACAGGACACAATGTATAGCATGCAACACAAAAAGCGCATATTGGAAGTGGAGATGAAGACAAAGTCCTTAATTTTCCCCACTTTAAACACTTGCATTACCAGTATTCTGGCACATTTAAAACAAAAGGATTAATTCTTATACAGTTGATCAAATTGACTGGAGATTTTTGAGAGAGCAAAATCATATCTGAATAGTTCATGCTCTATTTTTTTTAATGGACAAAATCTGGAGCAACTATTCAAAATGTTCAGTTGTCAATTTACCTGAAGCGAAGAAGAGAACAGCAGTGATGACAAACAACCTGAGTTTTCGTGGCTCGTAGTATTTGATCCTGACGGACTCGCACATGTAGGAACTCATAAGGAAGACAACGGCTATACAGCACAGCAGGGTGAAGATGACCAGTGCCTGGACAGCACGGAACCATGCTGGTGACAAAAATACAGATATTTAGGACAGGACAATAGATTCTTCATAGTTTTAAATACATTGTTTTACAAAATGTCAATACAATTTAGAAATTTGAACATTGATGTTACAAGCGAATGATTCACTGACTCCAAAAAAATACATAATCAGCTCGGCAGAGCAGGGACATTTTTATAGTGTTGTAAAAGATTTTCGGAAGCAAAACATAGATTTTCATTGATGATACTGTATATATATCAATGTACATTGTACGTGTGTCAATTGCCTGTTACCAGGTATATGGTGCAATTGGTTAGAATATCTACTACCGTTCTTTGAGAAGTCAGGTTGAAGTTAGGCATTATGCATTTCCCCCTTCCCTGTCACAGTCTAGTAAACAACCATTGTTTCAGGTATTGGATGTACACGGTGGCAACAGGGATACCAAAAACAAGGTTCAGACTCACTTGTACGTAGTGCTGTACATGTCTTTGGGAGCAAATACCGGTAACTCAGAATAAAGAGGGATCGGGGGAAGTAGCAAAATTTGACTGGGTTGATTGCCAGCTAGCTGTGACAATGTTTCTGAGTTGGCTAGAGTGCCCATTTAATTTAGAGGTCATAAGGTACAAATACCGGTCTTTCTGTGCATTTATATGTATTTATTATTGTACATTTATTATATTGTCAAAGGTGGTAGGTACAGTGACTGGGTTAATTAGTGATTCCTCTGGCCTGGCCGTTACATGTACACCAGATTAGAAACTTGTGACATTTTAACAGAACTATGTGCTAGTGTTGGGGGCTACACATATATAGCGCAATATAAGTTTTGCGTCAGATGGAGCACTCTCAATTCTGGGGTACAGGTGTATATATATGTACATTGTCATATACTGATCAAAACCATATCAGTCACCAATCGCTGTTCAACTAGTACTCTGTCCATTGCTACAAACCAACTCCCTCAGCTAAAATGTCCTAAGAATTTCGAGGCTAGGGGAAACTATATAATTAAGAGGCCATATTATAAATTGATAACAGAAGATAGAGAAATGCAAAGTCCATACCAGGATTTGGACCTAGGAGTCTTAAAAGAGTCAAAACTGTGATAGATGGTCTAACAATTGAGGTACCTGGTCGCGGACGATCGACCCAGTCCACCGTTACGCTACATAATATGAAATGTTCTATTTTTCCACACAGGAAAAAATATAATGATCTTTATGCAATTTTTTTTTTACAAGTTTAAAACAAATTAATATTAACTCAAAAGAGCTACTCTTAAGACAATAATAACAATGAGATATAATATGACATAAACACAACAAATAAATATAACTATCTCACATAATGGTAGCATTTATAATAAAGTAACACCACTTTCAAGTTTTTAAGTGAAGGTTTTATTTTGAAGAAAAAAAGAAAGAACTAGTCATTATAAGCAACACTGATATGAACATTTCTAGTGAAACTGAGGTCAGTCTGGCTTTTGGTAAAGGTAAACCGAGACAATTTAAAGCTTATATCTTACCTATAGTCAAAACAAGAGTTAAGTCCCCTTGATTATGATTCATGATCAATTACATTCAAAAAGTAGCTTAAATCATGATAGTTTCTATATAATTACTTCTAAACTTTGCTAAGACAAGTTCATATAATAAAATGTAATCGTCTAGGGTAGAACAATGTCGAAAAATATAATAATAACAGGTGAATCATGATTTGACCTACATTTTGATTACCTTTATTTACACCTGTAAATTGGTCATACTTACGCGGCATAATGTCGTCAAAAACCTCCTCAAAGAAAGTAGAGTGTATCCACCAGCATCCTACGTATGACCTCAAATTAGGATCTCTTGGTTTCACCCAGCCTGATAGACAAATTTGCCACATGCCTACATTGGCGAGCGGGCTGTGAACCCTTCCCCAAGATTTGAACCAATACGGCGATGCAAACGCTATGAAGACCAGCAACAGGGAAGCGAGTGCACACATGTAGGAGAACCAATATACATAGCCTAAACCTGCTTCTCGAATTCGTCTCCTTTCTGATGCTGTCGTGGTGGCATCTGTAACCACAGATCCACCCACATTCGAGTCTGCTCCCCAATCTCTTCTTCCCCTTACCATAGCCATTTTGTTATGTCTACCTGTTTGTTCCGTTGGGCGAGTCGATTTTCGCACCTGTGTTAGCTTCCTGTTTCCGCCGTTCGAGTTACCTCGGGACTTTACATATCTTTACACAACTCAAAATGGAATCGTAAATTCCAACGGGTAGACAGGTTTACTATTGAAAGCTATTAAAAGAAATTAAAAATGAATGCATGTTTACATAATTTAAACAAGGGAGATATCAGTTGTTTTAAATGAATGAAATAAAGAAAAAAAAAGAAACAACAATACATCAACTAAGATTATACATTATCCTACCTGCGTTGTTGACATTCTTGGTCCCTGACATCACCTTCCTATTTTTTTTGTCTCGGACTTCTTCATTGTTACTTTACACAATAATTTTACAAAAGAAATGCTTCTGTATGTGAAGAGTCGGAGTCGTAATTTATCCCGTAGAGTACCAAAGCCATTTCTTTTTATTTCTTTGTTTGGTTAATTCATGATCAAATCTAACAGAGATTTGAAATTACACCGTATTACCAGAAGTTTTATGAACGACTTAAAAAATAAGAGCTGAGCCTTAATTAATTACCACGTGTTTTCACCTAATTTTCCTACGATAGATTGATGATTGATAAATAAATGAAGAATTATATTCGACACCTTATGATAGTTTCTCGTGTTGCATGTGAAACACGAGACACCATCCCGTACACATTTCTGAATATGTACTTGAAGTGTTACCTCCCTTATTCTGCTGGTATCTGCTAAAGTGAATATATTTATAACTGAATTGTCACTTAATTATTCTACGGATTCAGATAATAATCTAATTCCGTCGTTATTCTAACAAATTTACTTTACAGAATATAAATATTCGTGATCTAAACAAGCTCAGACTGAAAAGCCATTTTTTTGCCCGATAGTTTTTCATTGATATAACTTTATTTGATATTTTAAATAGTTTGTTTAACCATGGACTTCAGTTATAGATAGCAATATATAATTCCGTGGTTTAACATCCTTTCTGTAAACATTTGGTTCGAATTAATAATGAAGTACAGTCTTTATCATGAACCATGCCTCTACTCAAAAACAGATAATTAAGGCTATCAAGCTGAAGGTTACGTCAAACCTCGGGCCGGAGTAAGAAATCTACCAGCAGAATATAACAACTTTGTAAATGTATCTCGAAGGATGCAAAAAAATACGTTTACAGGTGGTTGTCCTTGTTAAATGTAGTCATAATGTATACTAAAATCTAATCACACTGCAGCGTACAGCTGCTTCGTCGTTCTACCGGTGATGCTAGACTATATATTAGCTACAGCAAGAGACTACGGCGCTATATGATCCGAATTTGGTGGAGGGATTGTGCGATCTCGCCGCTCAAGGAAAAACTCGTGGACACAGTAAAAAATATATACCCAAACAACATTGTAATTTGAATATTAGAAAACATTACTTTACTCAAAGAATAATTTATATCTGGAATAGTCTCACACAAGATGTTATTCCATCTTGTAACGTATTTGACTTTGAGAAAAACTTGAATGAATTCTGGAAAAATCTTGAGTTGAAGTACATCATACAGCGTCGTACGTATAGACTTATTTTATGTTTACCACATTGTATTTCAAATTATATCGATGTTGATATAGAGACAGCAGTGCCTGCGTCCACTTATATCCCATTAAACAAACTAACAAAGACTACCGTGCTTATAATACAGTTTCCGAGTTACGCAGTAATTCTATTACGTCATTATGTATGTCATTTTTAAAAAGCGTAATATGAAAAAAAATACATATTGTAGTGATGATTAGATAAACAATTTCATATAACCAAAATGTATGTATGAAATAGTTCATGGTTGTGAGAAACAAATGTATTCAATTTTGTTTACTATTTCATATGAAATTGATGAAATTCGTCCCGAAGTTGTCACTGAAGCTGAGCTTAAACAATATTTTATTATTCAACAATTACATGCATAATAACAATCATACAAAACACACGAAGTAGATGAATAAGGATTTGCAAGTCATCTTCCTTTGTTTGGTCTGCATGCATGGCTATATTAACTAATGTTGTTGAACATTGCAAATGTTTCTATATTTTCATAAGGTATATCCAGAGTTAAAAGAGATATCTCAATACGTTGATGAGATATTCCCTAACATTAATACCGCTTTCTCCTTTAAGTATTAGTTGTTCAGATGGACTGTCATATTGTTCTGTTTGTCATCCCGAGTAAGGTATTGCCAGTGATGGTATGTAGTTTCGACCTCATTCTACATACACATATTACAATATCTGATTTATAGAAACAGTTTCCGATTTAATTATTATTATTTTTATCTTGCAACCAATTATTACAATATCAATATGCTTATACTTACCCAAACACAATCGTTAAGCTAATGATATATAAGAAACGAGTACAATTCATGAAATTCAGAGGATGTATACAATGATCTATCAGGAACATTTAAGCATATAAAAACTCGTATCAATACAGATGTTGAAAAAAGGGATGACATTGAAAAGAATTGACAGCTTACAAACAGGGTAAACATCTTAAAAGCAATACATATATATATATATATGATAAACTTATATTACACGGCATTCAAAAGGAAAGGGATAAGGGGCCTTCACTGGTTCAACAAAAGATAAGTATAAGTGTGATATAAAACCGTTTGTTTCTACTTACAACCAATATAACGTTAATATGTTTCCAATTTTAAAAAGCTCAGAAAACTTTATGAAGACAGATGAACGTATGGGGGTGATCCGTTGCAGAAAGAAAATCATAAACTATAAAAGACAACCTAAACATTTGAAAAGTACTTTTTTTCTAAAGTTTATTTTTTCTAAACAAAATATACGTGCGTCGAAATGTAACAAAACAAGATGTGATGTTTGTAGTACATTCAAAAATGGGGAAAAAATGAGGTAAAAGCTAATATGAACTGTACATCTCGGAACGTTGTTTATTAAATGATCTGTGTTAATTGTGCTGAATTTTACATTGGACAAACTGGTTGTGAATTGCTTCAACGTATGACACTTCACAGACAACAAACAAAAACGACCATCTTATATTTTTAACATTGTATCTTACAACTTCCGTTAATAATGAAAACCCTTAGTAAACTCAGTACATTAGGATATCATGTCATTTGATTTGAAGTATACTGGAAATCGACCTTGTTCAAATTGAACTGCAGAATTTGATTTTGTTTACAATCATTTCATAAGGCACATTTACTGTTTCTGTATTTTGTAGTTCACTGCCCAATTATTCTATGAATATTTTCAAATATTATTAATGGAACACGTTTACAGCTTGTGTAGTATTCAAACAACCTTTTATTTCTGAACAATTAGCTTTATAGGTGATACACACAATGTTTAGACTGGTTCTAACCGAGGGAGTTAATATGTCTTAGCATCATCGATGAGTCCTAAAAGAATAAAACAGCTAAGTGGTACAGTGTAATTCAGTTTTAGCATGCGACATCTATTATATCAAAGGTGCAGGCATAAGTGTTTTCTTACGTTTATCATACAACTCCTTAGCTTAACAACAGAACATGCGGAGGAAGTAAATGTTACACCATACATATACTAATAGTTGTAGACAAGTTCTAGCACACAATTATGTTTTGAAGCAAAAGGATAATTTTGATGAGCTTAACATTGTTATTAAAAATTAGAATTTGTTGTTTTTGTTTATATTTACAAATATACGAGACTAAGAAACCTATCATAATTAATGCCAAATAAAATTGAAAGTTCTCTTGAAACCATGGTATTTATGTTTTATTCATCATGTTACATTGTTACAAACGGACGAAAGGGCCTTATCATATCTTAGTCTGCGTTATGTACGCTTAGCATGTTTTTCCCCATACATAGGAAATTGATTGATACGCTACGTCATGACGCGTCGAGAACAGACAGACCGCCAGAGGGACTGGATGAATGCACGAAAGGATGAACACGAGAAGTTTAATATATATTAATTAATTTTGTAAAACTAGTTAGTTTTTATTCCCGTTTCATTGATTTATCAAAGATGAGTAGGATTGTATATGATTAGTTGTTTTGATGTTCAAGAACAATAGTTTTATATAGGAACAGTTATTTTTATATACATTATGTAACACTATTTCATCATGAATGTTTAACAAGAATGTAATGATATAAATTACATAGTGAACTATGATGTTGTATGATATTATGTTCTGTAAGATAACATACAATCATTATATTCAGTTTGAACATGATTTTATAATGTAATCATAATGTAATTATTATGTTTAGTGTATTGTAGCCGTCTTTAGTAGTTCTGTATTGAATCGTTCATAACTTACTATACACATTTTCAGCTATGTTTTTATTTTATATACTACGTAAAGGAATTAAAACGGAAATACAAATATACTACTATGTGTATAAGGAAGTACATTTCGTGTCATAGAGAACTGTATGGCCAGACTAAGATCTGATAAGGCCCTTTCGTCCGTTTGTAACAATGTATAAAATGATAATTAAAACATAGATGCCATGGTTTCAAAAGAACTTTCAATTTCATTTGGCATTAGTTATGATTGTACTAAATATACGTTTGTATGTCAATACATGTTTATGTAATAATCTCTTCAATGTGATATTAATTAACTGGCAAATAGACCAAACCTCATGGTGCCATACATTATGAACAGAGTACAAATGAACCACACATGCATACATATATTTAGCTACATCCAATTCGGTCATTGACCCTCGTTACTGTCTAAATGTGATCCAGCGTTCATTGCCCCCTCCAACCACGTGGTCCCGGCCCAAAGCGTACATAACGCTGAATTCGTTTGCGGATGGGTCAATGAGCCCCAGTTACGCCGTGACATAGCCTACTGACATACATACAGGCCAATAGGAGCTCGCGTCCTTAAATGACTTTACCTCAATAACCCGACTGTTATCATTCACAATACAAACTAGGGAAATATCCATTTGCGTGAGGGGCGTTAAGGTTTTTATATATTATTTTAGAAATATCCTAATTATCTACTCGTGATCATATATAGTAAGAAATACGAAGAGTTGAGCGAGAAGCGTGTGGGGTTGGAGGATATAATGAGGGTATGAGATAACTTGTGGTAACCAGTCTGGAGCAAGGTGCCCGGCCAGATTGCCAACTGGTTGGTCGGGGAGGGGGAGGCCGGAGGGGAGGAGACACTATTGCATCTCAGCAGGGAAGGAATATGAACCAGGAATGGAACTACATGTACGTCTAGCCGAAATAGAACCATATATGGTAAGTTATGTACGTTAAAACAGCAATTATAAACTAAGTATTTCATTAATTGTACATGCCCATTATATAATTGTAGCGTTTTTACTACAGTTTGAACAATGACGGCATTTCAACAAATACACTCATACATGATAATATATTTGTTTTTTGAATTTTCCGTTTCAATGTTGTCGGACAAGTCGAAAGATGGCCGTTACTTGTTCTTTTCAAATATGGCCGAAAACCAAGTTCTTTTCACTCTGGTCGTTTCTAATTATAATATAAGACAGAAAAGTTTTCTCCTCTGAAGGCAGCCCAACCGTATATTTAAGCCTTATATCACTTTTATCATAATGTTATATGACTCTCTGTGATCCCTTAGGAATACGTAATTACCAGTCATATGTTTTCTTTCTAAGATACATTCTCTTTTTGCCACCAATGACCTGTACATTTCAGACAATATGAAACTGAAAAGTCAGCGTAATTATTTCAAATAGTGGTTATAATGGTTGAACGAAGGTATACAACTTGTACTGATCTTACAATATATTTATATTAAATCAGTTATGTACAAAGTTAATACGAAAATGCTGTATTCCATGTGACATATGCAAGGTCAAAATGCATTAACTTATATCGTATTGACCCATTCACCTCAAAAATTATAATATAACCCGTAGATGTTTGACCAGGCGAGATACCTATTATATGACAGAAAATATATGGACTACTAGAACTAGATTAAATCATGTAAACAGATTGATTAATGAATAAACATATTTAAACTCTATTTCGTTATTAACCCTTGAATCTGTTACCAGAATAAACATGTCAACGGATTGAAAATGATACATCTTTATGCAGGTGAATTCATTTTCAAAGAAATTTCCCGAAATTTTCCATGTTCAAAATAAAAGTTTATTTTCATTATGATGAACGGTTAAGCTAATTCATAGTGCATAAATGGATATGCATGGATAACATATGTAAAAGTTTTTATCAGGACTGCAAATATTCTTGAAATATTTACAATGCATAGTATCTCTCATAAGGAATGCTATATATTACGACTGTAATGTTTCGTATGTACAATGTTGTAGCCACATTTATCAGAACTGCATTGGACACGTGCCCACGTATACCCTATTCCACCAGGACTGTAGCTTGACATATGCATATGTTGTTGTTGTTGTACATTCTTTAATCAGGACTGTAGTGTGACATATGCACAATGTTGTACACCCTTTGATCAGGTATATTGTTTGACTTATTTATTTACAAAGTTTACCCTACTTCATCAGGGCCTGTATTCATGAAACCGTTCACATGCTCAAGTATGGATTTTTTTGCTCCAGCCTAATTTCTTGTTCCATTTATAAATTAGTAATAAGATCTAATTTTGTCAATACATTGAGGAAAACATTGAAGAAACTTTATGCCAAATACTAAATGGTTTTACATTTTATTTTTTGATCTAATGACAAGATTTAAATGAGTTACAAAAAAAGTTGGATTGAGCACAAAATCCATGCTTGAGCATTAAAACACTTTCATGAATACGGGCCTGGCCTTAAGTTTGACCTATTTACGATGTGTATACATTTTTATCATTACTACTTTGATATACTCGATCAATACAATGATGACGTACAATGATAATTGCTTAAAGGGGTATAAATTAACAAAACAGAATGAAGTACTGCTTTTTACACTTTGATTGTATATGTCTAAAAATATAAATTCTTCAATTTAAATTTGCAATATAATTGGTATATACCAGATGCTTATAAGTACCCGTTCGGTTGTGAACCACTTATCCGCTTTTTCAACTTTTTTGTATAAACGTCCTAGTACAACAAGGATGTGGGCTAGCTAACTTAACATACCATATGACATGCTATATGTACTTACATGAAGTTAATCATCTGGTCACACATTCAATTTGATGTACCATAAAGTACAACCTTTCTTAAGCAGAATTCCTTCTTTTTATAATTATATACGTTTTTTGTACTTGCGGTCAAAGACCTAGATAGTTATTGGGTCAAAGACCCCTGCTTACATCGGACCTTCATTAGTATAAACACACACACACAAATATATATATATATGGACATATAAACAGGTACACAAAGCTTTTCTCATCATATACCGAAGTAATTAGACTTTAAAGCCATACACAATCTTATATATACATAAATGAGATACTGCAATATATAAATATTGTTTGTGATTGATTGCGACTGGTGTATCAGGATACATGTGAGGTGAACGTCCTAGACAAGCCACATATACTTTCCACATTGTACACGTGAATCAATATAACTATGTACACAATCTGGCTACACACATAAACATAGACTATCACTATCACTATTAACGAACAATAGGAGGAATGCAAACTGGCTTTTACGAAATATGATATAACCCAAACACGTACACACACTTGCATTACGTTCGTCTAGATGGTTCTCTCTGAGTAAAACTGTCATGGTGTACGGTTTAGTATGGTATGGTAAAAAAAGCAGGTGACTGACCTTATGCTAATCAATATTTTCCATTACAATACGTCCACTCACTCCCACATACAGAACCTAGGAATACCGTGACCCAGTTTAAACCCCGTAGTGGACGGTCAATACACGAGACGCTGGATACGACTAGTGATAGGTGAATGACTTTAGATCTACAACTGGTTGAGATCAATACCCGAATGTTCTATTTAATGTCCTGTGGTTCTTGTGTTATTTCCTGACTATTTTAAACCATACCTAGTTATAAGTATACGACTGTAATTTTATATTGATAAAGATGATATCACTAAACCAGTATAGCCGATAATAAATTGGCATCAATATCTCCCTCTATATATATATATATAGTCGCTTTATGTCAATGTCGCCGAGGTGGATGACCTGGGTCTGAATAGTAAAACGCATTGTTAGCATCGCGACATGCTACCTGAAAATATGTCAAGGTGTAAGTTGTTCGATGCTTGTTATTTCCTTAAAATTATGTCAATCAATGACAATTTCACATACAGGTATTCAAGGTAGAATATGTTATCCAAAGTTTATCATTACTTGATCGAAATTCCAACCGATACAGCGAAGATATACATGGCAATAATTTTCTAATTATCAAAAAATAAGATATATACGAAGAATATATTTGACAAAGCATTTCAAGAATATCTATTTGGCATCAACTAACTTGTATAATTATAGAAATGCAATAAAATTCAGGTTAAAATATTGCCTTACCTAGGCCTGCAAGCTAGCTTTTCTTGTGATTCCGTGTAACCCTGGAATTCACTCATAAAAGCGTGGTCAGACATGACAGGTTCCTATCTACATGTCAAATACATTTATATATCATACGCGTAAGTATAAAAAGAAAAGAAAATATCACACCGTAAATGCACCGTGGCAGAACAAAAGTTATATTAATATACATGTATAATATTACTACAAACTCGAGGGGATATGTGTCTATGAGACTAGGCGGCACAAGGAAGTAAGCTGGCATTATAGTTTGAATTTAGAGTTACAAACGTGTAGGCATAACACAATATTGATATATGTATATCTACATGAATATTATGAAAAGAAAAATTCTCAACAATGAGTCTTTAGTACTTTCATCTCTTCTAGGAGATTCTTCAGTCTAAAGAATATCATAGAAGAGATGAAAGTACTAAAGACTCGTTGCTGAGAATTTTCCTTTTTATAATATTTCTTCGTCCGTAAGGATAATTTTTCTGCTTTTATAATATACATGAATATATATGAAAGTGGGCCTGGGTAAGAATACGACTCGTTAAATACAATTGAAATCAAACTTATGTAGACACAGACTATTTGAGCGAGCTAGTATACTATGACAAACCGGGAAATACAGCAAAGATAATGATCACAGAACTTGAGCAAGTCTGTGTATAACGTATTGCTAGCGTAGCACTAGTGTGTCATTCTCCGTGTTGACCGGAGCGGTCAGCGACCCCCTGTAGGCTGTAGGTATTGGGGCATAATGTACAATACATGTTTCCAACCTGTACGGGAATGCCAGATAATCTATGTACAAAAAGTAAGAATTTCTACAGAGTTGTTATAATAAAAGATAAATCCAATGTAAACATGTTTATGTATTGTAATAATATTGCAACAATAATATCATGGAACCCCCCCCCCCCCCAAAAAAATATATATAAAAGTGAAATAACTGAAAAATGTGTAAGCAATTATGTGATTATAATTGCATGAACAGTAGGACGAAATAACGCGAAATATGAAGACATGCCAATCATAATATGTATAAATATTAATAATTTGATTAAAAATTAAAGAAATAATTAAGTCGCAATCGAAAATAATACGAAATATGGGGGCATAGCTATTATATTACATGTATATATAAAGTATCATTTTAACTAGCATAAGCCTAAGTCAGACCCTCTGTGCTAGAACATAACACAAAATATGAAGACAAAACAATCATATTAGGCTTATGTAGTACTATTCAGATTAGTCAGAACATTTCCTCTCTCAATCAAATATAATAAACGAAATATGGGGACATACCTTCATATATATACCAATCATCTTATACATAATTATGTAGTATAATTTAGTCTAAAATAAAACAAGGTCATATCTTCTCCTCTTCCAATCGAAAATAACACGAACTAAGGGTATATTAGATATAAACTAATGAAACGAAACTAGGTCAGATCCACTAGAAATCAATAGAACGTATGTTGATAATAGTTATACTAGTTTTCATATCGAGGCAATTCTGAAGAAAGACTGCTATTAACTTCAAGATCTGTTCAAAATCCGTCGACTGTTCTGATATACAAGCAATACCCATATGTACAACAATTAACACGTACATCGTATTTCAAGCTCCCTAGAATGACCGGTGCGGTCAGTGACCGCCAACACACAGTGCGCATGCGTACAAACATGATCACATAAAAACGCCAATACACAGTTAGCATAGCCAGAGAGCGGCAGGTTTAACAGTTAGTGATCTAAAAATACCCATACTGCACGTAATAGGGATAGGTTTAGGGAGGAGTGGTATAAATTGGACAGTTGACTTTTTTGTCGGGTAGTAATACCAGAGTAGACCGACCTAACGCTGGGGGCAGTTGTGGGTGTATTCAGTGTGACTATGGATATTATAAAAGTGTTATTACCCGATGGAAGTTCACAGTGTCAAAGGCAATATACCACAGGTAACATTTCTAAATACATTTTTAATTTATAATACTACATTTTAGTTTGTTTTTGAATAAGTATTCTATCATTTATTCACATTTAGCATTCATATTAGTTTATATGTATAATCACGGTATGTCCCGGTTTGTCACGCTATCTAATTCCGTGGTATAATGATACGATTTCATTTTTCTAACATATTTTCGTATTGTTAATATTCTTACCTTCAGTACTTATCGTACCAGCACTTAACTTAATACATTATATATTTCTTTCAATTTGATATCTGAACACTGATAGTTTAGATAAATTCCGAACATAGCTGTGATATATCATTAGAGAAACCATATATACTGTATACTTATTACTGTTGATCATTATAGTTATCAGGACTGTAATGTCGAATTAAGTCATTGAAATGTCATTGTATTAACATTATTCTAGTGTCGTCATAGTCTCTGGAGTTGTAATATCGCTATAGTAACAGGAACGTAATGTCGTTATTGAAACATGATTGTAATGTCTTTATAAAAACACGATTGTAACGTGGATATAGTTACATAATTGAAATGACGTTATAGTAACACGGTTGTAATGTCGTTATAGTTACACGTTTGTAATGTCATTATAGTAACATAATTGAAATGTCGTTACAATAACACGATTGTAATGGTCTTATAGTAACATGGTTGCTATGCCGTTATAGTAGCAGGGATGTAATGCTGTTATTGTTAGATGATTGAAATGTCGTCAGAAAAGCATTATTGTTATGTCGTTTTAGTAACATGAATAAAATGTCATTATAGTAACACGTTTGTGAAGTCGTTATAGTAAAACGATTGTAATGTAATGTCGTTATAGTAACACGATCGAATGTCGTTATAGTAAAACGATTGAAATGTCGTTATAGTAACACGATTGTAGTGTCGTTATAGTAACACGTTTGTGAAGTCGTTATAGTAAAACGATTGTAATGTAATGTCGTTATAGTAACATGATTGTAATGTCGTTATAGTTGAACGATTGTAATGTCGTTATAGTAAAACGATTGTTATGTCGTTATAGTAACATAACTGAAATGTCGTTATAGTAACGCGATTGCAATGTCGTTATGGTAACACGTTTGTAACGTCGTTAGATCGTAACATTATTGTAATGACGTTATAGCAAGTAGGATTGTGTGTCTCTATGGTAACCTGGTGCAACAATACTCATTATAATTTATGTATACATAATACAATGATACATAATCAACATCTAGCCTTAATTTCTTTTAATTTGTATAAATAAAATTATTTTCAAATAACATGCATTATTGATTGTATACTTTCAGGTCATGTCTTTACGTAAAACACGTATTGCAGAAATGGCGTCACCGGGTCACCGGCTACAGACGAGAGGGTGTCATTTACTATGTAAATGGTGAGTATTTAATACTTTCGACTGAAAATATCTTTTTGCATCGATTACATTTCTTTTAACGTATACTTATCCGGAAATTATTCTACAACACTTTCATGTCATGTGTTAAATTATAGAATGGCATTTGACATATAGACTGGGAATACGTTTCAATAATATAAAAATACGTTACTTTTTTTTTAAATAGCTGCTATAATTTACCACATATTCACGATAGTGTTAGCAATTTCCCTTCATGCTAATTATTCAAAGAGATTATTATTCAAGAAATGAAAACAATCTAATGAATGCATTCATTGTTTAAGTTCATTAGACATTTGAATAAGGTATCATCTCTCCCTACTTATTTTCGTTCCTCTATACATTATTAACAGTTGATTTGTTTGTTCTAGATAATTTCCGTCTACGTGCTGTACAATTTGATTGAATAAATTTTAATACAATTTCGAATTTTATATCTATCACAATCAGGTTTTCCTATAACTGTAACGGACAAAAATATTAATTATTTTAGCATATGTTAATTACATACATAATGTAGTTTCTACCGGTATTGTTTTCAATATTCCGTCTTTGCGTATTGCAGAGTTATCTTCTCTTGAGAGCAGGTATTGATTGTTACGTCATTGGTTTGTGTGAGAAATTACTTCGTTTTCTCAAAAAAAGATGACGTTACTCTCACTAACAAATGACGTAACAATCAATACCTGCTCTCAAGAGAAGATAACTCTGCAATACGCAAAGACGGAATAGCCCATGTAACTGCTGATGCACCACAGTCATTATTCTTTGTTTTAACCATAAAAAGCAATATATTTTGGAGAAAGAAATGGATTGAAATTTGTGTCTCTTTTCAGATACTAAAATGGATGGGAAGCTGTAATTAGAACACCAGGCTTATGCTGTTGATAACACTAAAAGGTCTATCAGTTGACTTTCTGACGTCTTACCAAACTATCCATCAATCCAAAAATACGATAGCACAGCAAGACAAGCGACATAAATACACTTTCACCATCGGAGAGTTCAAAAGTTTCTTTGTCATACGAGTTTGAGTATGATCAACACTTTCAACGAAATGTGTGATACACACCAAAACGTGTCTGAAGTTAGACTGGTACCATGCTGTTACAAACGTTATAAATGAAAAGGATTTCCAAACTACGAGAACAAACCATCATCACCAAGAAGAAAGGTTTTCAACCAACAACAAAATAATATTGAAGTGCACGAACCTCATGCTTCTGGAATCTGTTGCCGAAAGGTGGATGAACTGAACGAGTTCCAATACGCAAAGATGGAATAGCTGTGAATGAGATAAAGTATGAGAATAAGAACATCTGTCTATGAGAATATGAATAATCGAGTGTGTATACAAATGTGAAAGTACGTTCGTATGAATTCTTGTGTGAATATGTATTGTTATGTGTGTGTACAAGATTAAAAGTGTGTAAAGATATTGTATATATGTAAGTCTAAATGGAAAAAACTTGTATATAGTTGTTAGTTTTAATGGAATTGAAAGAATTATTGATCTTTTGTAAATATGTTAAAGGAGGACCTCGATAGCCCGAAAACTTCCTCCTCTTTTAGAAACCAATGTTTTGTTTAAGTACATTTCGCATGTATCCAACATATTGGTTTTAAAGCGAGTTGTGCAGAATAAGTGGTTGGTCGGATTAATGAGGTTCTGCTTTGCATGTATGTAATATTGATATGTATCTACTGGCTCGGAAATAGACCAACAGTAATTGGATGATCATCCCGGTGAACTTGTACATAAAAAGACCCGTGTGTCTCATAACTATGCAAACTAATGTAGCATTGTAAAATATGCTCAGACAAATAGTCAAGCTGTACTACGCATGCTGCTTATTATCCACCCACCATACGCCTTATTTACTAATTAAACAACATTCACTTTCTAATCTGGAAAAATATCCGCTGTGTTTTTATAGTTGATATATAATAATCTATTAGGAAACATTCATATCTATAATTTAATCGACCAATAAGCCTGATGCTATTTTCTTGTGCCAAGTTTTTTTTTTTTTTGTGATAATTGACTATTATAAGAAAGGATATAAACATACTCGTGCGTGTAGCTTTATTTTAGTTTTGTTCGTCTTGATAATGATTTGCATTTGAAATAGGAACTCTTTTCTTTTACAAATTTATTTTGCATAATATTTATGCTAAGTCGTCTTAAGTGTATACGTTTTAGCTGGAGTGTAGTGGTGTAATATATCACTACTTAGTGCAGAGGGCAGAAGACAATATACGATATAGTACATTAAATTTCTATAAATAGATAGAAACCGTTAATTCTAATTTATGTTTATATATCATGAGTAAATTGTCAGCGTTTTGCAAATATAGAAGTGATACGGTTTTGGTCAATGATTATTTATAATTTGGCATTACATCTTTTATATTTGCAGAGAGTTTTGGGTGAATCTGGGGCCTTATAAAGACACATTCCCCTTGATATTTTCTAATTGCAAAATTCACTCTATTTTCCCGAAATCATGTTTTTGTGTGTGATATTTCACAAAGCTACAAGGAACAGGCTTCTGTCTAAGAGAGGTAGAAACCTCACTGATATGTACTTTAATAAATTATTGATACACCTATCTATTCAACATTACTAAACCTACGTATGGATATTCATAAGAATATTTTTCACGGTACTATATGTGATTGTCTTCTGTCCCCTCTCGCCTCCTTTCATATCGCTTGATATGGCTGTATAGAACATTAACGTTATTTCAAACGTTGTTGCATCTCAGGGGAATGGCTTAATCTGTTCTTTGGACAATTACCATTCACGGATGAATTATTTCAACCCGGTTATTTTTATTTGTGCCATTTTACCATAACATGCCATATATTGATATGCTTTTTGTAATCAGGTAAATTGGAGAGAGCGAGAGAGATGTTATGAAAGTGCGATTATCTGAATTGTATTTAGTGTGTGATGTTGTAGTATATGAATGGTGTATATAATTATTGAAAGATTATAGTTTTTGTGATAAATCTGTGTATGGAACACTTGTCCCTTACTTCTGTGAACTAAATGGACAATTGCGTATTTTTGTTGAACACATATGGCTACTCTTTAAATTACAAGATAAAGTATGTGATAACAGATTGATATATAAATATATTTTTCATTTTGATACTCGTAGCAGTGGCCTAGTAATATAATGTATTTATATAAGGACATGAATGTGTTTAGTTGATGTATGTAGAAGCTGCTTTTCGGAAAGGAATTAAGACCCAAATGCTAAGGTGTTAGTGTGGGTTAATATAACAATTACGCACAGTTTTAATGTGGGTTACTATTAAGATGAAACGTACCAAAACAAATATGCAAGGCTTCAGAAGATCTAGTTACAACAACATGACATAGAGACAAATGAAGGTCTTCCATGTTAATATGTATACTACTCTTTGTTTTGTCTGTGGTGAGACATCATGTGACATGCAAGTTGGAATGATTAGATCGATAGACTTCGACTAGATAAATCCACCCGGGGATATTGTGTGACGTAATAAATCCGTGTGAGTTGTTTGATGTGAATATATGCCTGTGAGTTACTACTGTAAAACATCCCGGTGAATAGTGTGACGTGTATAAATCCCCGTGAATTGTGTGATGTGAATGAATCCCCGTGAATTGTGTGGTGTGAATGAAAGCCTGTGAGTTACTACTGTAAAACATCCCGGTGTATTGTGTGACGTGAATAAATCCCCGTGAATTGTGCGATGTGAATAAACCCCCGTGAATTGTGTGATGTGAATAAATCCTCGTGAAATATTATGTGATGTGAAATGAGAAAGAATGCATTAATGATGCTACCCGGTGATAATGCGAAATGTGAAAGAAAACATTAATGATACTTCCCGGTGATCATGTGAGACGCGAGAGAAAGCATTATTGATGCTACCCGGTGATAATGCGAAATGTGAAAGAATACATAAATGATGCTACCCGGTGATAATGTGAGATGAGAAAGAATACATAAATGATGCTACCCGTCAAAATGTTCGATGTGAAAGAATACATAAATGATGCTTCCCGGTGATGATGTGAGATGAGAAAGAATACATAAATGATGCTTCCCAGTGATAATGTGATATGGGAAAGAATACATAAATGATGCTACCCGGTGATAATGTGATATGGGAAAGAATACATAAATGATGCTACCCGGTGATGATGAGAGATGTGAAAAGTACATAAATGATGCTACTCGGTGATAATGTAAAATGAGAAAGAGTACATAAATGATGCTACCCGGTGATAATGTTAGATATGTAAAAATACATAAATGATGCTACCCGGTGATGATGTGAGATGTGAAAGAATAGATAAATGATGCTAAACGGTGATCATGTAAGTTGTGAGAGAATACATTAATGATGCTACCCGGTGATAATGTGAGTTGTGGGAGAATGCTTTAATGATGCTACCCGGTGATGATGTGAGATGAGAAAGAATTCATAAATTATGCTACCCGGTGATAATGTAAGATGTGAGAGAATGCATAAATGATGCTACCTGGTGATAATGTGAGTTGTGAGAGAATGCATAAATTATGCTACCCGGTGATGATGTTAGATGAGAAAGAATACATTAATGATGCTACCCGGTGATAATGTGAGTTGTAAAAAAATACATAAATGATGCTAACCGGTTTTAATGTGAGTTGTAAAAGAATACATAAATGATGCGAGTTGTAAAAGAATACATAAATGATGCTACCCGGTGATAATGTGACTTGTAAAAGAATACATAAATGATGCTACCCGTTGATAATGTGAGTTGTGAGAGAATGCATAAATTATGCTACCCGGTGATGATGTGAGTTGTAAAAGAATACATAAATGACGCTACCCGGTGATAATGTGAGTTGTGAGAGAATGCATAAATTATGCTACCCGGTGATGATGTGAGTTGTAAAAGAATACATAAATGATGCTACCCGATGATAATGTGAGTTGTAAAAGAATAGATAAATGATGCTACCCGGTGATAATGTGAGTTGTAAAAGAATACATAAATGATGCTACCCGGTGATAATGATAGATGAGGAAAAGATTCAGGTTGCTACCCAGAGATCATGTGAGAGTTGTGAGAGAATGCATTAATGATGCTACCCGGTGATAATATGAGAATTGAAATAATACATAAGTGATGCTACCCGTTGATAAATATAATATATCACGAAATGTTATACTGTTCTGTGCTAAACTATGCTCATCCAATAGGATGAAAATGTAAATAATCTATGTGGATGAATATCCCGGTGAATTTAATTAACATCCCTAGTCCTATCGGGCCAAGGATGTCTAATAAACTGTGTATAAATGTGTTTAAATGGACCAATTTATGTTCAGGAAAATTTGACGTTTAACGGTTGTTATTTTACATGTAAAATACAATAAGAACATATTTTTAGGTCAAGCGATATAGTGAACGATGTTTGACATCAAATCTGTTATTTGTTTTAAGTATATTCCTTATCATTCTAACTACACATTCATTCTTATTATAACTAACTATATATATATCTTACCAGTATCTGTGATTGTAAATAACTCACACGAGTTCTGTCTATTTTGTTTAATCATTCCAATCTCTCGCTCTTGATACCCTAGATAAGAAATTTGTAAATATATAATACATCGCTGTCTAGAAACGTAATCTACCACGATAGACCGCGAAAAATTATTCAGTGGTTTACAATGTTAGTCACTGTACATAAGTGTAACAAGAACGTGATAACCTTAATATGAACTAGTTTGTAGCATTAACTTTAATCAATGATTGATTTCGTGTCTCTGGTAAATTGAGTTCACATTGAAGAAAACTATTTTGTGGCGTCAGAGCCCTGAATGAATCGTATTGTGTCTACTCTGCTACAAATACAATTGTAAATACCTAGGATTTCTTATAGCTTTTAGTATAACAAAATTACTTGACAATGACTTTTAAGAGGCAAAAAGATAATATGACATCATGTTATGAAACAAACAAAAACGTAGCAGAGACTCTATCTACCTGTTTTTGTACTATATTTCATTGTTAGAAAAATGTAAATATGTATTAGTTTGTAAAGCGTTTAACTTTGTATGGTAGTTGTAAAACAAATTGTAGATGGACGGTAATTTAGAAATTTTACATAAAAATTGAAAACCTTTCTTCAAATTAAACCATAGTACTTTGGCGTTTACTTTTATTTTAAACCATTCAAAAAATGATTTGAAGGAAAATCACCGTTGAAACATACAAAAACAAAATAATTATAAATTTCTTCAAATCCATTTTTCGTCATTTTAATTTGATGCTAAATTTCTACCTAAATCATGTACAAGGTTATTTATTTAAAGAAAGGTTTATGATGTTCAGTAAATGAACAAATCCGCGGATTCTGAACCAGTGCCATATTTTGAATTATATATTTAATCAACCATGTATAAATGTTGTTTCACAAACAATGTATGTAATCATGAGTCATGAATCCTAATTAAGATGTATATATACCTGTATATATGTACTTCATACTTTGACTTCTGTATGAATAGATGCATAATAAAATAAAATAAAATAAAACATTTACAGGATAACCTGAACAATTTGATCAAAATGTAATATTTTGGTTTTGTAAAAACATATTAGAATAAATGCAACTATGCAAAAACTAACACTGTATAAAATACGTGATCTAGATTACTAAAACATTGTTAAATATGCAAAGTGCAGAGAATTCAAATTATTGCATATTTTGCAACGCAAATATAGTTTTTTTCAAGCATCTATACTATATAATGTTTAAAGAGTTGAAATTTTGTAGAAAATCGATATGGTAATTTTTCATTATCTTTGTATTTAAAGTTTCATTTCATATCATAATGAGTTTGGATTATGATGAACGAAACAATTAATTTTTGTCATGACCTGTCGATAGAAATTGTCGTTTTCTTTTAAAAAGATAAAGAACACTTCAATGTTGAACGTTTCGTTCTAAAATCAAAAGCATAATGTGACTAATGTCAGTCAATAAAATAATCAAAATTGACCTGCTGTTGTTTGTTGTCATTATATTTATGGACATTGGACTGGTATAAAAATAGTTGCTGTAGCATTACCCACCTGCATCCGTTCCTACGAGGAGGTTCGAGCACCATTCAGTTTTCCTACGACACATGTGGCAGTTATATGAGTAGGTCTGCCACATCTATGGGCGGATTGGTCGAGTTGTTTACTCTCCGGCCTTCCACGCAGGCGGCCGGGGTTCGATACCCGAAGTCGTCGTACGCATGGATATTCAGAAAAAGTGTTTTTCTCCTGCCTACACAACTCCAACAACACAGGTGGAGTATAGATTGGTCTGGGTGGATGTTGCAGTATCTGTGCTGTAGCATTCAAGTGAGTTGGCACTATAAATGATACCAATGGAAGCACAGTCCCACTGCAAACAGAACGCATCACATTTCCAGCACACACGCAGGCATACACACATAGGGAGATATTAGCCAGGTGACATAGGACTAGTAGTTAGCACCGGATAAGGCAGCTCCCGAGAATTCCTCAAATAATGAATTGATTAATGTATATGCTAATTGTATTAACTGTATATCTATGTACTGTGAAGCGCTTTAGAGTGGCTTATGTTAGTTAGATAGCCTAGATAGGGCGCTAAATCAAATGTTGTATATTATTATTATTATTATTATTATTATCTATATAGTTAATTGCTCAAAGGAATACAACTATGTTTATATGCCATAGCACAGCAGTATATTTATAAACAAACTAACAAAGGTCAATATACCGTCATACACGAGGTGACGATTCAACGCCATTAACCTATTCTGAAGGAACGGTATGTCTTTTTACAATTTTGATAATTTAAACTTACATATTTTAACGGTAGTCTTATTTTTCTCCTATAACCTCTATAGAATTCCTCACGTCCAACTTATTGGATAAACCTGCTAGGAGTTGGTAAACAATTGTGGTAACCCACTAGTGGGTATAATACTAAGGACGTGATTTCATTGGCCATTTTTTAATTATGGCGCCAGGTTTCAATATTTGCGACATCATCTACCATTGTGACATCATAGTACATGACAATTGTTTCCCCGGTCAGAAAGAATAATAATGTGTAACCCAAGAGAAAAATATAGTGAAAATATCGTATCGTAAACTTCGTGTCTTTATACAATAGGAAAATAAACTTACTCAAGTTCGATAAACATGATAACCAACCATCACTCGTTTGGGAACCTCTTTTTATCTTTTTTTGGGACTTAAACAATTGCGCTTAATCAATTATTGAAGCGATAATCGATGATTCTGTAAATTACCACATATTGCATCAATTGTTGGTGCGCTAATTCAGCAAAGTGCTAATCTGTTAAAATTTGATAACGCGCAAAAATTAGAGTGCGTTATAATAAGTACATTTACAGTACACTCACTCCTCTTGTTAGTTTGTTACTGAACTGAAATCCTCCGATTGTGTTTTTCTTTTCTTAATAAAAAAAATGTTTTTGGAAAAGTTTGATACAAATCATACCAAAATATCAGCTTGATAGACCAAACAGTGTAAAATTGAATAGAATGATATATCAAGCTGATATCTTAGATTATTTTAGTAGAATTTGAAATTCGCATATACCGGTATGATTTCAATAGGGTGTATCGAAGAAAATGTTGACATGAGTTTTGACAGTCTAAAGCACCTTATTCAGGCGAGGTTACAAGTTTCAATATGTTGATGAAAATGTCCTCATATAATACACACAGAACATACTCATATTTTTACGAAAAATGTTTAAAAATAAATAAATAAATTACAAAAATAAAAAAAATATTTTTTTGGAATAAATAAATAAATAAATTATAAATAAATAGATAAATGAATACTAAAAAAATAACAAAAAATAGAAATAAATAAATAAAATAATACAGCTACACCCACCTGTTACAACTGTTTCCTGAGCGGGTTTATTGGTAATTGTCAAACTTCTTAGGATTTCAAAGCATACGGTTATTTAATTGGTATTGTTACCAAAAAAACACTCAATTTTTCGCGAAGCGTATGTGTGCAATTATGTTTCATACTACGCAAACATTTTATTTTGCAAAAGAGATATTAACAGGTAACGCAAATATCTATATGAAAACTCCGAATATAAGGATCGACGGAAACTTACAAAACACCTCACAGTTCTAGCGAGTTTGCTTTTGTATTCCTGATGAGCTTATTCATCAGTCAGAAATTGAAATTCAATCGAAAACCCCGCAAACTTATCTTCGTCAGTTTCAATATGACAATAATGGTTATCTAATTACCAGAATCAGTGATAGACCTGGCGTCTTCATTGCCCCATTTCCTTTCCTTTTCCCTGGCATCAACGCCTGTGCTAAGTGTCAGCATTTGCTGGAAAGACACGTCTTGTAGATATTTAAACTATTTAGCCAGGGTTGTCTACTAAGAGGCTACACTTGTTTACTGTCATCAAGACCAATCTTTTGCAATTTCCGATTCTTCCACGATTTAAAACGTGTTCACAATGTCTTAAGCCCTTCCTAACCTGTATACAATGTTTTTCTTCAATAGATAGGCCTAGCATCACAAGTGTCCAATGTGATTTATAAAACGCCACTAATTCTGGATCAAATTATTTTTGCTATTAGTTGTCTTTTTACATAATATCTTTCCTTTTTGTATTATTTCCTTTCAAGTTCCCGTTGTTGTATTTTGATATGATTTTCAGCTCTCAGATTTGGTTATGATATGGTTTAACCCTTTCACCCTAGGTATTTTGAGGAGACTCTACCATACATTTATCTGGAGGAGTCCAGTGTGGTCCACAGTGGTGAAAAGTGTTAAGGTAAATGTGATTGGTGCATCTCACCGGGTATAACATGTGCAACGTTAGGGAAGGAAAAGCTATGCTCGTTGCAATATCCATTTATCGTATTGACATGTTATGTAGGAACGACAAAATCGATATAGTCAATCAATAAGAAAATACGAAAGTCGTCTTTTTGTTTTTAATCATTTGTTAATACCACTGGACATCTTCTTCAGCGCCAATATTTGGTTATCTGTGTCAGGTCTACTGTCTCAAAATACGTCGGCGAAGTTAACTGTATAGGATTAATAAAGCCTAGAAGATGTATGGAGATATGGAAAGTTTAATCGAAGGTAAAAATGTGTGTCAAAACCACGGAATTAGATTAGATGTTATCCAAGTCTGTGGTCAAAACCGAGGGTTCTACGCCGTATTCTTATTACTTACATAATCTCAAATCAGCTGTGAAACTTTTGCGAACAAACTGCTTTAATTTTAAAGTATTTGGTTGATAATATCAACCATAATCGTATTTATATGCTTGGTTGAATTCTAGATTCTTTTAATAAATAAATGTCACTTTTGTGATGTGAAACAAGTTCACATTTTGTTTTTTATAAACAAATGTCGCTTTGTTCAAGTGAACAAGTTTATTTCTGTAAAGACAAAATACTTAGTTAAAAAAATAAAAAACAAAATGAAATTAGATCATATTGATAAAAGTATTTTAATTCCTTTCATTTCATTTCAAATTTAAGAAATTTAGTCTTAAGGATGTTTTTCAATTAAACCAGGCTCTCATTTGAAATGAAATATCATGCAAGGTCCAGTATTAATTACGTATAGTGTAACGCAAACTTCACACTATTTGCAACTAACTTGCTTATAAGGATCCTTGTCCCTCTGCCCTGTGTTTTATTTTTCGCAATGAAAGCAATCTTACTAAAGCAGCTGACAAGGACACTTCCGTCGACCTGGTAGCTCAGTCGGCTAAAGTAACATTATAACAAATATGAAGTTCATGGTTCGCATTCCGTTTAGTTCACCGATTAATTTGTTTACACTCAGAGCACTAATGATGATTATGTTGTGTGAGTTCATCCGAATTATTTCTCGTAAAACACTGCAAGGTACGGTTTTCTTTTCAGATATGATAAATGAGACTATGGTCATGCCAGAAACAAAAAAAAAGTCTGCATTGACTAGTTAATTATTCTTAGCAGTGGTGCAGTGATCTTTACGGCTTTCACATCATCATAATTACATCCGTATGAGATTAGATATATAATATACATTTTTACATCTTCAATTTATATTATCGCGATTTAGTGAAAAGGCTCTAATGCAAGTAAGCATTTTCAAGGTTAAGAGTTATTGAGGCTTAACTGATTGAGTACCGAACTGGTATAAACTCTTGCTCTTAATAATTACAATAAAAAGAATCTCATCCTGCACTTGTACATATGCATAATCTCTCACGCTTAATGAGTACAGAACGTATAAACATTCCCTCACTCTAAACAAGTATAAATGTTAAAAATCTGATCCCATTCTTACTGATGTATAATCTCTTAATTTAAATGAATTCAGAAATTATAAAAACACTCTCACTCTTAACAAGTACAGAACATGAATACATCCCCTACTCTTCATAGATACAAACATGAAAATATCCCTGTGAACATTTATACATAACATGAAAATACAATCTTATTCTAATTAAGGACATAACATGGATTTATTTTTCTCACATAACATAGAGAAATCTCTTATTACGTATAGAAGATGGAAATACTCCCTCACTGTAAACAGGTACGGAACATGGAAATAATGGCTCTTACTCAAATCAGTATATAAAGTAGAAACACTTTCTCATTCTAAACAAGCATACAACATGGAACATTTTCTCATTCTAAACAAATACATAATTTGGAAATTCTCTCATTTAAAACAAGCACTGACTCGTACTTAATCTTTCAGTCTCAGCAAGTACAAAAAATTCAGGTACTCTCTCACTCCAAAAGCATCTTCTTCTCCACTTTAAAAATCATGATTTTATTATAAATATATTAAGCATTTGTCTTATAGCATAGCCTTTGTACAAGATTAACACGTGTAATAATTAGGTTATGTATGTTCCAGAATAACAATTTGTGAAAACGATTATTTTATCACAGATTGCAAAGAAACTGAAGCCCAAATCACTAAATAGATTGGTTAATGGTTATCAATGTCATTTCATTTAACAGTTAGTTAGTCTCAATGTCATATCACACAACAGTTAATGGAACTCAAGGACATATCACTACACAGCTAATGGAATTCAAGTTCAAATCATTCAGCAATGAACGGAAGTCAAGGATGCATCATTAAACAGTTAATGATATTTAAGGTCGTTTCCATCGACAGTAAATGAAACTCAATGTCATATCCTTACACAGTTGATTGAACTCAAGGTCATATCAGTCGACAGTTAATGAAAGTCAAGGACATATAACTATACACAGCTAATGGAAGCCAAGGTCAAATCATTCAACAATTAATGGAATTCAAGGTCAAATCATTCAACAGTTAATGTAATTCAAGGTCAAATCATTCAACAATTAATGGAGATCAGGGTCAAATCATTCAACAATTAATGGAATTCAAGGTCAAATCATTCAACAGTTAATGGAATTCAGGGTCAAATCATTCAACAGTTAATGGAATTCAGGGTCAAATAATTCAACAATTAATGTAATTCAGGGTCAAATCATTCAACAATCAATGTAATTCAGGGTCAAATCATTCAACAGTTAATGGAATTCAGGGTCAAATCATTCAACAATTAATTGAATTCAGGGTCAAATCAACAGTTAATGACATTCAGGGTCAAATCATTCAACAATAATGGAATTCAATGTCATATCACTTGACATTTGATCACACTCTAGGTCATATCACTAAACAGTGAAAAAAACCTGAAGGTCATATCGATCAACAGTTAATTGAAGTCAAGCTCAAATCAATCAATAATCAATGAAATTTAGTGTTTGTTGATAAACATCTTTTATGGAAAACTATATCAAATTGTTTAACATGACTAAACCATGAAAATTCAGTATATATATACCAATAAATAACTGTGGTAGGCATTCATTTAACAGAAGAATGCAGATTATCTGAACTCATATTATCCAAACTTACAATAAATTGAACATATGTATGTCTTCCATTGGGTACATATAATCTGCTCTCTCTATTAGACTGAGTATTGGACAATCATTTAGCCATACAGGTAAAAAATACAATTTTTTCAAAATTTTCTTAACAGACCAATTAATCATTACAAAAAATGAAAATTAGAAAATTAATACACATAAAAAAAACATTTGGGAAAAAGAAAATTATTTCTGATTGATTTACACATAAAAACAATTGGAAAATTTATATTCATAATGAATTTTAATAGACTAATATCGCGGATGATATTTTTTTACATGATGCCTGCTTCTCTACCATAATCATTTCACTGTTACATTAAAATTGATCAATAAAAAAAATCCTGACCTTTTTTGTCAAATGGCGGACAGGAAGCTCTAGCGATTGCTATATTTGGATTACTGTGCTATAAACGAGTAAAATCCTTTGATCTGATGCCTTAAAGCCAATCGTACGAGCTCACTTATCCATTGTGATAACAGAATGTATTCTGAATAAGATATTCATTTGAAAGTGTATTAAAGTCTATAGCAGATTGAGGTTACAATAATCCATATTATACAGCATTTCCTTCTGCCCAACTTCAGAAAGATTATTTATGCTAATTCAACCCCATATTTTTAAGGATCCCTGTCCCTCTGCACTGTGGATTTCATATATAAGCACCCTTATTTCGGTTTTAGATAAAAAAAAAAGTAGCACAGTTGGGTCAGGGCACTTTCGTTGACCAGGTAAGGTTATTGGTTAGTGGTATTATAACAACCTGAAGCCCCGGGTTCGAATCCCAGTCTAGCCTTGATAATTTTTTACACTCAGAACACTGTTATGCAAATGTTGATGATATTTTGTTTATTTCATCTTTATTACCCGGTATTTTTTTCCATAAAAATCCTGCAAAGTATGCCAATCATAATCTTTTATCAGAAATAGTTTATTAAATCTATCGTTATGATGGGAAAAAAATGAAATGCTTAGTTACAGTTTTTAGCAGTAATACGGGGATCCTTAAACTAAAAATAGATATTCAAAACACATCTCTAAAAGTGGAACATTTCTAACTTTTTTCTTACATCTTCAATCAGTTTATAATTTCTGTCTGGTAAATACGGTGAAATATTCAGTGTGACCAGGGGGAAACATGGTCAGTTGCTGCAGTGGTCAAGTGTTTAAGGCATGTGACCGTCTAAGATCACTAGCCCTCAACCACTGGGTCATAGGTTCGAGGCCTGTGTGGGGCAGTTGCCAGGTACTGGCCGCTGGTTGTTGGTTTTTCTCAGGGTTCTCTGGTTTTCCTCTAATACCAAAACCTAACACATCATTAAGTAATCATAGCTGGTTTGGCTTGATTTTATAATGTTTAACGTCCTATTAACAGCTAAGGTCATTTAAGGACTTGCATCCATGTGTGTTGTGTATGCAGGAGACAGGGTATGTTGGTACTTGCCTCCTTGTGATAGCGCAGATCTGATGCAGACTTTATAGTGCTATCTCACATAAACACAATGCTAAAGGCGAATCGTAGCAAGATGTAACACACAATAGGTCAGTTTACAAGCAGTCCATATGTCAAATTGTTAAACTGGTAAAAAATCTCAAATCAGAATCTAATATCTAATTTTCTCACTCAGAAGAATTTTTCATTTTTCAAGAACTTTGGAACTTTGTGAAAAAAGATGTACAAAATCCTGCATATTATTTAAGAATAAGAAAATAAAATGAAAATGTTTACAAAATGAAATTTAGCACCACAAAAGTTATCTCCCTTGTCTCAAGAAAACAAGTCAAGTTCGTCATCTTGTGAGGTATTTTGTTGAATGTACTGCATTATGTCATTCGTATCCAGCTTTTCAACTTTATTTTCAACTGCTTGCCTCTCTGGTTTGACCTCAGGACCATCTGTATCTGGTTTCTTTGGTAACACTGGTTTTGCTGCTAAGCTTGGCTTAGGTTTCTAAAATTGAATTTCAATTAAATTGTAAAATGTGCACATAATGGAACTTTAAAACTTAGGCTTAATAAAAACCAGAAAAAAACACATTCCCCGATTGCAAAATCAAGCCAAAATCTGTGAAATGTGTGCCAAAAAGTTTTAAAAAACACACAATAGAGTAAAAGACAGCAGGAAATTGCTGATTAAGAAGCATGCGTCTGTCTTATGAAGTTTTGTTATATAAATCAGTTTTTATCTTTAATCACATTTTTGACAGGAAATAATAATATATAATAATAAACATTTGATATAGTGCCAGCTAGGTTTAGCCACTCTAAAGCGCTTTACAGTACATAGATATAAAATTTATACAATCAATACAATTAGCATATACATTGATCATTACAATTTTGAAGAATTCGCAGGAGCTGCCTTAATTATCAGGCGCTAACTTCTAGTCATATGCCACTTGGCTAATACCTCCTTATGTGTGTATGCCTGAGTGTGTGTTGGTGATGTATAACATGTACAACCAGTCAATTCCATCAACTGATTTCTGTGTGTGATATTGAAACCAATAGCAAATGCAAGATTTTCATTTTTTCATTTTTTTTTTTTATCTTTTGAAACTTTTTTTATAATAATATGTGAATGTGCAATTCCAATAGGCTTTCAACAGCAGTATTTAACATGTTTCTGTTAGAAATACATATATATTTTACTAGTATCACTACACAGTTGGACCATGCACAGTTTCTTGGTATAATCACAGCTAAGCATTACCGAAAGTCAGCCACACTATTAAAGCAACACCAGGCAGATATTAATATTGTAACATAATTTTAAAGTATCTTCTTACTATTGATGGTTTTGCACCGGTATCTTGTGATGCAGCAGGTTTTGCGCCAATCTTTGGTTTCCGTGGTGCCGGTGCCAGTTTTTGCATAGAAACTGTCGGTTTCTCTGGGGAGACGGATGGTTTCTTTGGGGAGATGGATGGTTTCTGTTGGGGAACTGTTGGCTTCGGAGACTTTTCCTCTGGGCGAGGTGACGGTTTAGGTTTGGAGTCAGGTTTGTTGGTTTTAATTTTTAAAAATTTATCTAAATCGTCATCAAGCCTAAAAAAAGTTAAGAAAAATAAGAAAAAAATCAGCATTGTTATCTATTCTACAGCAAAACTGTCAACCTTAGCTAAATGACACCTGCCTCTGATTTCAAACTTTTTGATGTTGAATTTGCAATGAAATCTGGGCCTGTATTCATGAAACTGTTCTCATGCTCAAACATGGAGTCTCTGCTCAGACCCAACTACATGTAAGTGTAACTCACTTAAATCATGTGACACAACCAAAAAGTCAAATGAAAATAGTATTCTACTTCAAGTCTTATAACTGATAAGTCAACCTACTTAAAGTAATAATGAATTTGAACTTGAACATTAAGTCTTTCCCAAATTCTTAAGCATCATAGAAAAAAATGTGATGCATGATTGATTTATTAGTGGAACAAGAAAATGGACTGGAGCACGAAATCTGAGTTTGAACATGAGAATAATTTCATGATTATGGGCCCTGATTTTTGCTATATAGTGATCCTCTAATGAATTTGCACTTTTACGTGTGTTTATATACCCGACAATACAAAAGATATCCCTTGTATTTTGTTTAACCCTTTCACCACTGTAGACCATAATGGATTCATCCAGATTAAAGCATGGTAGAGTCTACTAAAGTTACATAGGGGTGAAAGGGTTAATTCAACAAAGGTACTGTATAAAACCACCTTTTGGGATCCTATAACTTCTGCAGTGTTGCACGTTACAGAATTTGCAGTGTTATCATTTCGTAATACAATAATAATACTTTTTTATTTTCTCAAAGTTTTACATAATGGTGGACGGGCTATATGCAAGTTTAGAATTTGTTAATTGTGTTACGACTTTTACCTGGTACTTCAACTAATTAATGAATGAAATATTTGCTGAACATGCAAAAACATGTACTGATGTAATGCATCATGCATTTCATTTAAATATATGTGAAGTTTATATAAAAGATGGATTTTGAGAAAATTTGTTTTCAAACTTTCAATTTAAATGTTTTACAAATAAATACTGGAAAATTCATCATGCATCCCATTTACATGAAATTTATGCAACAGATATTCCATCTTTGCGTATTGCAGTTATCTTCTCTTGGGAGCAGGTATTGATTGTTAAGTCATTGGTCTGTGTTAGAAAATTCATTGTTTTCTCAAAAATTGATGACTTTTCTCTCACAAACAAGTGACGTAACAATCAATACCTGCTCCCAAGAGAAGATAACTCTGCAATACGCAAAGACGGAATTAGACGAGAACAATTTGTTTTCAAATTTTTGGTTTGAATGTTACATACTGCAAAAGGTCAGAGTTATCCTCGTCCATAAACAAGCTTGAGGTTTCTTTGGTCACGGTTTCCCTAGCTCCAGGTAAGATAAAGTCATTTGCATCCTCCTCCGTAAAAGCTCCCATTAAATCTTGGTCTTCAAAAAGCTTGGTATCTTCAGATGTTGAACATTGGAAGTCATATTTAGAAAATGTAAACTGTTAAAGCATGTTTTATTAATCTCAGAGTCGTATTATTTGCTCATTTGCATACATCTTAAAAATCTTTCATTTTTACATGGAAATAAATAGCATTGTATTGATAAACTACAAGTTAAATTTTAGATAAATATAGATATAGAATATTTTTATTACAGACAAGATTTCAGAGTAAGGTTCTGGTACTAATTATCTCTTAGATAGATGACCTTTAATTGGTCAAAAGATAAATGACAATATCCTTTTAAACTGTTTTAAATTATATATGATTAATCTTATTTACTTACATCATCTAATCATTCTATATATCAGGTTGTTTAAGTGTAGCAAATTTCGAAATCTAATTTCTGTGTTACATTTTCTTTTAACTCTCCAAATGATATCACTTATATAAGTGGGTGTTAATTTTCGGTGTGATATTAAAAGTTTGCTACTTTCTAGTGATTTTATCGCACACAAAAAAGGTGAAAATTTGAAACTTGTGAAAAAAATGATAGAGAGTATTGATTTAAATTCTTAAGGATCCCTGTCCCACTAAACGTTTGTTTTTGTTTTGTATATACAGTAACCTCCTTTCAACCCTTTCACCACTGTAGACCATAATAGACTCATCCATATCAATGCATTGCAGGGTCTACTAAAGTTATATAGGGGTGAAAGGGTTAACATCCATTTCGATATAACTGTAGCACATTTGGGCTAAGGTACTTCTGTTAACCAGTTAGCTCTGTGGTTTAGAGCGATGATGTAACAATCTGTTGATGTAAAGTGTTTGAACCCCGGTCCATTTCTGATGATTTTTTCCACTAAGAACATTGTTGTTGATCAAATTTTGTGATGGTCTTCTTTTTCAGATTTTTTTTATCAAAGTTATAGTCATACAGGAAAAAAAGGGCTCTAACATTTAGTTACTTTGTTTGGCAGTTGTGTGGGGACCCTTAAACACACTCTCATATCATTATAAACTAGAGCCTTATCTACAACAAGCTAGCCTGAATTCACCTTGGAATTGGTTTCTATAATTATCTCCTGTACCACCCAGGGTATCGTCTCCTCCAGCGTCCTCCTCCTCCTTGGAGAAGAAATCATCTGCATTCTCATCGTCTTCCTCCTCCTCATCAAATAAACTATAAAAGGAAATTATTTTTAATAATTTATGCAAAGATAATAAAATTCTAAATTGCCACAGAATCTTTAGACAAAGGTCTTAAGCTTAGCCACTAAAGAAACATACAAAGATATAAGTTTTGCACAAAATAGCATTAACATCAACTTTTCTCGTAGGTTTGGTTTGTTTGTGTTTTACGTCCTATTAACAGCTATGGTCATTTAAGGACGTGCCAGGTTGTGGTGGTGGAGGAAAGCTTGAGTTCCCAGGAGAATAACCATGACCTATGGTCAGTACCTGGCGACTACCCCATGTAGGTCTCGAACCGGCGGCCCAGTGGTGGCGGGCTAGTAGTAGCAGAATGTCAGATGCCTTAACCACAGCTGCCTCTTTCTTGTAGGACTCGCACAACTAAATAAGCCAATCAGCATGTGTTTCATACAATTGTAATCCTTACTTTAAAATAAAATGTGTTCTGGTTAAATCAGTGACTGAGTAATTTAAATATTTATTTGTTGACATATTTTTTACCGAATGAAATCTACAGATTTTAACTTTGCAAACAAGTATAGTTTTAGTAGATTTTGAAATGTGATGGCAGATTTATATGGAGTCAAATGTCAGGGGGTGTTCCCATTCCGCCTCGCCTGTTTGGCTTGTAGTGTTTCACTGATTGTCAAAAGCAGAAGCCTGTAAAAGCGCTCCTATATGCCATTAAATCTGTCAAAAATGCCTTTTGAAGCCTTTGTCAGGTACATTGTATGTATCTATGAATCTAGACAGTTGTCACTTAAGTGTTGAACTTCAAATTTTAAGGCTGTTAACTCAAAAGCTAAGTAGAAACATGAGTAAATGATTTAGTTGTGCGAGTCGCGTTAGATGTACTAGAATAGTAATAGTTCCCTGTCTTACCACATACCTTTGTTCAGTTTCAGGTCTGTCCTGTGTACTGGACTCATCTTGGTCTTCTGAACTCTTGTTATTTTCTGTGTCTTCTTGAAGCTCTTCATCCTTTCTGTACTTTCCAGCTTTGATTGCATTTACACCTGAAATTAAGTCTCAAAAATTTATTTTTTATTTAACTGAATAAAAAAATATTATAATCAAAACTACAATACATGTATAACAGATACGGACTCTAGCTTCAGTCAAACTAACATAAATCGAACATTGAGGATACCAATTTCTCAATGTGTCAAACTTATGACAAAATTTGGCGTTTTTCCCTCATATCACATACACTACTAATATTTCCATTTATAAATAAAATCTTTCCACGTTGCATTTCTCAGTGTTTTGAATTAAAGCAAGGTCTAACTGTTGTGGAAACATTGAAAAATAAAACAAATAAATTGCAGTGTAAAACAACTACCAGTATGAGAACATTGTAATGTCCCTGGGTCATTTTAACACCTAAACATGCAAACTACAGTGTATAACTTCCTAATAAAAATATTTTTTTCTTACAATCCAATACAAATCATCTGTTACATGGCTTGGCTAACTCAGTACTAAACCTGTAGGAAAAAGTTAACAAAGCCATATAACAGATGATTTTCATAAGATTGTGATTCTAATTACTTTCAGTCCAAGATTTCCTATTACATTTTTAACAATCACATTAAATTTGGTCTTATGCAGTATATACAGGATCTCAAAAACCTCAAAAAAAAATAAAACTCACATTGCACATCTACATATCACAGGGTATCACCATGTCAAGTTAAAAAAAAAAAATAGACTTTTGGATTCTGACATTAGGACCGTACCCCACACAGTCAATTTTTAATAACAGTGACCTTGACCTTGACATTAGAAAAAAATGTGTACCCCTATTGCACATCAACATTTCACAGTGTATCAATATGTGGAATTTCAGAAAGAATTGTCTTTCATTTCCCCGAGATAAACTCCAGAAACAAAAGTGTGGAAGGACACACAGACAGACGAACACCTAAATGTACTGGTATTGTTCCAATTAATCTATTTAACCCTTTCACCACAGTAGACCATAATGGACTCATCCATATCAATGCATAGTAGAGTCTACTAAAGTTTCATAGGGGTGAAAGGGTTAACGGATGATTACTTGTTTTACCTTCGACTGTGTCTAGTAAATAATCATGATTTTCTGTGATTAATCATGATTTGACTATAACATGAAGGGTTATTGAGATTCAGAATACACCTGAAATCATATTAAACCGTGGCAGATTTCAATGGTTCATAGGATTATGGTAGCCTTCTAGCTTCGAGCTAGAGGGAATTTCCCTTTAGCTCAGTGGTAGAGCGTCCGAATAGGAACCTGGAGATTGAGGTTTTGATCCCCTGTGGAAGCACACTATTCTCTTTCCTGTTACAAATGGTGTCTGTGGCCCTCCCTATGGTGACAGGGAGTTAGAATCTGGGTTGTTGTTATTTATTTTTGTTTTATTTTGTGATTGATCAATGATCAATAATTGATCGTTTGAGAAAAAGTAATGATTGATCATGAATTTTGATGTGATTCCCAACACTAAAATACACAAAGGTGGTACATTGACAATTGTACTTCACAGAAAGCTCCTTACCTAAGAATTCTAGCAGGACAGAGGCAGTAGAAAACTTGGGAGTACACGCTATAAATTTCAGGAAAGAGTCCAGATTTCCTCGTCTTTCTTTGGCAACAGTATCATTGACAATCAGAGCTTTTTTGGACAAAAGAGGCAAGACTGTTCCTGAAAACTTTGCAGATAGTTTGGTATGTAGATCCTCAAATTCAGCAAATTTCTTAGACACCTGTAATCAAAAAGTATTTATATACATTTCAGGTTTCCCTAACAGACCTTAATTCATGGTGGACTATGCACATAAAAGGTATATGCAAATGATATAGCATTACTTTAGTCCTTATTAAAGTTACATATAAATAAGATTTTATAAATAAAAATATTTCTGGAAATAAAGATATCCTGAACTAACTTTTAACAATTTCAAACTCATTTTACTGCACTTAAGCAGACACTCCAAGAAAGCACAATCAAGTACAATAAAAATCACCCCATATAAAATAACAAGAATAACCACAAGAGGCTCAGAGGGCCTTACCCATCATCTGGATATTTGGGAAATCATTGAAAACGTTCTTCATAAACGTAATTTTGGAAATATTTCCATATGTTGAGTCTTCTTGGCTTAAGAATATTTCAAGCTAAATGAAACTGTATACTACTCTATCCCAGCATGCTACTGGTCAAATATCATCACCCATGACTTCTTTGTAATGCAAAAGAAGCTGTTTAAAGATATATTTTACATATTTTGACCCATTTGACCTTGAAAATAGGTCAAGGTCATTTATTTAGGGAAAATTTATAGCACTCCATACCAGGTACCTAATGGCCAACTATCATCGCCCTGGGCTTCATGGTTATTCAGAAGTTGTTTAAAGGTTTTATATATTTCATGCCCGTGTCCTTGAAAGTTGTTCAAGGTCATTTATATGAAGAAAGTTTATAGTACTCCTTCTCAGAAAAACTACTTGCCAGTTTCAAGAATCAACATAAAATTTGAGAAAGATCGTTTGTGGACTTCTTGAGAAATAGCAATTACAAACTTCAAAATTTCAATATCTGTCTGGTGGTCATCTTGTATTTTTCGATCAGTCTCAAAATAAAACATACACAACTAGCTACAGACCATAGAAAAACTTCACATGAACTTTGAAATAGATCTGTAGAGTACTTCTAGAGAAATAGTGATAATAAGAATTGCTAAGGATGGATAATAAACAAACAGATGGAGATCCAAATATTTCACGATTGGATATTTGTTTTTAAATCCTAAGCTCTAAGCATGTTCAACTCACCATATACTGGACAACATCACTTGGTTTATGTTTGGCAGACTTGAAGAACGGTAAGGAAGACACAACGACCACATGGTACTCAAATGTTGACTGTATAAGTCCTTTGGTTTCTTTGTAGTTGGGCACAGCAATGTCAATACAGGTGTCTTTGTTCTTGAGCTCTCTAGAAACACATACAGGATAAATGTTTAAGTCTTGCAGTAATTAATTACGAAACATAAAAGAGGCCCATGGGCCTTAACGGTCACCTGAGTCTACAATATTTATTTTTGTTGTTGAAATATGTACCAATTTGAGTAAAAAATAGTATAATGTTAACTTAACTTTGTCAGGACCATGAGCTGATCATTCCTAGACCAATTTTAAGTGAGATCGGCCTATTAGAACTTAGTAGCAAAATAGCGGCCATGGCAGCCAAATTGTATTTCTGATTGACCCGAAAAATAACAACACTTTGTCAGGACCATGAGGCGATCATTCCTACCAACTTTCAGTTCAATCGGTCCAGCAGAACTTGACTTTAAGTTTGAAATAGGTTTTCAAAATGGCGGCCGTGGCGGCCATATTGGATTTCTGATCGACCCGAAAAATAACAACACTTTGTCAGGACCATGAGGCGATCATTCCTACCAACTTTCAGTTCAATCGGTCCAGCAGAACTTGACTTTAAGTTTGAAATAGGTTTTCAAAATGGCGGCCGTGGCGGCCATATTGGATTTCTGATCGACCCAAAAAATAACAACACTTTGTCAGGACCATGAGGCGATCATTCCTACCAACTTTCAGTTCAATCGGTCCAGCAGAACTTGACTTTAAGTTTGAAATAGGTTTTCAAAATGGCCGCTGTGGCGGCCATATTGGATTTCTGATCGACCCGAAAAATAACAACACTTTGTCAGGACCATGAGTCGATCATTCCTACCAACTTTCAGTTCAATCGGCCCAGCAGAACTTGACTTTAAGTTTGAAATGTAAAATGTTAACGGACAACGGACAACGGACGACGGACGACGGACGACGACGGACGAAAACGGATAGCAATAGGTCACTTGAGCTAAAGCTCAGGTGACCTAAAAATGCAAGTCTTGTTATTACTCTTTCACAAAATTAAATGATATGTGGATTCACGAAGTTGATTCACTAAGCTATGCTACAGGATTGATTGGGATCACCCCAGTTTAGCTTTGCTACACTCATCTTTCTCTAAAAAAAGTCTTTGACCTCAAAGACAATAAGACCATATATTCCTATGCATTTGTATATCTTTTCAAATGTACCAGAAAAATAAGCAATGCAATTGCCAGACTAGAATTCAAACCTTGAACCTCTCAATTCCAATCTAGACAGAATCTCTTACCAAATGGTCACTACATGTAATTGATCAACCCAGTCAGTTATGTACAGTGGTGACTGCACTCCAATATTGACTAAAGGGCTTCGCTACATATGTCTAAAACATACATGTATGCTATACTGATATGGGTCACAACACACATTAGCACCAGTATCATCTGGCCCTGACACCAGACTCAGACATTTTGACAGATATATGTCTGTGTGTGCCCTGTGTGTATCTGTCAAACTGTCATAGTCTGGTGTAAGGGCCAGAGGAAACTAAGCACACAGTAGTACAGCTACATGCCATACTCAGGGAAATAAAAGGACATACAAAATGTATATGTAAAGCTAAGAAGTGGAATGATGAACTTTTTATTTTTCTTATATTATGACTGGACACAATGGCTGTATAGCTGCTGTGGAAACAAGAGGGACTGTTAATAATGTAGATGTACCTCAAATTGAAAGTAAAATACTGTACACACCAGGTACCAAAATAATGCAAAACTGGGGTGGGTCGATTGTGTGCAACCAGGTAGCTCAATTGGTTTAGTGTCTGTCTAGAGTTAGGAGGATCCCGGGTTCGAACCCTGGTCTGGACGTTGCATTTCTCTTTATTTCAGCTCCAATTACATTTGGTACCTGTGACCATTAACTCTTGTTTCAAGCACTGGGTGTACACTTGAACAGAGGATACTGGAACCTGGGTTGTAAATAGTTGTCTTAGGGGGCGAAGACTTAGAAAAATGAGGGAGAATGTAGCGGAACTGGACGGGGTCGGCGGTCAGCGATTGGTAGACTGTCCGTCTAGAGTTCGTAGGGTCCCCAGTTCGAACCCCGGTCTGGAAATGCATTTTTCCTCTCCTGTTAAACTGATAGGTCCTGGATACACTATTATGATGTGCAATATACTACATAATACTATTTAATAGTGTATACACATCGTGTCAGTTTGTCCAGCACCTGTGTCCTAGGCCCGTGTCATAATGTACTAAAGTGTATGTGGAGTTGGGAAATTTACGGAATACACTGCTAATTTTAATGTATAATCAAGTCCGACACGTTAATTGATCCATATGGTCTGGTTATCGTTTGTTTAGAATTTTGGTTAAATAGTAAACCCTTCTCAGCGAGATAATCATGTCAAACTCTGAACCATTCTCATAGAGATTTGTCCTATGTGATTTCCCTTTACAAGGCTAAAATATATAACATTTATCACTAATATGATTTAAAACTTTGCTGTAAATGTTGAAAATGCTTTAAAATATGTATGTACCGCACTGTCACAGTTGCTGAAGGCATGTTGATCGTGTTGTGTTTCGTCTCCTAACGCTGGTGATAACACGCCCACTTTGTCATGGACGCGGCCATGTTGGATCGTAGGTGACACTACTGACCCAGTGGTACTGTCAAATACGACCCGGAACAGCCCGGTAGAAATTGAAAACCTTTTCTATTGTTTTTGGTAGCTTGATTAAACTAATAATTTCTGTGTCAATAATAAAATTATAACGACTTTATTTTTGGTACTGTCCTGTTAATATTAGGAGGTGTAAGTTATATATATCAATTTGATTAGCACGCGCAGTAAGAAATATTTAATATTTTGTGGTTAGGGAGACCCAGGGAGGTTTTCTTGCGCACCAAACGGTTCAATATATGATACTTATTTCTTGCGATATAGACAGGAAATAGCATTACCTGTCTATAATCAAAATTTCTGAATGAAAAATAGTACAATGCCAGTCAATACAGACTAAGGGAAATAACTCGTGTGGACTTTACTATAGGTTGTTTTCATGGGTTAACGCGACGCGTACGTCATAATATATATCAACATCTAAGGATATTTTTGGACATTCCTCCATGTGTGTTATGTATTAAAGGCTTGTACGTGTTTGCTGGAAGCAGAGTATTTTGGTAAATTTGCCATCTTACGATAGCGCACATCTGATGTCGACTTAATACTTTTACATGTACCTCACTGAAATACCAAATCGATGGCACCCAACATATAATATAACACATGTATACTTGCCAACTTTTTGAAATTTCCGTGTGGTAGAATACACATTCTCAGAATTAAAAGCATAACTAAAGTGAGTGTATACGTACACCCAAAATAAAAAAATAACGCTTTTAAATGACATCTTTTGAGCTGCTATTTCATAATCAGATCTTTGAAAATAGGAATAGTTTAGCAAATTCACTGGTTAAAATGCTAAATGTTAGGGCCCAAAATCGGGAGTCTTCCTTCTAAATAGGGAGAGTTGGCAAGTATGCACTAGTAGAACTCAACCTTATATATCTTTACCTGCATATATATGTATAAGAATGTTACCAGGCTCTCCTACAAAGACACGTACGGTTCTAGACTACATCAGAGTCCCACATTTTAAATTATATTATATAAGTAATAAGTTGGGCTAGCTAAAGGGAAAAGGTTAGGAAATCGGGTTTATTGTATATTAGTCCACATATGAACTTACATGTATACCATAGAAACTATATTTGCCAAAATAGAAAACATAATTTGTGTCTCGTTATAATGAGCATCTCGTTAAAACGATGATTAATATTTCGTTAGGGCGAGTTAGGATATCGTTATAAAGACTATATTATCTCGTTATAACGACTTTGTGTCTCGTTATAATGACTTCGTATCTCGTTATAATGACTTTGTATCTCGTTATAACGACTTCGTATCTCGTTATAATGACTTTGTATCTCGTTATAACGACTTAGCATCTCGTTATAACGACTTCGTATCTCGTTATAATGACTTTGTATCTCGTTATAACGACTTCGTATCTCGTTATAATGACTTTGTATCTCGTTATAACGACTTCGTATCTCGTTATAACGAGTTCGTATCTCGTTATAACGACTTCGTATCTCGTTATAACGGCATCGTATCTCGTTATAACGACTAAACATCTCGTTATAACGACATCGTATCTCGTTATAACGACTAAGCATCTCGATACAACGACTTCGTATCTCGTTGTAAGGACTAAGCACTTCGTTATAAAGATCTTGGTAGAGTTTGCAGGGTCCGGGGCTCGAACCCCGATCTTGCCGTGCATTTTCCCGCTTCTGTTGCATAGGATAGTGCATGCCGGTTGGACACATCGGATTTATATACGACTTTGATATTAAATCTGAAACTTGCGTATACAGGATGTGCAAACTTTATCACAAATGATGTCTGAGTATTAACCGAAGCTTCATACTTTGTCAATTGTATCATACTTCTCTTAGGAGCGTAGAAATGTAAAAAAAAACCACAACAACTCCAGAGCCAACCATACTTTGTAATAAAATTATCGTTTGAATTTCATTGCTGTAATGCACGTGCTTTACCTTGCATGCTTATATTGGTCTGTTTGTAAATCATCTTCGATGCTGAGGAAATACAGATAATAATATCAATGATTTTTTTCTCTCTCTATTGTATATAGGATACGCAAATTAGGTAATTACATTTGCTTTTCTATTTTAATATTGGTCTCGTGTATTTCGAAACAGGTGTTTTAAATAGTTCTATATCAATTTTCAATGATGTGATTAAAAAAAGGTATGATAAAATAAACAATTATATGAGATATTAGACAAACTCGTTTATAATGGCTCTTTCATCTGCACCCACATCATAAAGTGTTGAGGTGTTTGAGAAATCTAAAGCATCTTGTATGGTAATATATATAAAGTTGAATAATCGTAAAGTTCCGTACACTATTTCATTTTTCAAATATTTAGCCACAAAAAGCATACGAGTTAAAATAATATTGCTTATTTGACATCTACCATCTCCAAGTGGTCAAAATTCCGCTTCCCGTGCATGAAAACCGTTTCCCTTGTTGTACGATTTCATCAATCATACATTTGTTTGTATATATTAATTACTTTACTTGTTTGTATCGTGTGCAACTTTTAATATTTAATATTTATTGATTTATTTTATTGTCCCTTTTTATCTGTAACACAGTGTCAGTTCATGGGATGCACGATAACTTTTACAGGAGTTGTGCCCCTTGAATTGCAACTCCTTTTTCTTTTTCAAGGTCACATGGGTCAAATACATTATTTTTTTCAAACAAACCAAGAGGCCTAGGGTGATGATATTTGGCCAGTAACATGCTCGGATGAATTGCTACCAAGTTTGTTCAAATGAATGACCTTAATTTGTATTAAAGGTCACTGGGGTCAAATATGTCAAAAACCTTTAAGCAACTTCTTCTGAATAACCGAGAGACCTAGAGTGATGATATCTGGAAAGCGACATGCACTCCGTGTGTGTGCTTGTGCTGATTGATTTTAAGATTTATACATTTTGGATAGCTTTCGAATTATATCACTGTGATAAATATCACTTTTGATGTTGTCGCGGTGTAATAATCTCACTCCCTGGATAGACAGATGGGAACGGTACTTAGACTTGCACTTCATTGGAAGCCAGAGATCATTTGTTTAAACGTAGATGAAACGACAGTAGATAAAGAGGATGTTTTGATACTTTTTTTGCTATAAACACAATGTAATAAGCTAACTACAACATTGAAACATTTTTTTTATCAGCAAATCTGACCAAATAGTTAAAAAAGAAACAGAATTGCGTTGCGTAGCCATTCAAAATGTATGTACCTGCAAACTATACACTACATCTCCGTTTCATGTTGAAAGTGACAATCAATATGTATTCTGTGTTGTTTTACATAATATGAGATAAATTATTATAATATCTGTCACTGGTACTAATTTGTAAATGATACATATTCTGTGTTGCTATATATATATATATAATACGCGATAAATTCAGTTTAGCTCACCTGTCCGAAGGGCTACCAAATGTGTTCAAATGAATGACCTGGACTTATAGTCAAGGTCACATGGGTCATTTTTTTTTCCAAACAACTTCTACTGAATAACCAAGAGGCCTAGGGTGATGATATTTGGCCAGTAACATGTTCGGATGAATTGCTATCAAGTTAGTTCAAATGAATGACCTTAATTTGTATTAAAGGTCACTGGGGTCAAATATGTTAAAAACCTTTAAACAACTTCTTCTGAATAACCGAGAGACCTAGAGTGATGATATTTGGACAGTTACATGCACGGATGAATTTCTACCAAGGTTATTTAAATGAATGACCTTGACTTATAATCAAGGTCAATGGGGTCAAATATGTTAAATGCTTAAAACAATTTCTTCTGAATAACCAAGAGGCCGCGGGTAATGATATTTGGCCAGTAATATTCTGGGATAAAGGGTTACCAAGTTTGTTAAAATAAATGACCTTGACTGATATTTAAGGTCACAGGGGTCAAATATGTTTAAAACCTTTAAACAACTTCTACTGAATAACCGAGAGACCTAGAGTGATGGTATTTGGACAGTTACATGCACGGATGAATTTCTACCAAGGTTATTTAAATGAATGACCTTGACTTATATTCAAGGTGAATGGGCTCAAATATGTTAAATGCTTAAAACAATTTCTTCTGAATAACCAAGAGGCCTAGGGTAATGATATATTACCAGTAACATGTTGGGATGAAGGGCTGCCAAATTTGTACAAATAAATGTCCTTGACTTATATTCAAGGTCACAGGGGTGAAATATGTTAACATCATCAAACAACTTCTTATTAATAACCGAAAGACCTAGGGTGATGATATTTGGCCAGTAACATACTCGGATGAATTGCAACCAAGGTTATTTAAATGAATGACATTGACCTATATTTAAGGTCACATGGGTCAAATATGTTAAAATCTTAAAACAAATTCTTCTGATAACCAAGAGGCCTAGGGTGATGAAATTTGGCCAGTAACATGCTTGGATGAAGCGCTAACAAGCTTGTTCAAATAAATAACCTTGACTTATATTCAAGGTCACAGGGGTGAAATATGTTAAAACATTTAAACAACTTCTTCTGAATAACTGAGAGGCCTAGGGTGATGCTATTTAGCCTGTAACATGCTTGGGTGAAGGGTTACCAAGTTTGTTCAAATGAATGACCTTAACTTATATCCATGATCACAGTGGTCAAATATGTTTAAAACCTTAAAAAAATTCTTCTGAATAACCGAGAGGCCTAGGTAGATGTTTGACTAGTAACATGTTGGGATGAAGTGCTACCAAATTGGTTCAAATGACTGACCTTGACTTACATTCAAGGTTACAATGTACTGGGGTCAAATATGTTCAAAAACACTTAAACAACTTTTTCTAAATAACCAAGAGGCCTAGGGTTATGACATTTGGCTAGTAACATACCGGGACAAAGTGATACCAAGTTTATTCAAATGAAACACCTTGAGTGGTACAAACAACTTCTGAAGAATCTTAGGTCCAGGGTAATTATATTTGGCCAGAAGTATGCTGGTATGAAAGGCTATATAAAGTATGTTCAAGTTAATGTCCTTGTTTGACTTTCAAGGTCACACGTGTCACAAGTTTAAATAATTTATCAGATTATTTTGAATCAATTACTGGTATTTTGCCTGTAGCTTTATTTTGAATAGCTAGTGTAAAATGATACCAAGTGAGCGATTCAGGCCAATTGGGCCTCTTGTATAGTATGTGATAAATTGGTGTAATATCTATCATCTGGTACAATGTAATACTCTGTGACTAATAAATGGGGCTGTTTTTGTCAATGGTAAGATATAGTTTTGTTTGTATTAGTCATATACAAAAATATGCTCAATATCTGTAATCGATGCGCATGTGTAGAGCAGGATCACATGTTCCTTGTTGGCAACGACAAACGGCGATAAAATGGCGTAAGTATTTCGTAGCAGTACAGATGTTCAGCTATCTTGCTATTTAACATAACAATATACGTGTTTGTATGCAGTATTTGCAACACCTAGATCCTTCTAGATTTACAATGTAGTCCATGTGCTATTTTGTTTGTTTGTTTGTTTGTTTGTTTGTTGGGGAGAACAACTAGTAACGTTCTCACAACAGCTAACGTCATACAAAGGCTAGTGCTTTATGAGACATCACCAAAACGAAAGAATAAGGAAGTGAAAAAGAAACAAATCTGGATCACAAATGTTACAATAGGGACAACAGATTTGTATCTTCTTCACTGACTACAAAGCAGAAGAAACAACCCGGTTCTGCATGGGATGCACATATATGTGCAGTCTTTGTTATCCAGTGTGGGCCGGAGTTGATAAGGAGTTAACACGTATTGTCCCCGTATTGTATCTACTACCTTTCAATTCTTACCCGTCGACAACCTTTCTCGGTATAGACGTATATTGACAAAAGGTTTAAAGAGGGGTTGATATACAAATGTATTCGTGCAGAAGGTTCGTATGTCGCCGTCTGATATGTTAACAGTAGTTTAATGTTTTCTTATAAATAGCTCGTTTACCTATAACTCGTAGCATTGGTGTGCTACCTGCATAGCTTGTGGTATCGGGTTGTTTCCCTTAATCTCACCGCATAAAGGATCGGCAAACAGCCAATACACATTGCCCGATTAAAGGCATCCTGGAAAACAAAACGAAATTGAAAGTACGTGGTTTATGTACGAGGACTTATCATTTTTTTTCAATTTACACTTGATCAACATAATTGGAAAAAATGTACACACTGCCAAATATAAAATACACTGTTTCTCATATGCTTGAGTAAAATAACACTAGACTTAGTCACTTTTGTTTAGAAATACATCTTTATATGCTTTTATTTTAATTTAATTTTTTATCTTATTTAGCACTAAATAATTATTTGCCATGACTTTCAGAAAAGATACAAACACATTCTCGTCTCAGGCATCATATTTTCTAGCAGTTGGAGTCAATGATCAGTTGACTCTGATTGAGATGGAAACTATGAGAAACGCACTACGAACTCGTTCAGGAGCAGTCACGATCTATTAATCATTATCATGTGTCGTTACATCGACGACTATGTTTAATATTCAATTATATATGTACAAGTACATAAGTATTTGTAAGACATATAAGCCGTGTTATCTATAATGATAAAGCGGTATTGGAGTAACGCTTAAATGGATTCTGTCACAGACATAGTAGAATCTAAGCACCAATTTTATTAAATCATTCATTGAAAATGTTGGAATGCGATAGTCTTCCGTGATAAAAGTATGATGCTTTTTGGTATACAAACAATCAATATGTATTCTGTGTTGTTTTACATAATATGAGATAAATCATTATAATGTATGCTACTGGTACTAATTTGTAAAAGATACATATTCTGTGTTGCTATATATATATATATATTACGCGATAAATTCAGTTTAGCTCACCTGTCCGAAGGGCAAGTCAGCTTATACCGTGGTGCGGCGTCCGTCGTCCATCCAGCCGTTCGTCCGTCATTTTGATTGAAATAAAGCATTGTTGTGCGAATGATTTGACAAATTGAACTTAAAAGATGATATAGACGATGCAAAATCGTCCAGGGTACGAAGCATCGTTCGTCGACCTAGTAGCAAAAATGCCTTAAAACCTCATACTAAGTAACTATCCAATCATTTTGGTGTATATAAAAAAAAACACGCATGAGATCTGTTAAGCTAAAATATGTTTCGATTTGGCAGGCGGTTATCAAATATTTGTTGTGACACATAGACAGATACATACATTCTCTGTGCTAAATAAGGTTTCTGTTTTGAATAAAACTTCTGTTTATGATGTGGTTTATTATCATATCGGTTACCATCATACTTGGAATGTGAGCGACAAATCGAAAGTGAATTTATATGTTGATTTACATTGTCACCAAAGAACTCAATTCAGAAATACTGTCAGACTGAAAAAAAGAAAAATCATAACTTTTAAAATCACTACAGATTTCAGAAAGACGATGTACCTCTTTTTCCAAAGCAGCACAGAAAGGTGAGGAATTAAACATGAACCTTAAGTAGCAGAACGCTTAAACATTATTTAATACATCGATCTCATATTGGGGAAATGGGCCCACTTGTATAAAGTATCTCAAAGTTAAGGAACATCTCAAGCAATGTATTGTCTATGGGAAATCTTAGACTTGAGGAAATCTCAAGAGGCACTCAAATCCCTGAAAGATAATTCGGACATTGTCATCAAGCCAGCGGACAAATTCCTGCGCCCCGAAAACCCTCAAGCAGGAAAGTTTTATCTTCTTCCTAAAATTCACAAACCTGGGAACCCTGTTAGACTCATCATTAACTCGATCAACCACCCGACGGAAAAAATTCCCAGTTTGTTGACTTCCACCTCCGACCATTCGTAGAACGTTTACCATCCTTTTTAAAAGACACCACAGACTATCTAAACAAAACACCTGCTAAGAACTTACCAGAAGGTACCTTGTTAGTTACGATGGACGTCGTTTCCCTCTACACTTACATACCGCATGCCGGCGGCATTGCTGCCTGTCGCGAGGCATGGGAACGGCGCAGTACCATACACCCATCGAATGATAGCCTGGTGGATTTACTGAGACTTGTCCTCACACTTAACAACTTTACATTCAATGAGGATAACTACATACAAGTTAGCGGTATCGCCATGGCTACTAAGATGGCCCCCTCATATGCCAATGTCTTTATGGGACATCTTGAAGCCCAACTTTTAACATCTGCTCCAATTAAGCCATTTAGCTTGTTGAGATTTATCGATGACGTTGAAATCAAATGGACATCGGCTCGGGACTCCTTTGACGAGTTTATTGAGTACGCTAACGCGTTCCACGCCACCATCAAATTCACAGCGGATATCTCCACGGAGAGCAACACATATTTGGACACCAGTTCCACTCTGATTGATGGTAAGATTAGTACGGACCTCCACTGTAAACCTACTGACATACACCAGTATCTCCACCCATCCAGTTGTCACCCCTCGCACACCACGAGAAGCATACCCTACTCCCAAGCTCTGCGCATCGGGCGTATTATTTCGGATGACATCATCTTCGAACGCAGTTGTTCAGAGTTAAAGTCCCACCTTCTTGGCAGAGGATAACATCTACTTTGATAGATCGGGAAATAGACAAAGTGAGGGTACTGGACAGGGCAAGTCTGCTTGTATATAAAGTCAGACCCTAAACACAAAGGGTACCTTGTGTAGTCATGTTCCACCCAGACATGCCGCCACTTCAATCTATCTTGAAAGAGCACTGACGCATCATCGAATCTTCAACGATACTTAGGCAGATCTTTCCAGAGTCTCCTATACTGGCATATCGTAGACCTAAAAACATTAGAGATATTGTGGTAAGCAGCAAGCTACCTACACCTAACCCTGCTGCGGCGAAAGGCTCTTTCAATACCTGTTACAAGAAGGTGTGCAAACTGTGTCCATACACGAGCTCCACAGATACATTTCAATGTACAATCAACGGCACATGTATCACATACTACAAACACTGACATGCACATCAGCAGAACAAACCAGTCTACCCTGTGGCAAGACATTTTAATATGCCTAGCCACAGTTGGAAAGACATGCAGGTGGTTGCCATAGATCATTGCCCTACATTGGATGAAACGAGACGACGTATGAGAGAACGGTTTTGGATCACCAATCTACAAACCCGCTACCCTCGAGGTATGAACGAACGATAGGCGGTTGCGATCCGCTCGTTTTCCTTCCAGGGGGCATTTGACCTAATGGTGCATTACTGCACAGTTGGTCTGCTATATCGCCTGGCTGCTGCTGCATGGTCAGTGTGTGTGACCAACAGCCGTTGTCAGATTAATTTTGCAGATTTATACAGTATCTTAGCCATTTCATCTACTTATTCCTCCTGCACTCACTTATTTGATAATTATATGCATTATTCCTGCAAACCGAAAGAGGCGACTAAGTTTGGACCTCCCTGCTGTGACTGTTAAATCCACTGCAGAATTGAGAGGCGACTAATGTGGTCAGTCCGTAGGAAATTGAGATTTTTCACATTTTACCGATTTTGGTTATCATTTGGCGGGTCGTCGTTGTGTTTCATTGGGCGAGTCGTCTTAGTGCACTTTCGCTATAGAGCAGAGACAGCCATCTTCAGGCAATTGTTTTTAGTGTTGGTTACATCATTATGACGTTATACAATAAATACAATTACTATATTGAGTATTGATTGTATTATGTCATAATGTAATAAACATATACAAAACCAAATCAAAATAAGATCTTTCCAGATTAGATCGATATTAAAACTTGTTACTTTTTCTTTGTAAGATTCTGCAAATCATTAATCTATAACCCAGTGGCTTCGGTTGAAGAGGCGCAACTGCTGCAACATACGTATATTCTCATTATATAGCCAATAGCCCTGAAAAATAGCCCTTCAATATAACAAAAAATCGGAGGAAAGCATGTATTTAATGGGTTGCCAGAATAATTGCTCAAAGCTTTCAATATTTTTCAATGCAAGACGGCTCTTTTGATATGTCAAGTAATGTTTCTTGTAAACCCTTTCTTGCTCAGATTGATCCAGGCTTCCTGCCAAACGATGTGGTTCTTGTAATTGAGGATGAACATCTTCATGTTAACAAAGCTTTACTGGAATCAGCTTCACCTATTTTTGAGGCTTGGCTTAAGAAAGAGTGGCAAAAAGAAGAATGCACTGACGACACGAAAAGGGAGCTGAAATTCCCTGGGAAAACATATGATGATATGGTCACATTCCTAAAATGTCTTCTTCCCAATTTTGCTGACAAAGTTACAGGTAATTATGAAACATACTTATATCTGATTGGTTAAAAGAAATAGATTAAATTCAGGCCTAGTTCTTTCTGAAGACAAAGCGGATAACTCGTTGCGAAAACAACCAATCTGCGTTCTAGACCTGAGTCATCTGCAGCTGGCTGGATCAACATTTTGGTCTCATTTTGCTTCTAACAATCATCTACACGAGACAAAACTATTACACGCACTGAATTAAATGATACTTAATCAAGCTGTTTACATAACCACTCGTATATTTGATATATTTGTCAGATTCAAACCGAATCGAAACTAATCCCCTGCATTCGGGTTTCTGAGTGTTACACTTTGTCAGTATTCCGTCTTTGCGTATTGCAGAGTTATCTTCTCTGGAGGGCAGGTATTGATTGTTACGTCATTGGTTTGTGTGAGAAAATTACGTCGTTTTCTCAAAAATTGATGACGTTACTCTCACAAACAAATGACGTAACAATCAATAACTGCTCTCAAGAGAAGATAACTCTGCAATACGCAAAGACGGAATAGTAGTGAAGGAAAGAATATTTCATATTTTACATATTTGCATGCCAGACGAAGATGACTGTACTTCAGAAACCCTGTCCCACTGCAGTATTTCCCCCTATTTACAGTTACCTCCCCTTAACTTCCGTTAAGATATAACTGAGGCACAGTTTAGTTGACCATGGACATTTGTAATTCAAGCGATTGTATATGAATATGAAGTCGAGGGTTCGCATCCCAGTCATACGCCGCTTATCTATTTACACTCATGCCACTGTTGTTGAATTATTGATATTTTGTTTATTTCATCTCTTATTTCTCATAAAAGTTCCACGAGGTATACTTTTCTTTTCGGAAATGATTTTTCAAATCTATAGTCATGCTCGAAAAAAAACATTTTCCAATACTTATTTACAGTGTTTGGCAGTGGCACGGGTCTCCTTATTAAACGAACACCCATAACTGGGGGGAAAGGAAATCATAAAATGGGTTTTGTCGTTACCGTTAAGAATGTTATTTCTCTCCACATGTTACACACATGAAATATGTAAATACATTCTTTCGTATTCACAGATGAAACACTCGATACAGTGCTCCCATTAGCAGATGAGTATCGGACAGAAAAATTGATCACAGATTGTGTGAAAGTCATCCGACAACGCGTGGAGTCTGTCTCCGAGGTGGATATATACATACCACCTTCTCGAATTGTCACATACCTACACTGGATAGAAAAGTACAACTTGCATACGGTGAAAGAAGTGGTTGTGAAATTAGCTTCGTGCCTAAGCGGCGAAGTACTAGAAGCAGAACCAGGCTATGAAAATATCGGGCTTACACATCAGAAGGAGATATTTACAACAAGAGCAAAGCTACTTGCGAGTCTGTTTGTGAGCAATGTAACTGAAGCCAAAGGTATGCTCGTTTTGCTTAAATAATACTTATTTAATTTACTTCAATTATCAAATAACATGTTTTATCAACTTATATTAATCTTGTTGGCCCAGTTGGTAGTTCATAGGATGTATAATTGTGAGGAATCCGAAATATCCCTTACCAATTATCATGACTCTAGGTTTCTGAAACTATTTATTCCAAATAACCTTTATTCACATTCGATCACATTTTTTAAATGATGCACACTTAACAATGTCGGTTTTATCTTAACTCTTAAGTCTTTACTCTTTCATTTCTCAGCTTTATCATATAGTTTTGCCATTTATTTGCATAAACTTATGCTATTTTAACTTTCCATATCATATATTATTAGTGAATATAAGGTATTTTTCAAGCAACAGTATTTTTTTTATGTTGTATTGCATTTAAATATATATACTGAAAAGATCAGGAAACACAGGGTAAACATTTGAGGCGATTTAATGTATTTTAAAGTATTTGAATGTTATGTACAATGTTTTTTTCATATAAATATAAAGAAACATCTTTAATGAACAAAATAATGGAGCACATTTGACAGTACCTCCCAATATCGCAGAGTGAGATCGATTGATTTGTCATCTGGCACAGCCCTGATCTCACGTGCATGGAGTTCATCAGTGCATTTATCCTTCTAATGGGAATATTGTTCCACTCTTCCAACAAGAAAGTCCTTAGTTGGTCGAGAGTATCGGGGACATTCCGACGCTTCCTTACCCTCTTATCAGGTTCGTCCAACACATGTGAACTGTAGGGCGGCCAGTCTAGTGGGTAAATGTTATGGTTTGTGAGAAAGTCACGACAAACTTTGGGTGCATGGGGCCGGGCATTATCATGGTGGAAAATTTGGTGATGTTGTTGCACAAAAGGAACTGCAACCGGACGGAAGATTTTATTCTTCTATGTTACAGCGGTTAAATTCCCGGCTACCACAATCCACGATGACTTTACTCCGTGAGATATCCGTCCCTAGACTATAACCGAGCCACTTCCAAACCTATTCCTCTCAAGCGTCGGCGAAGCGTTCCCCACGACGACGTCGACCGTCCGGACAAAAAAGAGTGAACCGGGACGGTGAAAAAGAATTTTCCCCATTGCCTCATTGGAAATCGTTGTTTGGGCAAACCAAGCCATACGACCCACGCGACTGAGCTCGTGCAATCGGTTCCTTACAGTTTTGGCGTGAAGTTGGCGAATATGATTGCCTCCTTAACATTAGCGGTTTCAGTGGTAGTACATATGCGATTATGCCGGTTAGACAAATAGCACTGTCTCTGAATTTCTGTCAGCCGTATCATGATTGCAAGAGATTCAAATTGACAATAAATAGCGGAAAGCGATGTGTATACCTCAAGAGTATCGAGTGGTATGACAAGATGTGTTCACGAGCTTGTCATCATTATTCTGTACTTTTTTCAAAATTATTTTTTTGTAATCTATTTTGCAATGTAGCACGGTATATTACACAGTTGAGTACTTTGGACACCGTTATGAGTGCACAGTGACTAAGATATTTGTCTGACCTGTTTTTATAATTTTAGACCAAGCAGTGCAATAACTGCATATTTTGTTACCCTGCGTTTCCGTACTGTATATATAAACATTGTATTCAAGTCTGTGTGACAGGAAAATGATACAAATCACCTTAAAAGTCACAAGCAGACCGAATCTTGAGGCTTTTCGCTGCTATATTGTATATACAGTTCCTGAAATATTGCTGATGTACAGTTCCCCAGGAGAATGAGGGGGAGCGGTATAGCAGCGAAAGGCCTCGCGAATCGCCCTGCTTCTGATTTTTAGATTTACACATACACATTCACCACCACCACCACAAACACATACACACAAACACACATATATATAGTCACAGAAATAATAAGGCGATACTTCAGCCTATTACGAAAGTGGTACCTGGATTTTTGTTAATGTAATTTATGTTGTAGTATTGTTTAATAATGACTGTTCATCACATTGTTATATATTGTGATATGTAATTGCTCATATTTTGGTTTTGAAAAAGGGGCGGATTGACTTGAAAATTTGATAAATTCCTTTGTCCGCAGTGTCTTTATTACTACCGTACCTATTTAAGTACGAACAATTGTTTGTTTTAATCAAGGGTCCATATTGCATTATACTGTCGTTATTACTTATGAGACCTTCATATATTTTTTACAAAGAAAATCTTATTCTCAATGTCCAGATAAAACATGAGATTTCAATGTGAAGGGTATCAATACCATGTTGAATGTACAGCGATATCTTGGTTATTTTATGTTCATTTTATACTTCCTTTCTTTTCGTTACAGAGAAGATATATCAATTAAAAATCCCACATTCCTCGTATTATTTGGCTGAGTGGAGACAGAATGTAGCCAAACTTGTGAAAGATGCGTTGGTGTTGAAAATATCCGAAAACTCCAAATGGCCAAACACGGCCGCCTACAGAAAGATGCGAAAGCTTTCCATGTATGGATATGAAGAGGGAATCATCTCTAAAGTGATTTTGGACTCTTTTACATGCCTGGATATTTGCGCTAGGTTTAAATACTTGGAAAGCTATGCAAATGCCATACAGAGAATTAAATCACTCAAAATAGGAAAGGCCGATTTCAAATGGATTTGGTCAAACTATTATTCAATTGGCATTCGTAATACAAATGCTACCATGGAACGACTTTTGCTTGACATCTGCAATTGCAATTGAAGTGTTGGAATGGGACGTTTTTCATATGGACAGAATTTGAATTCAGAAAGTAATTTCCTTTGCATTTGAAATCATCGCGACAGATAATGAAATGTGACTCTTTTTTTAAAATAATAAAGATGAAATTTGCAAAATATAATCAACAATGGTGTTCTGTGTGTACACTGTCAGCGGGGCTACACCGGGACTCGAACAACAGACTTCAGAGTGTTGTTATATCGTTTTTACCAAAAGAGCTACCTGGTTGGCAGAAGTGTCCTTGTCAACAGTGCTACACCAAACACTAGTTAGGCATGCGACAAAAACGGCAAAGTCATCTATGATAAATGTTATCGTCCTCTCGTTATTCTTTTACAAAACATATTAACCTGTTGAGCACGTGGTTATCTTGTGCTGTTGTGTGTGCGAGTGGCCAGCTCCAAACAAAATACATCAGGCAGTCACGGCGGTACTCAAACATGTGCTTTTATTACCCAGAATTCCCTACTTACAATAATTCCCGTCATACTCAAAACTAGTACTCAGCACGTACACATGTACACAATAGCGTCTATGAGCACTAAGAATAACTTGATGTTACACAGTTATATTATTGCAGTATACAACACAATACAACTCGTGCTTAACTGGAGTTATTGAGCACGTGTTATTTTTTTTATAGAACCAGATAACTAATAGGCGTGAGGACCAATGCATCTCCCTGAACATATATTGGTGTTATTACCACTTTGTAAGACAATTTTACCCGATTTAATTTATTCTAACATCTGCGTCCCCCCACCAATGATTAATTTTGGGGATTACATTATTTACCAAGGTTAAAGCGTAGATAATCCAAAAGGACAACAATTATTCTTGATCAATTTTAAAAGCGATGTTTTTTAATTAGATTGAGAACATTTTACTCGACATATCATAATCCGTTTCGCAAACATCATAATTTCTTTCAGAATTGATTTATCAAAGCTATAGTCGTGCTTGAAAAAACCGGTTACCAATACTTAAATTCTGGTAATGGTAGGGGGATCCTTAAACGAACACCTATAACTGGGGAAAAATAAATCATAAAATGGATTCTGCCGTTAAGAATGCCATTTGTCCCAATGTATTATACACATGGTGTATGTAAATATTTGTCACTCGATGAATCCGCAGACGTTTTACACGTACATTATGTAGTAGTACTTCGCAAGATCATTGCACAAACAATAAAAAGTGATTGCCCATTCTATAGGATCCTATGCCTGTGTCTCTGTCAGATACATATACAGATCTTACTATGTATGTGTCTTAATGAGGTAAAGATTCTACATTCCCAATGTCTGTGTCTTCGTGAGATACATACACAATACTTTTGGTTAGATATATTTACAATGATACATAAACATTACTCGCTATTTCTGTTCCTTAGTAAGATGCATACAAAATGTTCACGTTTGTGTCTTAAGGAGATGCATACACACTACTCTCTATGTCGATATGTTAATGAGAAACATACACAATACTCTATATGTTTGTGATTTAATAAAATACACACAAAATAATCTGTCTGTATGCTAGGTAAATACACGCACAATACTTTCTATGTCTATGTGTTAGCGATATACATACACAATACTTTCTATATCTGTGTGTTAGTGAGACACATACACAATACGTTCTATGTATGCGTGTTAGTGACACATACACAATACTTTCTATCTCGGCGTGTTAGTGAGACACATACACTATACGTTCTATGTCTGTGTGTTAGTGAGACACATACACAATACTTTCTATCTCTGTGTGTTAGTGAGACACATACACAATACTTTCTATTTCTGTGTGTTAGTGAGACACATATACAATACTTTCTATGTTGGTTTGTAAGTGAGATGAACAGTATTATATATTTTTGTGAGATACACACTCAATTCTCCTGATGTCGATTTTCAAGAAGAAAAATACACGGAAGGTATGATCTGCGTACCTATCTATCTGTAGCTTTAGGTCTGGTAGATTGGATTTGAAGAATCGTTTTCCGGGTCAACGACCTTGAAACATCCAGAGGTTTTTTTATATCGGAAATATAGATAATCATTATTAAGTATATAACCACTTGTAACACTGAGATGATATCAAAGAACGCCTTAAGAAAACTTAACCAATTTGAAGCCTTTTATTAACTTGTGGAAATAGAATATCAAAGAAGAGTGTTTAACTATTAATGTAGAGTACCGGACGTTTGTGTATTTCTAGACCAAGACATCGTCGTGTATATTGGCATAGTAGCCATTGACTTACGATTTTCGTATTAATTATACAAAATATAGCATAGTTATACGCAACACATCACCTTACCATCCTCCATGTACCCTAACATTTCATTGAGCACGCTTGAGCAAGTCAGAAGTGATGACACGGACAAATATTTCGGACGGATGGACGACTGCACGCTCTCTGAATTTTCCACGCTAAAATCAGACAGATTTATTGATACACGTTGACGTGTCTAGTATAATAATAGAATAGACAGCGCCACTCAGCTATATGCTTTAGCCATGAGAGACAAACAAAAACAAAGACAACACATTCCACTTTGTCTTTGTCCAGAGACATACGAGTAGGTAAAGCCGAAAAACTCCTATATGGTGTTTTCATGAGATATAGTAGAAAAGAACAGACAAAGTAGCCTGTATTGTCTGTGCGGCACAGGGATATGTGAAAACAAAGACAAAACCCAAGACAAGGTCTTTGTCCTACGGTGGTTGAAAAGACAAAAAAGAAGAGAAATCACACGCGAAAAGATGAAAAAAAGGCTTGCTAATTAGCGATTTCAAAGTTTCGTCTCTTCAACAATAACACGTGATATATCAAAATAGCTATGATTTACAATTATTTCACGTAACATATATAAAAAGCTACTAGAACAGTTCTGCATAGTAGATTTGAAAGCCGTCGTAAAGATAATTATCCATATATATTGCGTTGTTTTTTATGTCCTTATCGCTGCAGGCTTTCAGAAGTCGAAACGGGCCTTCCATGCCATGTCTGTGGAAGTAAAAAGGCAGATATTGTATATGGTATTTAAACAATGAAATATATTTTTGGCAAACATCCATGCGACAGTGCTAACATCCGTTCCAAATAATCAGTACCAATCACAGAAAACAAGAAAGACGCATTTTTGAAAAAAATGCACAACTTAGTAATTCTGATATAGTCATAAACACTTATAAAAGACTTTAACGTGCCATATTTTGAACTGAGGAAATCTAACATGCTCATGTAAATTGATTAGAATAATGTTAAATTATTATTCTGGCTCGTTTCAGAAGAGACAAACGAAGACTATAGTACGTTAACAAAATGAGTGTTTACGAAGACGGCAAAAGAACCGAGTTGCATATTTTTCCAAAAAAAAAAATGCTTTTAAAGGATATTGAATTGTATATAAATGCTCTATATAATAGGAACTTTTGAACCTGGAAGAGTGAATGAAAACTTAGCTAGTTCTCCTCTCACCGATAAACAGTACATACACACCATCACCATAGTAAACAATAGTCTGGTTTCAGACTGCTTTACTTTGCTTCGAAACCTATGCAACTAATGTACCTTATTTTTCTGAAGCTAATAAACATTTCTTTCAAAAACATGGAACACAACGCAACGATAAAAATTCGATGCACAAGCATTTCATAATATTTGTTTCGCACGAATGTATGTTATTTGGTTGTTGTCCTTAATTGTCTGAACGAATTTCTCAATATCACTTTCCGAGACCAGTGTTAATTTATTATTTTTAAGTCACCTGAGCTTTGCTCAAGTGACCTATTCCAATCGCTTTTCGTCCGNGTGTTATAATGTTCAAATTAAAACCTATTGTCTTGGTTATTAAACTCAAAACCACCCAATCAAATTCAACTCATATACCGGTCAAGCGTATCAACATTGAATGCTAATTTAAGAGATTTAATGTCTGCCGGATTGCTACAACAAGTAGAGCAACGCAATAGTAATTAACCAGCGTGAAAACTTGGTAATTAACCTACTGTTTGAAATATTATACTGTAAAAGTGCTTATTTTAGCGGAGTCAAATCTTAGCGTTTTATGGCATTTGAACGGATTAAAGCCAGTGTAGATACATTCACGCACTCAAAATATGCTCAATAGAAAGCTATAAACAAGTAAAATTTTCTATTAACGTAATCATAACTTAGCGGAATTTTCAAAGCGCGAAAGGATCTAAAATTACAACACCGCTAAAATATATACGTTGACAGTATTCAAATGTACATATTCTAATACATAGAAGTGTACAGTAATGCAAAGTTTATCATACTGGTACATTTTATGTAATACAGTAACAACTTACCTGATTCCTTTGAGGCCGAGTGAAATGCTGTGCTGGGTACCTTCGGTATGGTATTCCAGTGTGATGGCACTATAAAGTCGGCATCAGATCCGCGTTATCACAAGGAGGCAAGTACTCCAACATACCTTCCCTCTAGCACACATACACACATGCACGCTTACACAACACACACTGAGACACATCCTTAAATGAAATAAGATGTGAATAGGACTTTCAACCCTAAACAACCAACTTAAGGCCGGTAACCTGTCAACTGTCCATATTGGGTTTCGCACTCTATTTCTACTAAATATAACTCTGATTTTTACATTGGTTAAATTATTTTTTATCAGTATATGATTGCCTACATATCTCCACAGATAAACGTAAAACAGATACATGTGATTACGGGGTCATCTCTTACAGTGATAGTGATCACGTATAACTTACATGGGTGATGTTGATATTTAAACATCAGAATAAGTGGTGACACAACAACTCTTTATTTTCCCCACAATCACCCTTTTAGATTGTGTGCTTAGATATGAAGGGTCTTTTATTATATAAATACATTATGATAGTAATTTGGCATACTTTTTTGAAAATATATACTTAATAATGTACTTAAAATAAAAATATTTTCTATATACTTAATTAACACATACCATACACTACTTAAAAACGACCTTCTCTATATCTCATTGATATAGAAATTTGAAAAATGATAATTTCATTGTTCCTTATCGATTGGTCTATGTAGCTGCACATTATGCACTAAATCTTTATATTGAAAAGTGACAATCAATATATATTCTGTTTTGCTTTTCATAGTATGAGAAACATCATTAAATTATATGTAACTGGTGCTATTTTGTAAAGTGATCATATTTTGTGTTGCTATATTGATATTACGTGATAAATTAATTTTGTAATATCTGTCATCTGGTAAAATGTCATTCTGTGTTGACTTATGACCGGGACTGTTCTAGCCAATGGTGGGATGCAGTGTTATTTGTTAAAGTCATATGTACAAAAATATCTGTAATCGATGCGATAAACCCATCCCCTCCCCGTCTGCGCATGTGTAGAGCAGGATCACATCTTCCTTGTTGCCAGCGATACAATGGCGTAAGTATTTCGTAACAGGACAGAGGTTCAGCTATGTTGCTATTTAACGTAATAGTATACGTGTTTGTATGCAGTATTTGCATCACCATCTATTTAGTTATACAATGTAGTCCATGTACATTTTTGTTTGTTTGGGATAACACCTAGTAACTTTCTCACAACAGTTAAAGTCATACAAAGGCTAGTGCATTGGGAGATCATAGAAACGAAAGAATAAGGAAGTGAAAAATACAAATCAGGATCACAAATGTTACAATGGGGATAGAGGACTTTTTCTTCTTCACTGACCACAAAGCTGAAGAAAATAAAACGGTACTGTATGAGCTGCACATATATGTGGCTTATTTTTGTCGCCTGTGTAAGAAACTTTATTTTAACACGTAATTTCCCCGTAATGTATCTACTTCATGTCAAGTCTTACTCGTTGATAGTCTTTTTGGGATAGACGTTCGTGAGCAGACAGCTATGTATTCGTTCGGAAGGTCCGTATGTCGCCGTCTGATCTGTTAACAGTAGTTTAATGTTTCCCTTTTTAGCTCGTTTACCTGTTACTCGTAGCGTTTGTGACCCACCTGCATACCTTGCGGCATCGGGTGTCACACTTTAAACTCACCGAATAAAGGATTTGCAAACAACAAATACACATAGCCCGATTTAGGGTTTCCTGGAAATCTAAACGAAAGTGAAATTGCATGATTTATGTACTAAGACTGATCAACCTCTTTAATTTACACTTGATCAGCAGATTTGTTTGAGGTTAAAGCTCGTAACGTTCTCACAACAGCTAAAGTCATACAAAGGTAAGTGCTTAAGGGGACACCGCCGAGACGAAAGAATCATGAATTAAGAAAAGGAATCTGGAACAAAAATGTGGCAATGAGTCAGCGGACATTTTCTTCATTGACCCCTTAGGAGGAGAAAAAAAAATCTAATTATGCACGGGCTGCACGGGCTGCAGATACATGTGATTTTGTTGTTGCCCTGTTTGGACAAGACCTCGTTGATAACGAATCTTTATTTTAACACGTAATTTCGTGTTATTGTATCTACTGCAATTCAAGTCGCTCCCGTCAAGAGTCGTTAATTGGTGAATGACTTAAAGCGGGGTGGTGATATCCGTACAGTATATCGGCGTCTGATCTGTTACCAGTATTTTAAAGGTTACTTAGCTGGAGAAGGACCCTACATGTAATGATCGTTTACCTGTTACTCGTAGCGTTGGTGCCCTAACTGTATACCTCACGTTTTCGGGTGTCACCCTTTAAATTCACCAAATAAAGGACTAGCAAACAACACATACATCTACTTCAGCTTTTTGTATTTTGATATTGTAAATGAAGATAACTGTGATATCATCTTAGAAATAATAATTGTGTAAATAAATAATGTATATCTTTTAACTTACACATGTATTTGACTGGCAAGAGGACCACGTGGAAGATTGGATTTTTAAGCTAAACGTGTCTTTTATACTCTATAAATAAAGTTTTTTTTATACATGTTATGCACGATTATACCTTAAGCCCAATTTAAGGAAACCAAAACGAAAGTGAAAGTATACCTTTTAATTACAATAAATCAACAAAATTAGAATAAGTGTACACAATCTGAAAAATTGCCTTTTCATGATATGGTTTAGTAACATAAAAACAATAATAAAAAAGCCACTACAACATCTTCATCGATACACGAGCCGAGTGATCCCCCACTTAGAGTGGTATGTAATCATCACGTTAGAGACATTTTTGGGTTACAAATTATTACGTGAAAATAGATTTGGGCGGCCGTTGCTCTTTAAACAAAAGCAGGTACCCCGAAAAAGGTTGCAGTTTGTCAAAACTATGTTTTCCAAAATGAATAATGTTTGAGAGCCCCGAATCCAACATCCATGACAGGATTCCCCTTCACTCATGGGATACAGTCTAGCCCTGTCCCCTGTGTTAACACTCCTTGAAACTACTATTTCTTCATGTTTTTGGTGATATATACTCCAACGAACCCTAACAGATTTCTAGATAATGAAACCGTGACATTCATTTTGTTCACTTTACTATACTGGAGTCTTCTTAAAAAAATCAACTTGAATTGATTAAGAAATAATGATTTTTTTACTATCGTTAATGGCATCCAATCTTTACCTTACTTATTTATTAGTTAGTTAGTTATAAAAGTGGATGTCTCAGTTTTAAGGGTTGTAGATATTTTATCTATTTTTATACAATTTGAAGAATAACAGTGTTAACATTTTAACTCTGAAAGACTAATTAATTATGATAAAATTGTATTTTTTTATATTATATTTTTTACATTTATGTTTCCACCAGTTGATATGTACGCTAAGGCAAACCATTTTTTTAATCTTTATAGAATGCAGAAACCTGGTGTTCTTCTTCAAAACCAGTGCGATGAAAGTTTAGAATACGACACAAATCAGTCTGGTGATCACACCAAACCAGTGCCAATACTGGATATTGAAGTAACGGACGAAACGTGTGTTGTGAGTAGCCGATGTATGCTTTTATCAATCGCTATAACGTTCGGAACTTTTGATATATGTTGCAAGTTATTAGGATGTTATTCATTCACAAGTTCAGATGATAATACTTTATAATATTACTAAAACAACAAGAAGATATAACAACCAGCCCATGTCTATAGTAAGGATCACAAAATATAATATGTAGGGATGTTGTATAAGTTATTCCTCTAAAGTGTTCGTTATTGACATCAGGAACAAAATCTGGTGAGTTCCGTACTTTAAATTATGAATTCAGTGATGAAGCTTCCCAATTCAACATCTTTCTTATAATTCCCTAATCATTGTCTTATTAAATATAGCATTACTCTGATTATGAGACTTTTGACAAATGAATGAATAATAGTAACTGACACTGAAAGAATTCTTTGGACATGTCCGTAAAAACCTTCATCAAATTTTAGGCTCAAATAGATCCAGGCTTCCTGCCGAACGATGTAATACTGGTAGTCGAAGAAAAAAATCTTCATGTAAACAAAGCCTTACTAGAATCAGCTTCACCTGTTTTTGAGGCTTGGCTTAAGAAAGAGTGGCAACAAGACGAGTGCACTGACGACACTAAAAGGAAGCTGGAGTTCCCTGGGAAAACCTATGATGAGATGGCCACATTCCTAAAATGTCTTCTGCCCTTTTTCCCTGACAAAGTTACAGGTAATAATAAATATGTGCTGTAACTATGATCATTTTTTTAGTAACAATTTTAGTTTGCAAAATAAATAATAGTATAAGCACATTTAATAGACTTAGAATAGGACCCACTGTATTGTTTGAATACGCCTCGGATGTTTATCCCGCTAGTCTAGTATCAGCCTAGCGATGGGGCAATTTTTGTTCCTTCGACCAATCAAATAACTAATCGTGTGTCTTAAATTTTGCTATGACAAAAAACAAAGGCTCAGAGAACGTAAGTGATCGAACGTAGCCCCCCGGGAATCGATGATGAAAGAGGGATAATAGTGTATCGATTGCATACTAAATGTATGGGATCATTTGCGGGTACGAAAACTTTTGGTCGGAGATGATTCTTCAAAGTGTCGCAGTTCTTGGCGCTCAGAGAATAGGTTGTTCCCGTTGTAAATACTCTGTACTTGACGGAAACGCGGGATCACTCAATGATTAATGGTATTACAGTGGATATAGATGTTTTCCAATGGACATTTCGGTCGAAACACCTTTTCAAATAATATAAAATTATGTCCGAGACATAAATATTAGGATTGTCTGTTTAAATGTGGAGGAAGATGGCGTAGAACCATATTTAAATATCATCTTGATTTATAGTTACAAAATAAATCATACTTCCCTCTAAATCCGGTTATTTACAGATAAAAAGCTGGACACAGTACTACCTTTAGCAGATGAGTATCGGACAGAAAACTTGATCACAGAATGTGTGGAAGTCATCCGAAAGCACGTGGAGTCCGTCTTCGAGGCGGATATATACATACCGCCTTCTCGGGTCGTCACATACCTACGCTGGATCGAACAATATAATCTCCACACGGGTAAAGAATGTGTTGTGAGGTTAGCTTCGTACCTGGAATCCGAAGAGCTACAGGCAGTTGCAGACTACGAAAATGTCAGCCTAAGACTTCAACTGGAAGTATCTAATGCCAGAGCCAAACTACTTGAGAGTCTATTTGTTTGCAGTGTAACAGAAGCTGAAAGTAAGTCTGTCTATCTAGTTTCATTTAAAAGAAAATAATTCACAAAGCAAGAGGATAATGTGTTTGAAAAAATATATCGTGATCTGTTTTCACCTAAAATATGACAATAATTAAACTTCACAAACGAATTTTACAACAAACATGATAAGGCAACTTTAATACTAATCTTTCCTTCAGTAGTAACATTCCAGACTTTGCGAACCCCCTTTTATTGAGTTTNAATAATTATAACTTCACAAACGAATTTTACAACAAACATGATAAGGCAACTTTAATACTAATCTTTCCCTCAGTAGTAACATTCCAGACTTTGCGAACCCCCCTTTTATTGAGTTTATGTGATTTGCTACTTAAGGATACCCGTGCCTGCAGTTGGTATGTTGATAACAGATAAGAATCGAAACCCAGTCAAACCAACACATAGAAAACTCCCCCTACTTTTAAAAACTGTAAACCAATCAAAACACGCTAACATAACAGGTCATCTATCACCGCCTAGTGAAATTTATAGCAAACATTTTTTGACACACAATTCGGCTCAGGTAGGATCGAAATTCACTCGAATCCGCCCATAGAAAACTTCCCCTACTTTTGATATATAACCAATCAAAACCGCGCTAACATAAGCGAACAGGTCATCTATCACGGCCTAGTGAAATTTATAGCAATCATTTTTTGACACACAATTGGACTCAGGTAGGATCGAAATTCACTCGAAATCCGCACATAGAAAACACCCCCTACTTTTGACATGTAACCAATCAAAACCGCGCTAACATAAGCGAACAAGTCATCTATCACGGCCTAGCGAAACCTATAGCAAACATTTTTGGACACACAATTCGGCCCAGGTAGGATCGAAAAATATGCGACAATATCTCGAACCCGATAACCCCCTGAAAACACTCCCGACTTTAAATTTCAATCCTACTTATGCATAACAAACTCCCAATCCCTAACTGCGACAACCCTGTTGTAGTTAAAATTCTATCCTAATTCTTTTCTTTATTTTATCCTCCAATAACTTTACTGATATAATCTAATCTCAATAGAAACTCATGGCCCCCTCTCTACCCCTCCACAAACCCGCATCTACCCAACCCTCTTCTGCCTACTTCTAACTCTCACCAATGCACAAACCCGTCACTCCCCCCCCCTCCCCTCTCCCACAACTAACTTATACTAATACTCACAATCATAATTATAAAAGTCAGATTAGTGAACAGTTACAGACGAAAGCAAAGGAAAAGTTTTATTTGAACGAGAACATTGGTATTGATGAAGGAAAGATGTCCATAGTGTGCAAAGACTGGATTCAGTTTCAAGAATGGACGCCAAAAATCAAGATTAATTAGCACCTGCATGACACTAACCATTAACCAATGACATACAGTCCGGCGGAGGGGACTATAAACGGTGTCCCGTGTAGGAGGGTCCAACCTGCACGTAACAAATCCCTCTTTGTATTATCGAAAGAGTAGGCGCGTTAACGCCGGCACAGAGGATAGGGTTGGATTAGATAACATTTTTTAGACGTTTCGACGGACTTCCAAAATATAGGAACAAAACAAAACACAAAATAGAGTAGGCTATAGTTAAAGGACAGCCTGTATATGGTACGCCCTCCTCCTAGACCCACGCCATATACGACATCATGATATGATACGACCAGTGATCTCCCCATCTTTTTATATAATAATAGTTAAAATAAGACATATATATTATTAGCCCAGTAAATTAAAGACCCCCCTTTACGTAAGACCCTCATCATATAAGTCAATTTTTACCTTCTTTTTTTTCGGATTGCTCAAATATTTATCTAAATCTTTATTTTATTTTTCTCTTCTAAAGCATAAAAACATACTCCATAGAATTAAAGGTAAAACCCAACATACACCATTGGGACCCGTTGGATAATCTCAGACTCCGGCCAAGCCTGACAAAAGAAACAAAGTACTGTACCTAACGGAAGCAGAGAGTTTCTCTACTGTCGGGCACAACCGGAAGTTAGAGACCCAAGTACATATCAAATATAATATAAATACTTCCCTATAAAAGAACAAGAATATATACAATAGATACACTTAAAAAATATACAAATAATTTCTAAAAAAAATAAAAAATATATATATATTCATTATTACAAGCCTTCTTGGCCATTTTCTTAACCTCCCCCAACGATACAAAAACACTAGTTAGAAACAACAGCCAAAGTTGCATCAACCGGCGCGACAAACCATTTCGGACCAAGGAGTCCTCTCCAAATTTCATCAAAATATAAAGATAGGATATAGCATAGGCGACTTCAGACCACCCCCTGAGGGAAGGCAACTTCCCTCACGCCGACAGAACACCGACTTCCGTCAGTGAAATGAAACCCGTAAGAGCGGATTCATGTAGGCGCAAAACCCTTCAACCAACCAATGCATTTGGACGGGTATCTTTATAAGTCTATTTGAAGTATATGTATGTGATTTCAATGTCCGCCATATTGCCTGCAGTGGGACAGGGATTCTATAAAGTTTATTTGAAGTATAAAAGTGCACTTGATATTTAATAGTATGTAAATGATTTGAATGTATGCCATGTAAAAAAGTATTAACGACACGTATACGAATGAATGTACTTTTTATTCGCTTGGAGAGTATTAATATCAGTGTTCGTTGTTTAATTAAGGTGTGGTGTTTGAATGACCTTGTTTATGTTATGTGAATATCATTGTAATTTAATTTAATTTTTATTTTGTTTTATTATTATTTCTATATTTTTTTTTTATTTTTTTTACAGAAAAGATGTACCAGTTCAAAATCCCACACTCCTCTCAATATATGGCTGAATGGAAAAATAATTTAGGAGAAATTGTTGAGATGTTTCTGACATCAACACCATCCCAAAAAATTGCTGCAAACCTTTCTGGACTTAGATTATGCCCAACAAATTCAGCGCCTTTTAGCCTTTTATCCGTGTCAGCGGATAGCAACATGAAGCCGCTAATCTCACCATCAATTGTTGCCGCCTTTGCATGCATATCTATTTGTGATCGGTTTAAGTTCTCAGAAAGCTATGCAAAAAGCATAACCAGATTAACGTCACTAAACATATCCAAGTCAGAAGTCAAACAACTTTGGGCAGCACATTATTCGACCGACAGTGATAAAGTACGTGATGGCATAGAACGACATGTGCTTCAGATGTGCAAATGCATTTGAAAGTATGCAGTTTTTGATACGGATTGTATCGTATAAGTATACAACAGCTATTAAATGCTGGAATGAATTCACACCACACATGTAGTATAGTATCCATAGCAATTACGTTGTTGGTAAATATTGTTACTCGCTTTCGTTTCATAATATACTTTTTCTTGTGTGATATTTTTAAAAGCAAAGATAATAAAATGGCTCATATTTTATGATATGTAATCACTATATGGTGTATACATGTGATATCGGTGACATTGAACAGATGTTATTACTTGTGATATCGGTCACAATGTACAGATGTAATTACAAGTAATAATAGTGACAGTGTACAGATGTTATTACTTGTAATATCAATGACATTGTACTGATGTAGTTACCTGTAATATCGGTAATACTGTACATATGTAATTACATGTAATAATAGTGACAGTGTACAGATGTTATTACTTGTAATATCAATGACATTGTACAGATGTTATTACTTGTAATATCGGTGAAACTGTACACATGTAACTACTTGTGATATCAGTGGCATAGTACTGTTGTAATTACTTTTATTACATACTTACTAATACGTTTTTTTTTGTTTTTTTTGTATATGCGATACGACACAATTGCTCTAACCCATATCAGCCCTCGCCGTATCACACCCCAAAACCCGTATCAGCCCTCTCCGTATCAGCCCGCAAAAGTCCGTATCAGCCCACAAAATTCCGTATCACACCCCTTTTGGAACACTTCTATTTTTTCCCAATTACCACCACGTCATTCGGAACCCTTAGTTACCAGTTAACAGTTTAACAATGGCTGATGCTGAGAAACGGCGACGAATGGGGGAGAAAACATTGGAGTCTCTTGCCAATAGGATTGTTGAGTTAGAATACCTAATTGAGCAAGAAAACGCTCAACACATTGTGCATGAACTGTCTGCCGTCATTGATACGATTGGCGATGTGGCGGCACAGGAAGCAGAGGAAACAGAGCCTAAAGCTCTCGCCGTAGCAGCTGAAGCAGACGACAACTACGACTTTGTTTCAAGCACGCGGAACAAGAATACAGAGAATACAGTTAGAAAGACCGAGTCTAACATGAGGAAATGTATGGCATTTGTTTTGGCAAACAATGACACACGGAATCCAGAAGAAACTCCAAAACAGGTCCTTGAATAATCAATGTTATCTGGCAAGACTACTGTACTCCATACCAGCTTCAGCTTTAAATGTAAACATTTTGTTTCTTATATTCACCTTTAGTGGACTCTTCTTTGAGGGATGATAACACACATTGATAAAAAAAATCGCTTCCGCATCCAAACAAAGTCATCATATTGTTAATTCAATGAAAACAGAACACCTGTCAGATATCGGTTGATAATCGTCAAAATGAAAATGAAGTAAGTCACCGGATCCCACATATCGCTGACATTTTTATGTTAGATTGCAATGGGATAACGATGGCAGCTAAAACACGTAGTCATCTTTACAATATTTATGTGTGATATGTTTTAAGCAAATAACAGTTCACAATGATTTATTAAATGTACATGTAATTATTCCATGTCAATTTGTATTTTCGAATATGAAGATCTCTATCTATATTAAATGTAACAAGCATATTTTCATGCAAGTATTTATTTTCGTTATATCCAAGAAAGAAAAGAGGAATAAAATGTACATGCTTGTCTTTTATTTTTTAAATTGTCAATGTAAAAATTCTTATTTTGTAGCCAAAAAGGGTAATCTTTATTATACTTTGTACTTTTTAGCTTTCGGGCAGATGAGCTTATGCCGTGGCGCGGCGTCCGTCGTCCGTCCGTCGTCCGTCGTCAATATTTTACTTTAAACAACTTCTTCTAAATAACCAAAAGGCCTAGAATGATGATATTTGAACAGAAGCAAACTGGGATAAAGGACTACAAAGTTTGTTCAAATGTCACAGGGGTCAAATGTGTTAAAATCTTCAAACGACTTTTTCTCAATAACCAAATGGCCCAGGGTACTTATATTGGGCCTGTTGCATACTGGGATGCAGGGCTACCAAGTTTGTTCAAATGAATGACCTCGACCCACTTTCAAGGTAACTGGGGTCAAATGTCTTAAAATCTTCAAACGACTTCTTTTCAATGACCAAAAGGCCCAGGGTACTGAAATTGGACCTGATGCATACTGGGACAAATGGCTACCAAGTTTGTTCAAATGAATGACTTGACCCACTTTCAAGGTCACATGGGTCAAATGTGTTAAAATCTTAAAACGACTTCTTCTCAATAACCTAAAGGTCCAGGGCACTGATATTTTGCATGTATCAAGCTGGGATGAAGGGCTCACAAGTTTTTTCAAACGAATGACCATCACGCATTTTCAAGGTCACAGGGATCAAATATATTAAAAGCATTCAAACAACTTCTTCTCGATCAGAAAAAGGCCTAGGATACTAATATGTGGCCAGTAACATGCTCGGATGAAGTGCTACCAAGTTTGTTCAAACAAATTACCTTCATCTATTTTCAAGGTCACAGCGGTCAAATATGTATGTTTAAAACCTTTAAACAACTTCTCCTGAATACCCAAGAGGCATAGAATAATGATGTTTGACCAGTATCATGCTAAGATGAAGGGCTACCTAGTTTATTCAAACAAATGACCTTTGCCCATTTTCAAGTTTACATGATTCAAATATGTTTGAAATCTTTAAAAACTTCTTCTGAATACCAAAGAGTTAAAGGATAATGATATTTTGCCAGTAACATGCTAGGATGAATGGCCTGCAAAGTTTGTTCAAATGAATGACCTTCATCTATTGTCAAGGTCACAGGGGTCAAAATATGTAAAAAAAATCTTTAAAAAATTCTTCTCAATAGCCAAAAGGCATTGGATGATGATATTTTGNAAAAAATTCTTCTCAATAGCCAAAAGGCCTTGGATGATGATATTTTGGCCAGAATCATGCCAGATGAAGGGCTACCAAGTTTGTTAAAAGAAATGACCTTGACCCATTTTCAAGGTCACATGGATCAAATATGTTTAAAATCTTTAAACAACTTCTTTTGAATACCAAAGAGGCATAGGATAATGATATATTGACAGTAACGTGCTGAGATAAAGGGAATCTAAGTGTGTTCAAATGAATGACATTAATCTATTTTCAAGGTCACAGGGGGTCAAATATGTTAAAAACCTTTAAAAAACTTCTCAATAACCAAAAGGCCTTGGATAATGATATTTAGTCAGTAACATGCTAGGATAAATAGCTACCAAGTTTGATCAAACAAATGACCTTCACATATTTTCAAGGTCACAGGGGTCAAATATGTTTAAAACTTCTTCTCAATAACCAAAAGGCCTTGGATGATGATATTTTGCCAGTTAGATGCTGGGGTAAATGACAACCAAGTTTGTTAAAATAAATAACCTTCGCTCATATTCAAGGTCACAGGGATCAAATATGGTTAAATCTTTAAATGTCTTGTTCTGAATATATTCAAAAGGTCCAGGGTAATGATATTTAGCCATAATCATGCTGGGACGGAAGGCTATGAACTCTGTTCAACTTAATGTCCTTGTTCGACTTTCAAGGTCACAGGCGTCATCTGTTTAAATCATTTAATATATTGAAATGAATCGAACACATACATTTTGCCTGTAGTTGTATATCAGTCCACTTTTAAGATTGCAAGTGTGAGATTAAACCAGGTGAGCGATTCAGGCCTATTGGGCCTCTTGTTTCATACACACACACGTTTTGTATTCCATATCAAATTATTGAACATAGTTCCTAAAGTTTTAATCTTAGCGAGGAAACGAATGATACGTTCGATCCTATAGCTGATTAAAAACAATTAAGTCTGATGTAATTCGCACCCCTGTGTTTTGTTTACTTGTTCGTAACAACTTCTTTTAATAAATTTAAACTTTATTTATTTTACAACAATTTTATTGGATCTTATATTAATCCTTCTTGTTAAAGATTATCAATAAAAACTTCATTTATTTTACAGCGTTCATGTTACAAGTTATTGTAACTTATATAGTGCGCTATCCACTGCACTTCCTGAATGTTGGTTGGCTTACATCTACTATACATTGTTCTATGTGAACTAGATAAGAGACAAATTCAAAACAACTATAAATAAATATACCAACAGAAACAAGTACCAAAGGTATTTCACTTCGGTGTACACATCACAAGCCCGCATTTCATCTGGCCCTGACACCAGACAAAGACATTTTGACAGAAAGATGTCTGGTGTAGGCCCGATACATCTGTCGAAATGTCTAATTCTGGTGTCAGGGCCAGAGGAAATGCGGACTACATGTAACACATCACTACAATGATAAATGATCTTGTAACACGAATAATACTATTGATTTCATGAACCAATACACTACCTAAATGCGACCTACTCTATATCACATTACAGATAATGAAAGGGGGGGCGTCAAAAATGGCTTCTTCTTTGATTTCAGTTTTCTTTTGGTGAGGTGTAGATCTAAACCTTTTCACAACAATCGTAGAAGCATAAAACTGAAATTCTCAAAAAGTTTTTTTCCCAAAAGACCATTTCTTTTCAAAATAACAATATATTGAAGGATCATTTATGATGCAACCAAAACTAAGGATTATGTACTAAAGTAAACATTGCTATGGTGAGTTATCAGATACTTAGAGACAAATCACAGCCAGAAGCCATTTCAAGCAATGATATTTTCCAAACAAAAATGGGTTCATCTTAGAATAAAAGTATCTTATAACTTGTATACCAAACATACGTTGATTATAAAAGGACTAGGTCATGAACTACAAGTGACAAAAATATAATTCCAAAATATGTGGTGGAACATATTCCAGGAATAGATAAAATGACCATTTGGTCTGTACAACAGCAATCATAGCTAAGTGTATAGTCAATAATTACGACTGAAAACAGATAGAAAAGAAGAAAATGTTTGTTCCAATTTAGACGGGATGAAGTGTATTTAATCAACAGAGAAGATGTATCGAAAATATTTGTTGGTTTATTCCTTTTCAGGATGGCCACCATCAGTGCAATATCTATGGAATTCTATGATTGTATGATTCTTTGTGACTTTGTTTTTATATAAATATTAAAGTTAGGCGCCGTATCAAAAGCTGATGACATTGTGCAAAATGCATAGTATGAAATGAGTTCCAGTGGCAGACTTGCAAAAAATAAGGGAAAAAAAGGAATGAGAGGCTTTGAGTTTGGTTTCAAACTGGTGATTCTAGATTTACAAGAAAACAACTTGTTTCAAGCTTTGTCGGAACTTCTTAGCCCTTTTTGGTGCAACTGCTTTAGATTTTGAAGATTGCTATGCTAGTCATGATAATAAAGGATTCTTGATATAAGAGCACACATTCCCATAGTCCTTTGACCAACTGGGCAATGGCAGTAGAAATCTTTTATTGTTTTATTATCATTTGGTGTCGTGCTGTATTGAATCCATACATTATATTTTGTCTGGCTTTTATGTTTCCAACAAATCTGACACCGGATGAGGTCTTGAGAATGCTGATACACCCATATTTCATAATCTTTACGAGTTTTACCTTTGCTCTCTTGGAAAGAACTGGTTAGTTCACCCTCTGAGCCAAACATTCTGTTTTTGTAAGTAGACACTTCATGTGTTGTGCAAGTTCTATGTCTTTTCTATCAGTTTCCAGTAATCTTTGATCAACTGGTCCTCGCATCCAATTTAGACATGCAGTCACAATCTTTAGCACTACCTTAATTATATCAATGAAGCAATTTGATATTAACTGAGTTTAAAAAAAATAGCCAATACTAAGAACGGACATTATAAGACTACAATCCATCGAGATTTAGTAACTGTTCTGTCAATGTTAACCTGTATTAATACCAGATGCCTTTAACATTGGTAAAACAGCTCTAAAATAACGATCAACGACTACATTGTCGTGTTGCTCCAACCATGTTGTTACGCTTGCATCATTTTGACTTCCAGAGAATGGTTCTACTGTGTCAAAACTGTAGCCATCAGATAGATGTATGCTCATGAATTTAAGATAATTGCGCACTTTCTGGCCACAGTAAGACATTCTCTGAAGCTTATGGTCAGCACTTTTTTAAACATAAATATATGTACCATCTATTAAGGCAATTACTTTGTCTCCAAAGAATGTTTCTGAGAATAAAGTATTGTGTTAAAGCATCTTTTCCCTACTCAAATGGTCCGCATCAGGAACACTGGAACTATAGCCTTATTCAATGCTTGGTCTACAGAATGAAAGGTTTTCAAAATGATAAAAAGGGAAATGCCACAAAATACGGAACACTTAATTCCAAAAGATATCAGTCTTCATCTTAACCCAAAACAGTAAAAGAGCATTTTGTATAGATTTGGTATGTAAAGAAGAAGAAAGAAATTGGACCAAGAACGAATGGATTTTGAGAAACTGTGTTTAGCCATCCTGTTCAAGCTTTGCAGCCAGGGTCATCCAAAAGACAAAAATTGAGAGTGAAGGCTGGTTGATTCTTTGATAAAATGAACAACACTTCTAAAAGGTCATCACTTATGTCAGACGACCTACTTCATAATTAAGAATTCAAAGACTCTCTTCCTTATAGGATAACCTGTGCACAGGGGTTCAGGTATTTGCAAATAAGATGAAATGAGCATACACGAGATGACGCAGAACAATACAATTTGTGTGGAAATGAACTGACACCTGGCACGATTTGGCAGAAGTGTGGAATTGCTCTCCTTTGAATTAAAATTGTTAGAAAACAACATCTTTTATGTCAACAGGACCAGTAAAAGAGGTCCTTGATTGTTAGAGAGGAAAACTTCTAGTAGTTTAATCTTCCAAACGTTCTGTTTCGGATCCTTTTTTGCGCAGATACCTCATGTAGTTTCGGACAAATACTAACTTGTTCATTTGAGCAACCTTTGCCCCTTTTGGTCAGTAAATCCAAAAGCCAGTTATATTATGGATTTTCTTTTGCATTTCGTGTACCTTTAAATTTACGAGATATGTTGGCGACCTTTACCAATACATTTACTCTTTATTATCAGATGAATATCAACAAATGAGTATGAAATATCTCCCAAAAGCAATGTAAAAACAAAAATCTGATAATAAAATGTACAAGAACAAATTCTAAAAAGAGACAACGGTATGACATTTGATCTAAAAATTGATTGTTAACAAAAAACTTATTAATCACGCCAAGTGATGAAGCAAATCTGAATAAGGAATTGTTTGTGACCTAACATGCACTGAAAGGTTTATTGCAGGCTTGCAACGAATTTCATTACACATTACCTGTAATCAGGTGCATTGCTTGTAGAAGGGCGCCAGGGAGGTGTCTTAGGTCCCCATCTTTTTGTTTTGGGTACACAGGGTACTTTGTTGTGCGAAATGAATATGTTTTTGGGTTTTTTGACTGAATTTTGGAATACATATTACACTACTTCTTAAAACTACGAGTTTTTTGGTATATAAGAATAATAAGAATGACAAATCCTTTATTTTACATTGGTATACAAGAATAATAAGAATGAAAAACCCTATGTTTTAACTTGAAATTTTCCCAAAATGTTTGATTAAATTTTAATTCTGGATGAAAATGTTCTTTCCCAAGTAAAACGATGCAAAAATTATGATTTTATTTCAGAAAAATACTTTCAGACTGATATTCGATTTTTCTCAACAACAGCATAAACTTCGTAGCACTTCTGAAGCAAAAAGTAGGGGGGTGGGGGTTGGGGGGGCAGTCTCCTATATACTTTTCATGTTGAAAGTGACAATCAATATGTATTCTGTGTCGTTTTACATAGTATGAGATAAATTAGTATAATACCTGTCACTGATACGTACAATTTGTAAAGTTATACATATTCTGTGTTGCTGTATATCTATATTACGTGATAAACTCATTTTATAGTATGCGATAAATTGGTGTAAAATCTGTCATCTGGTACAATGTAATTCTATGTTGACTAATGACTGGGGCTATTTTTGTCAATGGTAGGATATATAGTGTTGTTTGTATTAGTCATGTACAAAAATACGCTCAATATATGTAATCGACGAGATAAGCTCATTCCTTATACTGCGCATGTGTGTAGCAGTATCACATGTTCCTTGTTAGCAACGACAACGGCGATAAAATGGCGTAAGTATTTCGTAACAGGACAGAGGTTCAGCTAGCGTGCTATTTAACATAATACTATATGTGCTTGTATGCAGTATTTGCATCACCATCTATCTAGTTTTACAATGTAGTCATGTGCTATTTTGTTTGTTTGTTTGGGGGTCACAGCTAGTAACGTTCACACAACGGCTAAAGTCATACGAAGGCTAGTGCATCGGGAAACACCACGAAACAAAAGAATAAGGAAGTGAAAAAGAAACAAATCTGGATCACAAATGTTGCAATGGGGACAGCAGATTTGTATCTTCTTCATTGACCGCAAAGCAGAAAAAAATCCTATTCTGCACGGGCTACACATATAGATGCATTCTTTGATGCCTTGTGTGGTCCAGAACTCGTTAATAATTACTCTTTTATTTTAACTCGTAGTGTCCCATTATTGTATCCATGGCATGTCAAGTCTTACCCGTCAAGAGTTTTTCTCGTGATATATGTAAATTGGCAAAGGACTTAAAGCGGAGTGATCATATTCGTACAGTATATCGGCGTCTGACCTGTTACCGGTATTTTAGTGTTTACATAGCTGAAGAAGAACCTTGCATGTGTTGATCGTTTACCTGTTACAAGTAGCATTGCTGCGCAACCTGCATATCCTCGCGTTATCGGGTGACACACTTTAAACCCACCTAATAAATGGCCTGCAAACAACAAAAGCACACACACTTAAATTCAGCTTTATGTTTTCTGTGATATTGTAAATGAGAATAACAGTGTTATTATCTTAGAAATAAGTTTTGTTTAAATTATTAATGTATATCTTTAAACTAACACATGGGTTTAACTAACAAGATGATTATATGGAAGAATAGGTTTTTAAGCTAAACGTGTATTTTATACTCAATAAATATAGTTCATTTTTCTACATGTTAGGAACGAGCATTTAAGGTGTCCTTGAAATAGTCAAGGAATGTGAAAGTACATCTGTTGATTATGTGGCACCCTGTTGTATTAAGTGTTTATTAATATTTTGGCTTTAATATTGATTATTTGGATTTGATAGAAAATAAATAATTTTTTCTTGAAATTTGCTTATGATTGTGTAACATATGTGTTATGTGTTGTACTCTTTTGTTGACCGGACTGACCATTTCGGACATGCATGCGCAATGCGACGCTTCTTTTCTTTTCCGTTTTTCTTGCTCTCTTTGTTCACTTGGGCACTTAACTTACAAGGGGTTAGACATACATTTAATGCTGGTAGTGGAAAGTATATATATATCATCGATGGCTTCTTGATTTGATTGGTATGCTTGATCGATAATTGAGCTAAGCTATCCTCAGCACCACATGCAGGGTAAGTCATTTACAGAATATATATACATGTAATTAATCAATTATTATTATTTGGAAGGTGTTTATTTAAGACTTGACGTAAATTCCTCTGTCTGAATTAGTCGTGACTAAAAGTAAAAGTAAAATATGAATTACATTCTATACTGAGAATGTTCTATAATTGAAATTTGCATGTAACGATACTATTATTCCATTGTTTGGTTAAACTGATTAGGTTGTTGTTGTTGTCATAGAATTGTGTTCTTGTCCTTTTTAATATTCCATTGTTCGCGTCATGTAAAAGTTACCGTGCGGTGTGTTTGATTCGCAATATGTCTAGTATGTGTCTGTTTTGTACAATAAGTGTTTTATATCATTTTAGGGATTCCAAGATAATGTAATAAACTACAAGAAACAACCAATGTTTGTCGAGTGATTTGTGCAAAGAACCCCGATTGCACAATTACAATTATTCAACTAGATTAGAAATTGTTTACGCACTCTTAAAGATTAACTTTTTATGATATTGTTTAGTGACATACAATAATAGACTATCACTACAGTTCAGAAAAACACGTTTATAATGTTATCTTACTTTGCGTTAAATGACATCAACGACTTGCCATCACCTCTATTGCTTCGTCACATATAGCGACCTTAACTTCCTTGTCACTGTATTTTAAAGGGCCATTTTCCCCATTTGATAAGACGTGCACCGATCAGGCTGTGTCTTTAAAGATATAATAAGATAACAATACACAAGATTGACCTTTAGGATTTTTTTGTCGTATGCGATTCTTCAGCCGAATTGGTATTTATGTTAGTCGCTTGGAGACTGTGATTCATCATTTGAGACCGCTCCCGATGCAATAACTGGGAGGTGTACGGTACAAGGCGCAACGTTGATGTGCCTGCAGTTTGCAAGATGTCGATGTTTAATAGGAACTACAATTCACATTAATTTACGAACCTGTCTGCGATCTTCATCGACACACGAGCCGAGTGATCCACCACTTAGAGTGGTATGTGATTATCTCGTTAGAGACAATTTTTGAGTTACAAATTGTTACGTTAAACAAAACCGGTTGTATTATCTAGCGGTCGTTGCTGTTTCAAACGGAGCAGGTACCCCGAAAGGATGGCAGTTATTTTGCGTTGTAATAGGTTTGCCGACTTAAGAGTAGAGTCTGGCCTTGTTCTCTTTTGGCATGCATGTTTGTCCGCTGTGCTACAACGCCTTTAACCTACTATTTCTTAATGGGGGGTTTTGTGATATATACTCCAACGAATCCTAACAGATTTCTAGATAATGATACCAAAATATAAAGACATTTATTTTGTTCTCTTTACCATACTTGATTCTCCTAAAAAAATCAACTTAACTTCAATAGGAAACAATTCATTGTTTACTATCGTTAATGGCATCCAATCTACACCTTATTCATTCTTAAGTTATGAAAGTGGATGTCTCAGTTTTAAGGGTTGTAGATAATGGATCCGATTTTCATCACGTATCTATTTTTATACAATTTGAAGAATAACGGTGGTTACATTTAAAGTCTGAAAGACTGTAACCAAATATGATATAAATATAATTTTGTATATTAATTTTGTTTTATATTTATGTCTCCGCCAATTGATATGTACGTTAACTCAAAACATTTTTTTTAATCTTTATAGAATGCAGGAACCTGGTGTCGTACTTCAAAACCAATGCGATGAAAGTTTAGAATACGACAAAGATCAGTCTGGTGATCACATCGAACCAGTGCCAATACTGGATATTGAAGTAAAGGACGAAACATGTGTAGTAAGTAGCCTCACGCTTAAAACGTATGCTTTTATCAATCGCTATTATGTTCGGAAAATTTGATATATATTGCAAGTTATAAAGATGTTATTCATGCACAAGTTCAGCTGATTATACTTTACAATGTTACTAAATAAACAAGAAGATATAAAAACCAGCCCATGTCTTTAGGAAGGGTCACCATATGTAATATGTAAGGATGTTGGATAGTTTTTCCTCTAAAGCGTTCGTAATTGACATCAGGAACAAAATCTGGTGATTTCCTTACTTTAAATTAAGAATTCAGGAATGAAGATTCCGAATTCAACATCTTTATATAATTCCCATAATCACTAACTGATTGGATATAGTATCAATCGGATTGATAATGAATGAATAAAAGTAATGTACACTGAATGAATTTTTTGAACATGTCCGTAAATACTTTTTTTCAAATTTTAGGCTCAAATAGATCCAGGCTTTCTGCCAAACGATGTGATACTGGTAGTAGAAGAAAAATATCTTCATGTAAACAAAGCCTTACTAGAGTCAGCTTCACCTGTTTTTGATGCTTGGCTTAAGAAAGAGTGGCAACAAGACGAGTGCACTGACGACACTAAAAGGAAGCTGGAGTTCCCTGGGAAAACATATGATGAGATGGCCACATTCTTAAAATGTCTTCTGCCCTTTTTCCCTGACAAAATCACAGGTAATGATGAAACGTGCCGTTACTAGGACACATTTAATAGACTAAGAACAGGACTAGTTCAGTATTCATAATTGTACAGATTTCACAAAAATTCTTCCACAATATTGAGTCTGTCTCGGTTGGGTATGATCATTTCCACAAGCAGTCTCAAATATTTGTGTAAAAAAAAACAGTATTGTTTGAAAACGTCTCGGATGTTTATCCCGCCTGTCTAGTATCAGCCTAGCGATGGGGCAGTTTTGTTTCCTGCGACCAATCAAATAACTCATTATTTGTCTTAAATTTTGCCAGGGCATATGAAAGGGGCGCACAGAACGTAAGTGATCGAACGTAGCCCCCTGATATTCGATGATGAAAGATGGATAATAGTGTATCGATTGAATACTGAATTTATGGGATCATTTGCGGGTACAACTTTTGGTCGGTGATGATTCTTCAAAGTGTCGCAGTTCTTGGCGCTCAGGGCAGAGATTGTTCACATTGTACAGGATATACTCTATACACGACAGAAACGCGGGATCACTCAATGATTAATGGTATTAGAGTAGACATAGATATTTTCCATTGGAGTGACATTTCAGTCAAAACACCTTTTCAAATAATGTTTAAGTATGTCCAAGACATAAATATTAGGATTATCTGTTTAAATGTGGAGGAAAATGGCGTCGAATCATATTTAAAATTTCATCTGAATTTATAGTAACAAAATAAATCATACTTCCCTCTAAATCCTGTGTATTTACAGATAAAAATCTGGATACAGTACTACCTTTAGCAGATGAGTATCGGACAGAAAACTTGATCACAGAATGTGTGGAAGTCATCCGAAACCACGTGGAGTCTGTCTCCAAGGTTGATATATACATTCCACCTTCCCGGGTCTTCACATACCTACGCTGGATTGACCGATATAATCTCCACACGGGTAAAGAATGTGTTGTGAGGTTAGCATCGTACCTGAAAACCGAAGAGCTAGAGGCAGATGCAGACTACGAAAATGTCAGCCCAGGACTTCAACTGGATGTATCTAATGCCAGAGCCAAGCTACTTGAGAGTCTATTTGTGTTCAGTGTAACAGAAGCGGAAAGTAAGCCTATGTATCTAGTTTCATTTCATAGAGACATTTCACCAGACAAAAAACAAGAGGATATTATGTTTGAAATAATATATCGTGACATGTTTTCACCTACAATAATGGTGACTTCACAAACGAATTTTACAACAAACGTGATTGGGCAACTTTTACGTTAAACTTTCCCTTAGTAGTAACATTCCAGACCATCTGAACCCCCTTTTTAGCGAGTTTATATTATTTGCTATTCAAGGATCCCCATGCCTGCAGTTGGACGGGTATCCTTAATAATCTATTTGAAGAATATGAGTGCTCTTGATAGTTATAAGTATGTATGGGATTCCAATGTCTGCCATGTTAACAAGTTTCTTAGATCGTATTCCGTGCTTCCTTACCTGTTAACGAATACGAATGACTTTACCTTTTTTTCTCTTGGAGAGTACTTATATCGATGCTCTTTGTTAAATTAAGGTGTGGCGTTTGAATTATCATGTTAATATTATTTTAATAATTGATTAGCTTTTTTTATTATTTTTAATATATTTTTTTGTTACAGAAAAGATGAACCAGTTCAAAATTCCACTCTCCATTCATTATATGGATGAATGGAAAAATAATGTAATAGAAATTGTGGAGGCGTTTCTCATAGCATCAACAACAACACCAAATACGGCTCCAGGCCAGTCAATGTTTCACCCACCAAACATTCAAGTGGTTACTCAGGCTTTTGGGGTGCCCTTTGGGCAAGTGGTTAGCAACATGACGCCGCAAATTATACCATCGATCGCACATGTTGCTACCTTTGCATGCATATCTATTTGGGATCGGTTGAAACTCTCAAGAAGTTATGCAAAAAGCATAAACAGATTAACGTCACTAAAGATAAACAAGTCAGAATTTAAAAACGTTGGTCAGCACATTATGCGACCGACGGTGATAAAGTACGGGATGGCATGGAACGGCATGTACTTCAGATGTGCAAATGCACTTGAAATTATGAAGTTTTTGATACGGGTTGTATACATATAGAAGAATCNTAGATTAACGTCACTATCGATAAACAGGTCAGAATTCAAAACTCTGTGGTCAGCACATTATTCGAACGATGTTGATAATGTACGTGATGGAATGGAACGACATGTGCTTCAGATGTGTAAATGCACTTGAAATTATGAAGTTTTTTATACAGATTATATGCATATAGAAGAATAACACCAGACGTTATTACTAGTAATATTGGTGACAGTGTACAAATGTAATTACTTGAAATATTGGTGACATTGTACATATGTAATTACTTGTCATATCAGTGACCTTGTACACATGTTATTACTTGTAATATCGGTGACATTGTACAGATGTAATTACTTGTAATATCGGTGACATTAAACAGATGTTACTACGTGTTATATCAATGACATTATACAGTTGTAATTACTGTTGATATCGGTGACATTGTACATATTTAAATACTTGTAATATCGGTGACATTGTACAGATGTTACTACGTATGATATCGGTGACATTATACAGCTGTAATTACTGGTGATATCTATGACATTGGACACTGGTAATTACTGGTAATATCGGTGACATTGTACATATTTAAATACTTATAATATCAGTGACATTGAACAGATGTAATTACTGGTGATATCTATGACATTGGACACTGGTAATTACTGGTGATATTTATGACATTGGACACTGGTAATTACTGGTAATATCGGTGACATGGTACAGATGTAATTACTTGTAATATCGGTGACATGGTACAGATGTAATTACTTGTAATATCAGTGACATTGTATGTATGTAACTACTTGTAATACCAGTGACATTAAACAGGTGTAATTATATGTATTATCAGTAACATTGTACAGATGTAACAACTTGGAATATCGCTAACATTTAAGAGATGTTACTACGTGTTATATCAATGACATTATACAGCTGTAATTATTTGTAATATTGGTGACATATGTAACTTCATTTTAATATCGGTGACATTGTACACTGGTAATTACTGGTAATATCGGTGACATTAAACAAATGTAATTATTTGTAATATCGGTGACATTGTATGTATGTAACTATTTGTAATATCAATGACATTATACAGCTGTAATTACAGGTGATATTGGTGACATTGTACATATTCAAATACTTGTGATATCAGTGACATTGAACATATGTTGTTACTTGTAATATCGGTGACATTATACAGCTGTAATTACTGGTGATATCGGTGACAAGGTACAGATGTAATTATTTGTAATATTGGTGACATTTAACAGACGTTACTACGTGTTATATCAATGACAGTATACAGCTGTTATCACTTGTAATATCGGTGACATTTTATGTATATAACTACTTGTAATATCGTTGACATTAAACAGGTGTTATTTTTTGTAATATCGGTGATATTGTACAGATGTAATAACTTGTTACATCGGTGACATTATATAGAGAATATATATGAATAATTTAATCTTGCTTGTAACAAGCATTTTCATTGGCTTAAAAAATTATGTTATCAGCCCATAACGTAAAAAAATGACGTCGCCGTTTGTAACGTCGCTGTTGATTGTCTGATACAGCAGCGCAATAATTTCTATGAGAAATAGTCCATCAATATAAGTGTATTTCCATAGGGATTGTGTATAGTAGATTAAATTATAAGGATTAACTTGAATATATTTTTTATGTTATGGAGCTATAACATGAAAAATATATTCAAGTTAATCCTTAACTAACTGTCTGTTTCCGTTAATCTTGGTGTCCGATAATATGGCCTATGTCCATTTGATGATTCTATCAGATGTCCATCTGATCAGCTTCACTTATGATCTGATGCTCATTTGACAAATTAATTTAATCAGAATCAGAATCATAAATAACGCGAATGCGTTTACTTGTATTGTTATTACCATAGTTAAACACTACATCACCATTAATGGTCGCGCTAGAAAACATACTGGGGCATCCTGTTGGCTTGGGAATGTTAGACATCACTTCTTTTCCTTCTTTTTGGGCGGTAATAGGAGCAATGTCCTGAAAGTGTTCGATATCATTTCAAATTGACTCTACCAATTCCTGAAATGATCGACCCGGCATGTCATCTAGATTACTAGGTACGCAGGCCGCCATTGTCGATTTCGAGCTGGAGTAGCTACACAATATAGAAGACATATGTTTTTGCTGCTGGATTGATGCTGTACTGTAATTGTTAATAGAGGCAAGGTTTTTGTGTCCTGAGTGTTGTTGTACCAGTGTCGGCGGCACTCCAGCGTGTACCAACGTGCTAATCGCGGTTTTCCGAGCACTATGATTGACCTTTCGGCCTGGGATCCCTGACTCTCGCACATTGTTTTCACAATACACCCCAAGGTATTTTTGCCCATTGGTTGCGACACATACCAGTATTCGCTGTTTTCATTGCACTTCTTATGTACCCCCAGATAGAATGGATCCTCGTCCCTCTTTATGCTGTCTGGCCGTCTGGCTGCAAACTCTTGATACATCATGACGGGAAACCTCGGATTTCCTGTTGACAGTACAATAAATGTATTATTTTTCTATACAGCCATATTTACTGTAAATACAAATTATTATAAACTGTAAATCATAATTTACAAAAAATTTCATATGAAATTTCAGAAAGAACCATCCAGTACTTGAGATATAGCGAGAACAAACTTCAAACAGAGCCCCACCCCTCTGCCCCTAGGGTTTCATACCCACCGTTTATACAAAATTGAGACCCCTTTACCCACGAATGCTTCAGACCAAATATGGAACTAATCCTTTCATTCTTACAGAAGAAGAAGGATATTAAAGAATTTGCTATATTTCCCCTAGTCGGCCCCACCCCTCAGCCCTTAGGGGGGCCAGACCCACCATTTATACAAAATTTAGTCCTCTTCGCCCAAGGCTCCTCCAGACTAAATTAGGATAAAATCCCTTAATCCCTGCGGTAGAAGAAGGATTTTAAAGGTTTCACCTCTATTTCCCCTATTGGGCCCCGCCCCTCAGGTCCCAGGAGGGGGGGGGGGGGGGGGGCACACCAAACGTTTATACTAAATTGGTTCCCCTTTACTCAAGGATGCTCCATTGTACTCTGTATACTAATCAAAGGCAAATTCTCCTGACCTCCATTTATGCTCTTAATGACATTATTCTATTAAATACACAGACTTTTCTTTATGGATGTCGAAGACCCGATATCAATATGAATATAAGTATCTTGGAGATGGTTCAGAGATTCGTTAAAGACACAAGACGCTTTTACTAGATTACACTTACTTGTTTATCTTTTTTCAAATGATTTTGCTGTATGGAATGATACCAGTACATAACTATATTTCCCCTGTTGGGCCCCGCCCCTCAGTCCCCAGGGGGGCCAGACCCACCGTTTATACAAAATTAAGACCCTTTTCCCAAGGATGCTCCACACCAAATCTTTTCATTCCTACAGAAGAAAAAGGATTTTAAAGAATAATTATGTTGCTATGTTTTCCCTATTGGGCCCTGCCCCTCAGGCCCCTGAGGGGCCAGACCCACCATTTATACAAAATTTAGTCCCCTAGGCCCAAGGATACTCCAGACTAAATTAGGATATCATCCATTAATCCCTTCGGTAGAAGAAGGATTTTAAAGGTTTTACCTGTATTTCCCATATAATGGGCCCCGCCCCTCTGCCCCCAGTGGGGCAACACCCACCGTTTATATAAATTTTTGTCCCCTTGGCCTAAGGATGCTTCAGACCAAATTTGGTAAAAATCTACTTGGCCGTTCAGGACTAGAAGCGTTTTAAAGGAAAAGTTGACGGACGACGGACGACAGACGCTGCGGTATTGCATAAGCTCACCATGGTCATAAACAATTTTATTTACAAATGTACTTAATTTGGTTAGTGTGCATTGATGAGTATGAGATTTATCTCCCTTTACTCAATAAATTACCAGAAATGTAACGTTTCACTTGAAACTGACCAGTTTACCTTGGAATATTACTATTATTAGTAAACAAGTGGTCATTAACTATTGTATCGGCTAGCTATCCAACTTTAATGTGGCATATGCATGATAACATAATCAAATGATTCAAATCATAAGTGTTTGTTTACCTTTTCCCAGGAGATTTTTCTCGTACATGATGTCAATTTCCTCAGTCGTCAAAGGCTCCGCTTGCTTAGCACGGTTTACTTTCCCGTGTTGTTTCAACAGTTTCCTCTTTGATGCTAATTCTTCCCTTGAGTATGTAAATTCTCTGTCGGAAATAATATCAACAGTAAGCCCTTTCTGTTTCAGGTGTCGATTAATACTGGTCGGGATTGATTTCAGAGTGTCCGGTTCATATTCACCACCGTTTGATTTCTGTGCATTCATGAAAAACAATGCAAGGTATTGGTCCAGTTCCTTTCAGTCCAACTCTCCTAGTTGTCGCTGTTCATTCTATGATTTAAGCCACGTTGTAAACTTGTTCAGGTAAGATACAGTTTTACGTACAGTGTTTACATTTCTCATCTGTTCCACAAAATGGTGAGTTGGCTCGGCCTCGTTACACACTGTTTCGTCCTCACACATGACCTCATTAATAGTTTCTGTTAAAACGACATTCTCCGCTTCGTCGTGTTCCTTCGCCATGTTTTGTTTGTCAATAAGATCGTCCAACTCCATTATCCTATTTGCCAACGAGTTCAAAATCATCTCACCTTGAGCCGAACGCGACATTTTTTCATAGAATCTCGTCTGCTGCGCACGCATAGAAACGGCACGATAACTCCATATGTGTTCCGGACCGAATAGTCAAGAGGTGTTCCGAAAATCCTGATATGCATTTTGTATCATATAGGGCGGGAATTGCGTATTAAGTAGTAATTAAGTATGTGATAAGCAGCTGTAATTACTGTTGATATCGGTGACATTGTATACTGGTAATTACTGGTACTGTAATATCGGTGATATGGTACAGATGTAATTATTTGTTATATCAATGACATTATACAGCTGTAATCACTGGTAATATAGGTGACATTAAACAAATTTAATTATTTGTAATATCGGTGACATTGTATGTATGTAACTATTTGTAATATCAATTACATTATACAGCTGTAATCACTGGTAATATCGGTGACATTGTATGTATGTAACTACTTGTAATATCGGTGTCATTGTATGTATGTAACTACTTGTTAAATCAGTGACATTATACAGCTGTAGTTACTGGTGATATCGGTGTTATTGTACATATTTAAATACTAGTAATATCGGTGACATTGTATGTATGTAATTATTTGTAATATCGGTGACATTGTATGTATGCAACTACTTGTTATATCAATGGCATTATACAGCTGTAGTTACTGGTGATATCGGTGTTATTGTACATATTTAAATACTAGTAATATCGGTGACATTGTACAGTTATGATTTTTTGTAAATACTTGTAATATCGGTGACATTTTGCAGATGTTCCTTCGTGTGATATCGATGACATTGTATAGTGGTAATTACTTGTAGTATCGTTGACATTGAACAGATGTAATTGTTTGTAATATCGGTGAAATACAGATATAATTATTTGTAATATCGGTGAAATGGTACAGCTATATAATTATTTGTGATATCGATGGCATTGACTAGATGTAACTACTTGTATTATCGATGACATCGTACAGAGGTTATTACTTGTGAAATTGTTGACATTGTACAGATTCTATAACTCGTATTTACGTTTATTTAAATGGAGTTATCATTAATATTGATTTCGTGTATCCAACCTTTGCACTTAGAACACTGAGCAAAATTGTGGTTGTTTTTCATATCAGGAATTTATAAAATACACAAAAATACGTGCAAGAAATTTGCATATTAAAATGTTGGGTTTTTCGTATATAGAATTTTGTTATTTATGTTATTTATGTTTTCAATTTAAATGTATGTATTTCAAATAGACACCTCGACAATAACATGTGATTTCAAAATAGCTATGATTTACATCTTTTCACGTAACATATATAAAACGAGTTTACAACAGTCCTGCAGAGTAGATTCGAAAGCCGTCGTAAAAATAGTTTTCAAGATATATTTCGTTGGTTTTTATGTCATTAACGCTACAGACTTACCGCAGTCGAAACGAGCCTTCTAAGCCATGTTCGTGTAAAAGGCAGATATTGTATATGACATTTAAACAATGAAATATTTTTGGCAAACATCCATGCGACAGTGCTAAAATCAGCCCCAATAAATCAGTACCAATCACAGAAAACAAGAAAGACGCATTTTTGTAAAAAATACACAACTTAGTACTTCTGATATAGTCATAAACACTTATAAAAGACTTTAACATGCCATATTTTTTAAATGAGGAAATCTTACATGCAGAGGTTAATTGATTGGAATGGTGTCAAATTATTGTTCTGGCTCGTTTCAGAAGAGACAAACGAAGACTATAGTACGTTAAAAACCGAGAGTGTTTACGAAGACGGCAAAAGAACCGAGTTGCATATTTTCCGAACCAAAAAATGGTTTTAAAGGATATTGAATCGTATATAAATGCGCTATACAATGGGAATTGTTGAACCTTAAGAGTGAATGAAAACTTAGCTAGTACTCCTCTCACTGATGAACAGTACATACACACCATCATCATAGTAAAGAATAGTCTGTAATAAGCCTGTGGTTTTACATACATTTCTAAATGTAGAAGATGTGTACGATATTGTATTGTTGATCTGCTTAGCTTTAACAGGTATGTTCTGGCAAGTTTTGTTGATTATTTATAAACATCGTTAGTTGTTGGTGACTGAATATTTTTCACTTATTAATGTAATTACCGAGTGTTAGGAACATTTTTGTATTTAAATACTTGGCTTTCAATGTGAATTACACGAGTCACATTTGTCAACATAAAACAGTTTTTGTTATCAATATGCTTCTTTAATTGTGTCACGACTGAATATTTTTCACCTGTTAAAATAATTGTTTATGTGTTGGGGATATTTTATTCTTCACGGCATTTCATGTGAATTATACGAGTTACATAATTCAAAATAAGAAAGTTTTTATCATAAATACGATTCGTTAAATGTTTAGAGCCTGATTAGCATCGCCTGTTGACATACTTGCTAATATTACTTGTTTTCTACACAAATTTATGTGAATTACAGTTTCATTTCTCAACAGGAGGAAGAGTTTTTATGTAAATTACGTAAATTACTTTTGTCACCATGTCCTTGAATTTACCCAGATTTTTTTTTTATTTTAAAAGTCTGACCAGTCAAGACAAATGAACAAGTTTCTATTTATAGGTATTGTTTTCTAGTATTCTTTACTACCTGACTGTGAACTTGTGTACGTTCTGTGCAATAAATTTGTTAAAGATTTGTAGCTCACTGCATGTATACGTTTTCTAAAAAATTGTTGTTTACTTAGAGAGATGCATTTCTTGTTTCATTCATAAAACGCTTTGTATTTATCCAAGAAAAAAACACACCTCAGAACTTCATTAAATTTCAGTATTGTATTTAGTTCATATGTTCATGTTGACTTTTGTATTAGCAAATTTATTAATAATTCATTACGTGATTATTGCATCACATATTTGTGTTATAAAGCATAGTGTATACCAACCTTTAAGTATATATAAGAGTGGCCAAATCTCATGTTACGCTTTTACATGTGGGTCAACAACTGTAACAGTTTTGTAATATGGAATATTTGTTGTATTATATATGATTCATAAAGGATATTAATGGTATAGTTTTTATTCTTGTGCCTGTTTTGAAACCAAATGGCAACTTAAACAATTGCGCTAGCGATGTTTTGTTATAGATATTACAGATAACTGTACTCCGTACCAGCTTCAGCTTTAAATGTAAAAATTTATTTCTTATATTCACCTCAAGTGTAGTCTTCTTTGAGAGATGATAACACTAATTGATAAAAAAATCGCTTCCGCATCAAAACAATAATATTAATTCAAGGAAAAAAGGAACACCTGTCAGATACCGGTTGAAAATCGTCAAAATGAAATTGAAGTAAATCACTGGATCCCACATCACATTGAATTATTGATGTTATGATTGCAATGGGATAACGATGGCAGCTAAAACAACGTAGTCATCTTTACAATAGTTATGTGTGATATGTTTTAAGCAAATTACAGTTCACAATGAGTTATTAAATGTACATATAATTATTCCATGTCAATTTGTATTTTCAAATATGAAGATCTCTATCTATATTAAATGTAAACAACCATGCTTTCATGCAAGTATTAATTCTCGTAATATCGAAGAAATAGAAGAAGACTTTAATTTACATGCATGTCTTTTATTTTTTAAATTGTCAATGTAAAATTTCCTATTTTGTGGCCAAAAAGTGTAAGTTATATTATACTTTGTAAGTCTCATGAAATGGAGATTCATTTAATTGCCTGTTTCTTTTTGTATATGCATGATCGAAGTTAATTTATCCCTGAATCATTATAAACGATCATACACACACACGTTTGTATTCCATATCAAAATATTGAACATAGTTTTAATCTTAGCGAGGAAAAGAATGATACATTTAATCCTGTAGCTTAATAAAAACAAATAATGTTTACCAATACTGTTTACGTCTTAGGGTAGGATTGGTATTCCTTATACCATTTTTACCTCTAATTTTGGTAGCTTACCCTCCATCGCTCTTTCAATTAATTTGATAAAGCGACTACATATTTTGTGAACAGAGATCTGTTATTGGTTAATTTAGAATATCTTGGTATAAATGGATGTATTTTAAATGCAACTAAATCATTATATTTTAACTATGAATGTCGTATAAAAATCAACAATGGTTTAACACCACTCACTGATAAAATCATTTTTTCTGTAAAACACAAGATTAAACGAGTGAAAGAAAAACTTATCATTTCAAATGCTGATGAATGGTATGGATCTATATGTTATGATAACATTAATATAAGTAACAAGTTGAGAACTTACAGGACTTTCATATCAGAGTTTACACCAGCACATTATGTCAAGCTCGTTCGACAAAAGGGCAAACGATGTGATTTCCTATCTCTAACAGTGGAACTAGCAGATACGCTCATGTTTCAAATTCAGGAACGCGTATGTAAGATATCTACAAATGTATATTAATCATATACAGGAGGAATTACACTTTTTCATGGAATGTTATATCTTTAATGATTTCAGATCATCCTCATTTAATTCAGCAAATAACATTAGAAATGATATTACTATTCAAAATAGCACATATTAGTTCGATGATGTCATCTTAAGAATTACAAATTCCATTTGCAAATCACTTGTATGTTATGTACAGAAGACGTAACAGTCTATGTGATTAACAAATATACATAAGTTTCATTTTTGTTTTGCAAGCCAGTTTCGAATAAATATCACATAAAATTGCATTTTCCAGTTGTTTGCAGGTAATAAATCGGATGAAAAGGATTGTTCAAAAATCTTTCAAATGAAATCATTTCTCGCATATTTTTAAGATATTATTTTGTATCCTTACATGTTTGTCTAGTTAAAGTATAATAAGCAACTAAGAACTGTGTATTAAGCATACCACCTCGGGATCGACACTAATTGTTGAAGTGCTCAAAGTGGGGTGGACTTATTCGTACAGTAGCCCCTAGTGTGGCTGTCTAAACTGTGACGAGAGATTGCTGATTAATTAGTATTTGAATATTTAAAAGGCTGAATCTAAACAACAATGGTGAAATGCAATGCTATTAGTATTAGTAATATACAAAAACATGACCAAAATATCTATAATTAAAACGACAACCTCATATTGTGCATTGCGCATGTGCATAACATAACCACCAGTTCCTTTTTGACAACGAAAACGGCGACACAATGGCGTAAGTATGTTGTAACACGTAACAAGTTCAGCTATCTAACTCATATGTTCGTGTGTAATATTTGTAAATCTACATATCTATTTGTGGTACATGTGCCATCGGTGTCAATTTCTGTATATGACTTATAGATCAGTGGAGAAATTAGCAACTCGTTGTTACATATCGTATCCTTTGATATCGTCTATTATAGTTTTATGTCACTCCAGTCGCCAATAGTGACAAGAACAATTTCAAACTGTTATTGGTTACATACATGATATGTTCATTCAGGTGTTTTAAACTACAATTCTGTCTTTCACATGTTAATATGAAAACATATCTTATCATACTATGTCCCCTAATCACCATGAACGATTCGTCGATAGTCTAACTCGGGGTTGACGCTAATTGTTATAGTGGGGTGGAGGTATTTATATAGTAGGCTCCATTGTGGTCGTCTGAACTGTGACGGGAGATTGGTGTTGAAGTAGTATTTAAATGTTTACTAGGCGGAAACTAACCTGCAATGTATCGTTCATTTGCCTGTATTTGTCGAGAGTTCTGTGTGGGTGTCACACCATTATAACTAGCGGTATCGGGACTAATCTTAAAAACTCACCGATAAAGGGCTTACAATCAACACTCACATTAGGTACGGTCACACCTATTGTATGATTTGAGGTTTTATTAAAATTGAAACGAAAGTGAAATTACATGTGATATATACGACGGATTATACGAATAATTAAACTGGCCTCAGTAAATCGATACACTACATGTACGTAGATATTGCAATAAAAAACAAATGATAAAAAAAGCATTATTCAATATCACTTTGTCAACATAACAGCAATATTTACGCTAAATATTCGCTTGTGTTTTGTAAAGTTACACTTTGTATTCCGTGTCGTTCTACATAGTATGCCATAAACTGTTATTGGAAACTATAATACCGTGTTGGCTAAAAGACTTAATCTAAACATCAATGGTGGAATGCAATGCTATTGGTATAAGTCATATACAAAAATATGACCAATATCTATAGCTAAAACGACAACATCTTTCTGTATATTGCGCATGTTCATAACATAACCACCACTTCCTTGTTGACAACGAAATCGACGACACGATGGCGTAAGTATGTTGAAATATGTCACAAGTTCCTCTTATCAACTATTTAACTCTTATGGTTGTATGCAATATATGTAAATCTACATAACTAATTTTTCCACATGTGCCATCAGTGTCAATTTCTGTATATGTCTTATAGCTAAGTAGATACATTAACCATGTATGTTGATATGAAACCATCTAATTATAACATGTCCCCTACACCATGAACAACTCGTTGATAGACACTAGTTATTCAAGTGGGGTAGAGGTATATGCACAGTAGGCTCCAATGTGATCGTCTGAACTATGACGAGAGATTGGTGTTGAAGTCGTATTTTAATGCTTACTATACGGAAACTAACATTTACCTGTACTTTTGTCGAGAGTTCTGTGTGGGTATCACACCATTATACCTAGCGGTATCGGGACTCATCTCAAAAACACACCGACAAAGCGCTTACAAACAACACACACACATTAGGTGCGGTCATACCTATAGCATGAATTAGGTTTTATTGAAATTGAAACGAAAGTTTCAGTAAATCCTTGCACTACGTAGATATTGCAATGTAAAAACAAATGATGAAAAATATTATTCCATATCACTTTGTTAATATAACTGCAAACTTTACACTAAATCTCCGCTTGTATTTTGTAAAGTTACAATTTGTATTCCGTGTCGTTCTACATAATATGAGATAAACTGTTATTGGAAATCGGAACGAAAATGGAATTATATGATATATGTACGAAGGCTTATTAACTTGTTCAATCTGAAAATAATCGACAGATTGGAAAAAGTTCTACAAAATGACAAAATTGTGTAACACGAAAACACAATACCCGGGCACTACAGTTCAGATATAATAGCCTATATGCTTATGTAGTTTATGTTACTTAAGCCTTTAGAATATAAAAAGACTTTCTATTAATTTTCAGGAATGAAACGGCAACTTCTTCCTTGCTGCCTTTGAAAAGGTTTGTTTTCCTTATTGAATTTAAACTAGTTATGGGATATTAGCATTAAGAAATGTTTAATATACATACGTATATTGTGGGTGAATAAACACCATGGGAGAGAATATGTTTAAAAGTTTAATAATCTCCAAGTCTGCGTCCTGACACTTCCAAAATTTCGAAATTTCTATTTATATATATATACAAACACATACGGATTTTATCTTTTCTATCATGCTACAATGTAATTAAGCGTGATTTCGTGTCTAACTCATGAGTGCTTACAAGGACATATGACCTTCATCATCCAGTTCTTTTATATAATTTTTATGTTTCGTTTTTAACCATGTACATATTTTACACACAATGCCCCATATTTATATCACCAACAAGACCCGCACAACTGACACAACATATTTTAACCACTGCAGATAATGCTCCTGTTTTACAATTTTACGATGACGTACATGGGAACTAATAGAGTCGAACGTCTACACATGTACTGTTATTTTTTTTTAAATCTTCAAAGAGATCCAGAAGTTATTGTTTAAATAATCGCCCAGGAGGACGTAAAAGATAATTTGTGGTTCAATGAGACAAATTCGACAGGCACGCCGTGTCTGTTGCCAAGCACTGAATATGTATTAACCAATAAAAAGTGTCCTTACATGAGTCACTTGCTTATTGTTCAACGATGCATGTTTATGAGTATTGGTACAAAATATGATTAGGCAAATTGTCTTTTAATTAATCATTTCTTCGGGTAGAATTTGATTCAATAATAATAGATGAAAAATAGAAATATATTTAAAGTACTGTTAACAAATTATTATTTTTTTATATTAAAACTATGGTATGGCATAAGAAATAATGTTGAAGCTTCTGATATCAACGCAAGTATAGCCTCAAACCAGGGACCTGTTAAACAATACAAACACACAGTGAAAGTGAGCCTCAAACCAGGGACCTGTTAAACAATGCAAACACGCAGTAAAAGTGCATGTCTTACGACATCAAGTTATTTGATCTACAATAAATCAACTATAATGAAAAAAACATTATATCATACCATCACAAATCACAAACACCGTGTCCGGTGAGCTTTTTTTTATATACATAAGCATCAGATCGAATCATGACATTTCAGAAATTCAATATTATGTTAATATTTATTGTATCTTACTCTACGCTTAATGATGTAAGATTTAAGATTTGCCATCATCTTTCAGGAAAGCTACGTCAGAAATAGAAACGTCAACTCCTTCCCCGAAGCCCGTTAAAAGGTTTGTTTGCTTGTCTTATTAATAATGCAGTAATGCAATATTCATATTCTGTATCAATGAACCCACCGAGACATTTCGTCGGGAAAAGTTGTTTAAATCTCTCAAAATAACTTCGGAATATCGTTTTTGCTGCTGAAAAAAGAAAACATTACGATATAAAAACTGTGATATAACTTGAGGAATGAAAAGTGAAGCTGTTGCTCTGAACATATATTATTTATTTAATGATGTATTTTGATGAAGACTATGGTCAAATTCTATGGTTGAGAACACCATATTTTATTTGAGATATTAAGGTTGAAGTTTTTTATCATGCTTATCAGTGCACTCTTTACCCTTGTTCTCAATTTAAATATGTAAGTTTCAATTTTACCTGCATTTACATGGCGGGTGTAGTTGATAGAGCATCCGAAAATCCTGGACTTATTCTTATCAGAATTACGAAGTTATAATGTTTATCAAAATAAATCCTTATTTGGTGACGCTATATATTGCCTGAAAGATAACGATATGCTGGCATAAATGTTATAGACGTGGAAAACACTCTTTCAATGCATAAACATAAAAATACCTTGTGTAGACCGTTTCCGAATTCGACTTCATCCGTACTGCAAAGTGTAACTGTATATTTAAGTAATTAATTTCGCGTTTGAGAAGAGGCTATTTCAGTGTTGGTAGCAATTATCACATATTGATATTCAAGGAAAAAAATGCTAATGTTGTAATGAAGTATTTCGTCCACAAGAATAACGCGAACATTTTATCGTGGAAGCAGTGCTCGTTCCTGACGAGCTGTTATTTCGAATCTCTCAATCTACAATGTTTGTGTGGTGATACATGTATATGTTCGGTCACCTGCAAACATTTAAGATACACGTATTTTACTGTGTTTATTCCACCAGGCGCGTAGCTGGACCGTGCAAATGTTCGTGCGAGGTTATCATCACCGGATTTCTGTAAGTGTGCTATTTGTTGATGAACTCAACATGACAAACTGGTGGATTCATCAACAAAACGGTTTTGTCCTGTATTCTGATTGGTCAATATTTCAAAATAGGGATGAAATTGACAATAGACAGGCATGACTAGCATACAAATCTAAAATCAATGCAAAGAGAGGTAACTCGTTTATGTATGAATATGTTTATGTTTGCTCTGCATCCTTCCATTGCAATGCATTGCGAAGGCAAATGTTGTGAGACTATAGCATCATTTGCTATTGCAACGTCTTCAAACTCTATTGTGACGTCATCAATATTTTGCTGTCAAAACTTTATTTGCTGTTCAAAGAACTGTACGAAATAACTAAATAAAGCATAACTACTATCTGAAAATGTGAACATAATGAATACTTTAGCAAATATTGTTATGGTTCTATAACCAACATTTCTATTGCTGACAAACTTACATAAATAAAGCCCTAATAGTAATTAGTGTTATAGGACCATAACAACATTCGATAAACATTCATTGCTTAAATATCAGAGACTCGATTTTGATTTGATAAGGTTTTACTATGCACATATTATGTAAAATATGATTTTATACTGACCTGATGTATTTAAATTATTTTGTGTTTTAAAAGATCTATTCTCTAAACATAATTTCAGAAATAAGCCCTGAATGCGATTTATCTTATTTTGTCGACATAGCGATTATCATGATACAGGGAAGGTGGGAAACAAACCGAAAGTGAAAGAACAAGTTAACGTATATTGGAATAATATTGTAAAAATAAAACCATGCCATATAGATCACTGAAATTATCCATGTAGTTTGGAGGTACATGTACCTAGTTCAGAATATATTTACTAGGTCTTTTAATATTTACATAACTCATTTTGTGTGTTCTTAACTGTATATCTTTCATAATGAGGTCAACCTATGGAACATTATTAGTTGGCAACACGGCGGGTATCATCGATGAAGTAGAAGACGATTTCCTATTATTATTCTTTTTCTACACATTTCTTGGTCATATATTTGTTTGGTTTTCAGCATCGAGGTATTCCATGTTTCAAAAGGTCTTACTAGTACTTATTTAATTCACAACGGGCTTGCCTCTGCTTGGTGAACTGTAAGTCCCCGAGGTTTCAATAATATTGTAGCAGGATATCATTTTTTGCACGGAAAACATACAATACTCCTACGCGAATAAGTTATCTGCAGCAGTCAATAAGCAATGTCAATTTGCAACTGGTTTGTAAGGATATTTTTGGCAGGTTCACCCTCCTTTTTTCATTTTCTACGTACATTCATGTTTCAAAACAAATATAGGAAAATACTGAAATGCTAGCAAAACCTTAATTAAATCTCAAGATCGTTAAAAGTAGGGTAAAATATGACCAAAGTAAGGATTTACATTGAGACCGTTGATGAAGAACAAGAAGAATATAACCAGGTGTTCCAGAAGTGTAACCGCCTTCTGCCTCATCTGATTTTAGTCCTTTATGGCAAAATGGACATATGGTGCACTGACATTGTTACCTTTTGTTCTGCTTGAAGGTAAAAATATATAGTGCTGAACTATAACCGATGCATGTAGTAAGTTGTATTATATTTTAAATCGTGCAATTTTAATTCCATTTTCATTCTGCTCGATTTCCTAGCAAACGTGTGGATGATGGTGAGTCGGACAGCTACTCTGACGAATCTGAAGATGAAATCGAGTCTAAAGATGAAATCGAGTCTAAAGATGACATCAAACCAGTTGCAAAGCCAGATATTAAGGTACAACTGACTAAGCATGTGTTGTAAGTAGACGATCGCTTAAAAAAGAGAGGAAAAAACGAGAGAGACAGAGACATGGGGAAAAGACAGACACAGAGAGACAGCAATTAAGGTACAATTGACTAAGCATGTGTTGTAAGTAGACGATCGCTTAAAAAAGAGAGGAAAAAGATAGAGACAGAGACATGGGAAGAGACAGACACAGAGAGACAGAGACAGACACAGAGAGACAGAGACAGACACGGAGAGACAGAGCCAGACACAGAGAGACAGAGACAGACACAGAGAGACAGACACAGAGAGACAGACACATGAAACTGATATGTGATGCACTCCATGACACAACTATCGCGCTGAGTATTCCCGTCTCTTTAAGATTCACACTGTATATAGTGTTGCCCTTTGTCTTCTTTTTGTTTAGATAAGGTCATATATAAATATCGAATAAGACAATTAAGAATGTACATAGGTACGGGTCCCAACACAATTTGATCGTCATTTTTCATTTAAACAAAGTGTATTGAAGAAAAAAAACCATGAGGAAATAGTCAAATGGAAGGAATAACCTTTAAATCATTCAAGAGTCTCTCCATGGGTAGACAAAAAAATATTTGCTATGGTTCAAACTTTTTTTTAAATCATGTGATACAATACTGCTCTTTGAATAGTTTCTTTGATGTTCCCTTCAACTTTCTTGCTCAGATTTTTCCAGGCTTTCTGCTGAACGACGTAACACTGGTGGTCGAGGAAATACACCTTCATGTAAATAAAGATTTACTCTCAACAGCTTCACCTGTATTTGATGCTTGGCTAAAGAAAGAATGGCAACAAGACGAGTGCACTGACGACACAAAAAGGGAGCTGAAGTTCCCTGGGAAAACATATGATGACATGGCCACATTCCTAAAATGTCTTCTGCCCATTTTCGCTGACCACGTTACAAGTAATTATGGAACACGATGATGAATATATGACCTTAAACATACTCATTTAGTAATAACACGACTTAACAAAATTAACCAGGTATTACCATATGAACAATAAATTATTTTTTACGCATTTTGAACTTTTTAAAACGTATGGAATGAAATCGTGGCTTAAAACATGATTAAAACAAATATAACTCAAATATTTATAAATATATACATATTTTAGCGTTTGAAGTGAAATACTTTGATAATCAGACTCTCTGCAAGATAAATATGAATTTTGAGCACACCAGGAATAACTCTAAGTTATGAATAATGTGTATGGAACAATACTTTAAATGAGGGTTAAACATTGTTGATTTTGGTATTAGCATTCAGCATTTGCAAAAGCCCCAAAATGGTGGAACATTTACTAGTTTCAGCTTGTAAAATAATAGATAGACCCGTAATTGTGCTGTTTTTTTATTAAACTTTTTAACGAGCTTATACCAAATCACAATAGTGTCCTTTTAAGGTTTTTGGGACAAAATGGACATCATGTTTACACTGCCATTTGGAGGTTAAATGTATTTTATGATCTTAAGATTCTCTCACGAATATGGTTTGCATCATGAAACACTTTCCATTATGACGATGAAACATTGTTTTCGCCACTCTATCTGCATGTTAAAATGTTGCAAATATGGCTGAACATGTTTTTTAAAGACAAACTACTAGGTAATCTTAAAGCAGTAATGATGTATGATTTATCAATTAAAATAGAGTATCTATATTTCTTTCGTATGAGAGTAATGTTTGTTTCTTTCACAACTAAAAAGTATCAACCTTAAAACTTGGCGAGCATAGTGTAATAATTGCCATATATTTAGTATGTAAAGCTCTAAATATGAAAGCACGTATGGCTTTTTTATACTTAAATGATATGCCTCCCAACTCAAGAAGACATGTTTAAAGAAAAGTAAAGGAAGGCCTATGAAATTGTCTTAAGTTATGGTAAGTTTTACGTAATTTAATGAAAATTAGCCATCAACTTCAAAAGGAAGTGGCCAACGTTTCTCATTTATGGCATTAAATTTAAAAGAGTGACAATAGTACATTGATTGCATAGGAACGTTTTGGTTTTCATACCCACTCCTTCCATTGACAGGGCATACTCTCTGCAGAAGGAAAAGCATGTTCACTCAGTGTTTAGATGTTATCGTTAAAATAATGATCAAAATTATTTAATGCAGTAAGCGTGCGGTTAAACAATTCTGAACAACGTACTCTTGATTGAGAAATATCTAGCTGTTACATTCTAGGATTATTGGAAAATGCTCCAAACCTACTTCAAATTGCATCGACTTCCGAAGTAAAAAAAAAACTAATCATTGTCGCTAAATCTTGTGTATTCATAGTTGCAACACTGGAAACTGTACTCCCATTAGCAGATGAATATCGGACAGAAAACTTGCTCAAAGAATGTGAAGAAGTCATCCGGAAGCACGTGGGGTCTGTCTCCGAGAGGGATATATATATACCACCATCACAGGTCGTCACATACCTACGCTGGATCGAACAATATAATCTCAACACGGTTGAAAAATGTGTTGTGAGATTAGCTTCTTTCCTAACAACTGAAGAGGTTGAGGCAGTTCCAGATTACATAAATATCAGCAAAAGACTTCAACGGGATATATCTAATGCCAGAGCCAAGCTACTTGAGAGTCTAATGGTGTCCAGTGTAATAGAAGCTGAAAGTAAGCCTATATATCCAGTTTAATTTGATGGATAATATTTCACTAGGCAAACGCAAAAAAGGGATAACAAGTTTGAAATTATTTATCATGATAGTTTTACCTAAAACATAACTTTAAAAATTTACGACAAACGTGATTAGGCAAAATTTTACACTAATTTTATCTGAATCAGTAAAAAGCTTCCAGACAATCCCCATTCCATTTTGATTGTGTTCTTAAAGAAAAGATAACAAAATAGAAATTAGCAACAGTATTCTTAGTGTAAAATTACATAAAGCCCAGACCGAGATTCAGTAGGATTCTCTTTTGTTTTTCCTGCATTTAGACAAAGATCTTTTAGGATCTGTTTGAAGTATTGGGGTGCACTGGATAGATAGTTTCTGCTCGTCAGTAAATTTTTCAGCTCGGTATGTGTCAGTTTATGAAATCTTAATTTCTGTCATGATAAAAAAAAAAAAAAAATCTTAAGTCGTAATACTATGTGACCATTAAAGATCCAGGGCCGCTAACCCTCGCTCTTATCAGCTGGATAACAGCTTGTTAAAACCGGCAGTTCCTATTTGTCTAACAGCAATATTTGTATTACTTTTCCCGTTCCTACATGTACCACACTTATTTCAAAGTTATAAAACAAAAAGGAAATACATTTTGTTTTCTTACTTGCCATAAAGATTTAGTGTGTATAATGTCACACATACTCCAATGGGCATTTTTATAAGGACGATATTTCTTGTCACATCCTGGCATGCTATCACACGTTTTTATTTGTTAATACTACTTCATTTATAAATTAAAGGGTCGTTTAGCATACCACGCGACGTAATAGATCTAAATAAATAAGTTGAAAGCACGTTTATTGCGTGAACAGTACCCCTGACCCTGTCGAACAAATAATCACCAATACGTTGGATTCCACTCCTGTGACATATCATGAATTCGCTTATGCATGATAATAACGTAAACATGGCTTCAACCCTCAGCGCGATGAGATATGTAGCAGTCGGGATAAAGCTTTCTACATTTATACTTTACATATATGTAAGTCTTAAATTAAAGGGTCGTTTAGCATACCACGTGACGTAATAGATCTAAATAAATAAGTTGAAAGCACGTTTATTGCGTGAACAGTACCCCTGACCCTGTCGAACAAATAATCACCAATACGTTGGATTCCACTCCTGTGACATATCATGAATTCGCTTATGCATGATAATAACGTAAACATGGCTTCAACCCTCAGCGCGATGAGATATGTAGCAGTCGGGATAAAGCTTTCTACATTTATACTTTACATATATGTAAGTCTTAAATTAAAGGGTCGTTTAGCATACCACGTGACGTAATAGATCTAAATAAATAAGTTGAAAGCACGTTTATTGCGTGAACAGTACCCCTGACCCTGTCGAACAAATAATCACCAATACGTTGGATTCCACTCCTGTGACATATCATGAATTCGCTTATGCATGATAATAACGTAAACATGGCTTCAACCCTCAGCGCGATGAGATATGTAGCAGTCGGGATAAAGCTTTCTACATTTATACTTTACATATATGTAAGTCTTTGGAAGTTTAATATTTGCATACCTATATTCTTATAAGTTTATGAACTTTATTACTTTGCGGCACGGTAATGTTAGCGACAAATGCACCAATGAATGTACCTTTTTGCGTTAAGAAAGTACTAGTTAAGATGTTCATTGTTAAATCAAGGTATGATGTTGTTTGAATTACCCTTTATATTTTCATGTTGATTGTATTTCCTTTCAATTATATTTAGTAAGTTATTTTGTGGTTGTTTTTGCTATTGCAGGAAAAATGAAAGAATTCCAAATCCCTCTCTCTACGTGCTATATGACTGCATGGAAAAGAAATGTAGTAGAAATTGTGAAAGTCTATCTAGCATTATCAACACTACCAGACAATGCTTTTTCAAGTAAACGGTGGAGCGTCCCAGCGCATGAATATTTGGAACGTATTGACTTTTCCTCGATTGCGTACAAGTCGCAGTACAAACCATCGATTGGTGCTAATGACGCATGTAAATATTTACGTGATAAATTCAAACTCTCGTAAATCTAAAGCAAAGCTTGTAACTATTAAAGTAACTGCATACTTACGGTGGATATTTCCAATAATCTTTGATCAGTACATTATTCGAAACATAACTGATAATGCACGTGCTAGTAAAGAACGACACTTGCTTGGAATTTGCTTTAAATCGTGAATTTAAACATTTGTATACAGACTGTATACATATAAAATATTCGCATCAGGTACTCAAATCATAAAACATTTACGTCTTATGATGAAGTGACTATATCATGATGCGTTGGTCTGTTTGTTTGATTGTAACTATAAACGAAGTGTTTCTCCCGACTCTTGATATGTAAGAAACACGTGTCTTATACTTAGCATTTATATGGTGCACGCCTCTCTCTTACCCTATACAGGTGTATACAAACACTTGCCGTTGTAAGATATACTTTGCTCTTACCCTGGACAGGTATATCCACACTTGCCGTTGTAAGATATACTTTGCTCTTACCCTGTACAGGTGAATACACACACTTGCCGTTGTAAGATATACTTGCTCTTACCCTGTACAGGTGTATACACACACTTGCCGTTGTAAGATATACTTGCTCTTACCCTGTACAGGTGTATACACACATTTGCCGTTGTAAGATATACTTTGCTCTTACCCTGGACAGGTGTATCCACACTTATGCCCAGTGTGAGATATCCTTTTCACTCCCTAGAATTGAGACGGGGGTTCCCCTATTCAAAACAATGGTAAGACGTCACGTCAAACATACAATGACGCCACGTCAACAATGCATCAACGTCACGTCAACCCTGAATTTAGCCTGAAACGTTAACACTACAATATGCATCTGATACACAGATTAAGAGAAAAAGAATCATTCACCCCCTTGAGGGTGAGGTGGGGGAATGTCAACCCTCGATAAAAAATTCCACGATCACACCTCCAAGGGGGTGATAAATTCTTTAATTCTCTCTTATAAGACAGAGATAACGATGCAATTACGTCAAATCAACAATAGCAGATTACGTTCGTTCCGATCTGCTGGAAATTAGGAAATCAACATTTGCATTTCATAAAATTACCATTTGTATTTAATGTGGGAGAAAAATAATAACTCCCTTTTATGGAGTAACACAGAAAAATCTCAACCATCAGCGTAAGATTCTTTAATATCTGGTCATCGGCAAAGCCTCGAGACTTTCATCCTCCTATCTCATATCCAACGGTATGGAACATTCTAGTAATCCCACATGAGTGAATCCATTGCGTTTTACTATTATAGCGTCATTATCAGATGACAGCAATGTCTTATGATGCCACAGTCGAACAACCGTTAAAACGTCCATTGACTGAGTGTGATAATCTCACTCTCAGTAAGTGATAGCACGTCGGGAACAGTATGTAGGTGTAAGTGATATGGAAAGTGTACCCGTGGGTATATAATTTAATTGGTGTCAGAACCTAGGCAAGTTTGTTTAAATTTTGTTTATATCCGTGTGGTCAGATACTTACTATATTGTGGTAGTAGATATTCTTCAACGAACAGAAATGTCAATTTAATGACGTGAGGTATCATATCGAAATGTCTTCACGTTTCGAAACATCAGCCGATTTAGTACTGAACACATTGAACGCAAACGTTGATTTCACGCACGCACTAGTCAATATTTAAACTATACTTGTTCCAGAACTAGGATCACTGGTTTCCCATACGTGGGTAGCTCCTAACCGGGGTCATTAAGTGCAACTTTGTCGGATAAAGTTATCCCACATCAGTGTTCTACATGAGACACCTGTAGTTTGTATACAAAGAGGTGAGAGAAGAGCTTTATCAATTATGGATTTTTTTAAAGAAATAATTCATACTTCAATATCAGTATGGGCGTGTTGCTTAATTGTAGTTTAACATTGCACTTAAAAAAAAAAAAAAAATCAAATATGGACTTTTCGTTTCCTTGTTCATAGCTCTGTTGCGTCCCAATTTGTAACAACAACCCAATTTGTAACAACATAGAGTGTTGTGTAAAGTGAGTTGAAGTGATTAGTTAGTAAAAACAATGATCATGATATATTAATCACTTCCCACTCATTTGATATGATCTATAGTCCTTTGTTGATGTATCAGTTTTGCTAGGGCTTAATCGTGCCGTAATATAGAGAGGATATATTCTGACATACTCGTGAAGTATAAATGGTATTAAAAAGGAAAACATTTTTTGTTCATTATTTATTCCATTTGATACCACGAAAATTTTGCTGCATCAAAAGGTGCAGGAATTAGTAGCATACTATTTGACGCCAGATTTTAATGACGTCACGATTGAACATAAGACAAAGCGCAATTTTATTATCTGGTTTGATTAAGAAACAAAAATAATATCGATTGTTTAGTAACATAAATACCAAATCAACTACTAATTCTACCGTCGCTTCACCTGAACTAGAAACTGAAAATCTACGCAATCAATAAAAAGGACCATGCTGATTGGACAATATTAAAAGTGATATCATCACATGTGAGGATGTAACATTTCAGTGAAGTGCAATGAAGATGTTAGTTTTTATCAAATGGATAATTCATGATATTCAACTGGTAAAATGTAATAAATCTAGATACACATGTGGAGTGACTGCTTCCTTCCATGCTCCTGTAGAGGATGTTTCAAAACATGCCAGCGCTAAAAAAAATGTTTACTGGGTTTTGTATGTATTATTCTAGGCCGCTTTCGTTTATCGCGATTCAAACGATTGGAACGGTTTGACCAGAGTTGTTCGTTTATGAAATAAGTCAGACCTAGTAATTTGATGTCGGTTTCAATAGAAAAGTATACTGTCGTTTTAAACATACAACAGTATGGTACGCTGTAATAAATTCACACCACATATGTAATATAGTATTCATAGCAAACAATTTGTGTAAATACTGTTACTTGTATTTTGTTTCATAATAAACTTTGTCTTGTTTAACATTTTTTATTAGCAAATATAATAATAGGGCTCGTATTACATAAAATGTAACCACAAAATGCTTTATGAATTCGATAGCTTTTACATTGTACATATGTCAATACTTGTAATTACGTTCAATAAAAAGGATTTGTCATAAATATTGATTTCATGTATTTCATACTTCAAAAATAAAAATTAGTGAGGGTCGACTTTCCCAATAAAAAAAAATCCAGTGGAAACATTTTCCGAAATTGCTCAGGAATAACTCGTGATCCCAGGAAGTTTAAGCGATTATTGTCGTGAATTTGAATGAAAATTGACTACGATTTATATTTGTTACGTCAGCATATGTGTGATGTTACGTCTTACTGGTTGGAATATTATTGGTCGGTTTCGTCTTGAAATAGGCATAGGAAAGAACAAGAGTTTTTTTTCTTATGCTATGTGAAACTGACACATCGACAATAACACCTTATTCGTGATTACACCTATTTCAGAACAAAAAAAAAGAACTTCGTGACTACACCTATACCAAAAGGGCCCGCGGTGGCCAAAGGGGTTGGACCTACGTGGGCCAGTCGCCAGGTACAGGCCGTTGGTCGGTGGGTTTTCTCCGGAAACTATGGCTTTCCTCCACCATCAAAACCTGGCACGTTCTTAAACGACCGAACCTTTTAATTAAGGTTTGAAATGCATCTTTTTAACATTTATGAGGGTATGCAACACAGTTCCGTTCAAACATAATCCATTTTGCGCGTTAGCGTGATGCATTTCAAACCTTATATTTACGTTCTATTACATCAACTTTTATTATTTGAAATTAAGAAAAAAATGTCTTTTTTTCACGTTAAAAAGCAAAACACCGTCATGAAAACAACATTAATTGAACAGCCTTTTTCGTGGGAAAGATGATGAGTTGTCAACGTTGACGAACAGTTGAGCAATTAAATGATTTAATGTATAGAACTAGCATGTTTATCAAGCATTGATTAGCCTAAAAATTGAAAGTAGATTTTAATTTAAAACAAAAATACCCTATCAAATATTTTAGTTGCAAAAAGTTAGAAATTTATTCCGTGTTGGCGGAGATAGCTGACCATTAAAAAACCGTTGTGCATCGGCTACGCTTTCAACAAGATAGAAAGTGAATCTGTGAATCTGTGAAATGGGGAGTTTCCTAAGAAACCAGATGACGACCTAAAAGATGATGTTGGCTGATTTCTTGTGTCGATTGACTGTGTCAACAAGACTAGCTCATCGTTTGAGCCTTCGGCATGTGTTACTGTCGATGAGGGGACTTGTCGACTAGCCGGGACGATTTCACCTGCTTCGCCACTTGCGGATTCTGTTCCGTTGAAAAGGACCTGTTATAGGATACGCTTCGGTGGCTCGACATAAAGATGATGTGCCTTGATTCAAACACCAGTCATTCCATATTTTAGGGACAAGCCTGCGGCGTCGCTGTCAGACATATTGGCTGGATCACAGGGGTTCTTATAAATGTGTGTGGCTTGAGTAAGGCCTAGCACACGACGTATTTTAGACTTTGAGTACGCGGACTTAAATTTCTTTAAAAATGGTAATTTCTTGTTGATAGTATCACAAAAAGGATTATTAAAATGTATTTACGTGTATCTTAACCGTTGATAAACAATCTCGTTTTGTTTTGATTTGTTTGTGTCTGTCTGTGTGTTTGGGAGGGGGGGGGTCATGTAACGGTACATGTAGTACTGTTACTATCACTACACACTTGCTTTTATTGAATCATGCAAACATTTTCAGTTGGTACTGTTAACTAGAGGCACTGCAACACAAATGTAAATATTAGGACGTAAAACACAAACAAACCGAACCAAACACCTATAAATAGCTACACCTATTTTGCGTAACATATATGAATAGCTATGATTACACCTATTTGACGTAACATATATGAATAGCTATGATTACACCTATTTCACTTAACATATATGAATAGCTATGATTACTCTTATTTCAGGTTACATAAATAAATGACCATGGCCTTGGTCAAAAACAATATACTTTATAAGAATTCAATAATGTCCACTGTGGTGTTATCTCATAAAATTCTTGACAATTTTGCCAGTGAATAATATAGTGTTATTATTCAGCTGATATCATATTGACCCAGTTATTAGGACGAGGTATGTGACTTCGACCTCGGGCCAATATCACAGACCAAGGCCTAATAACTGGGCTAATATGATATCAGCTGATTTATGACCCTTTTATTAATTAACAGTGAATATTTGGAATACATAAATTTAAACAATAGTTCAAGAATAAAAAAGTAAAACAATTTTATTTCATACTTTTCCAAACCCAGACATCAACAAATCTACTGATGTTAGCCCGAGCGTCACTGTCGTCTGCTGCTGGGGGAACAATGTTGACATTCTTCGAATTTTCAATTTCCTCATGAGTTAATGTCAGTTCTTTATCCGTAGAAACAATTTCGGATAGAACATCCTACCTGTCTTCAATAAATACCCCTAACATACCCTCCCCACTTTTTGCATGTTGATCATCTGTCCTCTTGATCAGCGACTCCTACATCACGTCCATTGTTGTTGTTTGTGTTGACACGGGACGGTACGTAAAAAAGAACCAAAAACCACGATAAATTCCAAATGAAGTGCACGCTCGATTTGGTGCATTTTTCATATTGGTCGAATTGAAAGTCGGCCAATATCGGGAAAAAGTCGACCAAAATAATTTTGGCCGAGTTGTGGTAATTTTATCAATATAGGCCGAGTTTGGTTTGCTCGGCCAGAAAAGACATACGAATGTAATATATTATATAGCTAAATAATAAGATGTGATATGAACCTTAAATGTGAGGTTCGCCTCGGTCAATATCACATTTTCAAAATAATATCATTTCATGCACATATGTACCAGCACAAATTATTATTCTGGCTAGTTTTAGAAAATACAAACGAAGACTATAGTACGTTAAAATCCGAGAGTGTTTATAAAGACGGCATAAGTAAATGAACTATTGTACCTTGTTTCGTATTTTCCGTAAAAAGTTTTTTTAAGGATGTTGAATTGTATATAAATGCTCTATACAAAAGGAATGGTGCACCTTGGCTGAGTCAATGAAAGCCTCCTCACGGTTATAAACAATACATACACATCATGATCACAGAAAACAATAATCTTGTTTCAAGCCTCTTTGTTTTGTTTCGAAACCTTTGCAACTCGCGTACTTAATTTTTCTGAAGCCTTTTTTTCAAAAAATGGAACACAACGCAACGATAGAAATTCGATGCTTCTCGCATTTCACTTTTTTTGTTTCACACGAATGTCATTTATGTTATTTGGTTAGGGTCTTTTTTTCTGAACGAATTTCTCAGTGTTATTTTCCGAGAGCAGTGCTAATCTCTTTTGTACTTTCATATCGGTAGCAATGGCCTTTTTAATGAGTCAGGCCTATCTAATTTAGTGTTATAAAGTTCTAATTCTAATCTGTTGTCTTGCTCATCAATATCAAGAGCCACCCCATCAAATTTACTTCGTGTATCTGTCTAGCGAATTAATTACAACATTGATAAGTAGTACAGCGCATAGCAATTTACTATCGTGAGAAATAGTGAATTGTACCTACTGTTTGAAATATTATACTGTAAAAGTACTGATTTTAGCGGACTCAAATCTAAGCGTTTTCTAGAATTGAGCGGATTAAATCTAGCATAAATAAATTAGCTCACAATATGCTCAATAGAAAACAATATGCAAAATAATTAATCAGCGTAATTATAATTAAGCGGAATCTTAAAGCGACAAAAGAGATAATACTAACACATTGTTAAAATATGTACGTGAACAGTATTAACTTGTACATATTATAATACAAATAATACAGATTATAAAATACAGTGATCCAAAGTTTATCATACTGGTACATTCCGTAACAATTTACCTGATTCCCTCAAGGCCGAGCGGAATGCTGTGCTGAGTGCCTTCGGCTTGGTATTTCAGTGAGATAGCACTACATAGTCGGAATCAGATCTGCGCTATCACAAGGTGGCACGTATACCCACATACTTTCCCTTTAGCACACATACCAACATGCACGCTCACATAACACACATTGAGGCACATCCTTAAATGACCTTAGCTGTTGATAGTACATTCAACCCAAACAATCAATTTAAGGCTGGTAATCTGTCAACTGTCCTTGACCTGATTATTTTAGCCTTTCTGAAAGTAACGCACATACAGGTGATTACGGGGTCATCTCTGATAGTGATAGTGATTAAGTATTACTTACATAGATGGTATTGATGAGGCTAAGTGATAGCACAACAACTCTATATTTTCCAACTCTCCGCCATTTTATATTCGGCTCTTATCAGCAATGTGTAATGATCTGATTTGATATGACGGGACTTAAATAATTGCATGATGATAGTCATTTGGAATATCTTATTTAATTTCGTAAAAAAAAAATGTCAGAAATAGAAACTCGAACAGAGTCTTCAGTAATACCAAATATATTTCACTCGTGTGGCTAATATTTTGATCTCTTTCACTCGTGTTGTGCACTCATGAAATATATGAAAATATTAGCCACACGAGTGAGAAAAATTAAGTATTACTGAAGTCCAAGTTCAAGTTAAAGTTCATATATTTCCTTACGCTTTACAGCTCATCAGTTGTGCATATATACAGTGCAACATAAAGTAAACAATTAAACAACAACACACATACACACCACTTCCGCACCTACTCCTAGAAGTGTATAGAGATATCTTGCACTGATTAAAATAATGTTATTAATAAATGAATAATATTTGATGATAAGGACATATTCATTTATGACTGACAAACACTAGACACAAATGACTTAATTCAGTTCATTTTTGTTGTTTTCTACTAGCGATTCTTACATGTTTGGCCAAATTAGTTTAAAAAAAAATATTTTCTATGGATAACAACTTAATAAATTAAGTCAGATATCCTCTATATATTCAATTAACTTATACCCTACGTAGACGCGAACTTCTCTTTATCTCATCATTGTTAATTAAATTTTTGAAAATCAGAATTGCACGATTCCCTATCAATTGGTATATGAAGGTGCAAATTTAACACTAAATCTCCGTTTTCATTTTGGAAAGTGATAATTAAAGTATTTTCTGTTTCGTTTTACATATAATGTTATAATACATATCACTTCTACTAAATTTTAAAGTGTACATAGTCTGTGTCGCTATAGATATATTACTTGATATATCTATCTATATGTTATACTCCACAGAAACCAACATGGCTTTAATGGGTTTTATATTCCTTTCATAATATCTTTCCTCTGGTACAATGTCATTCTATGTTAACAAATGGTTCTTCTGGTCATTGATTGGATGTAGTGTTATTTGTTTTAGTCATAAACAAAGATATGCGCAATATGTGTAGGCCAATTCAGAAACTACTGGGTGTATAATCATGAAACTACACACATATACTCATTAGGGGTTCTATGTGTGCAACAAGCTATTTTTATCTCGACCGGAAGTCCAAGATGGCCGCTATGAATTTCTGAAATTTTTGGGAATTGAAAATTTGTGTTCGCTAAGGTTAGCCAATGTCACCTATCCCATTTTACATGTTTTACATATATTTTCCAATGCATTCCAAATTTGGCATGTAGGTGTATGATGGTACCGCAAACACAATTATGACATCGTTTTCTAATTAAACAAAATGGATGCCATATACTGGTTTCTGATTGGTCGAAGCTCCGTTGTAGTTCGATTTAGTTTGTATGTAGTATGTATGTGCAATATGGCATTGCAAACTTAACTGCGACATTTGTTTTCTAATTTGACAAAATGGCCACCATATACTGGATTCTGATTGGTCCAAATATAGATGTTGTCTGATTTTCCCCGGAATCGGTACATAAGGGTTTTTAGTGATGCCGAACACAATGGTAACAGTTCCGAAAAGCTCACTTACCATGATAACGAAATGGAGGCCTCTGATTGGTCGAAGTTAAGAAGTTGTCTGATTCTGTTCAAAATAAGTACATAAGGATTTTTAGCGATGCCAAACACAATGGTAACAGTTTCGAACAACTCAGTTGCCATGGTAACGAAATTTGACCCTCTGATTGGTCGAAATTTAAATGTTGTCTGATTCTGCCCAGAATTGGTGCATAGGGGTTTTCAGGGATGGTAACAGTTTCAAAAAAATCAGGTGCAATGTTAACTAAAAGGGAGGCCTCTGATTGGTCGAAATTTAGATGTTGTCTAAACACGTAGGGTATAAGTTAATTGAATATATAGAGGATATCTGATCTGATAGGTACCGGTTTTTCTAACCATGCAAGTGGTAAAAAAGATCGAGATCAAATATTTTCAGCTTGATATGTCGCTTCGCGTTCCGGGGTCGTTTTTCGTAAAAAAAATGTAAGAAATAGAAACTCGAACAGAGTCTTCAGTAATACCAAATATATTTCACTCGTGTGGCTAATATTTTGATCTCTTTCACTCGTGTTGCGCACTCATGAAATATATGAAAATATTAGCCACACGAGTGAGAAAAATTAAGCATTACTGAAGTCCAAGTTCAAGTTAAACTTCATTCATTTCCTTAAGCTTTACAGCTCATCAGTTGTGCATATATACAGTGCAACATAAAGTAAACAATTAAACAACAACACACATACACACCACTTCCCCACTTACTCCTAGAAGTGTATAGAGATATCTTGCACTGATTAAAATAATGTTATTAATAAATGAATAATATTTGATGATAAGGACATATTCATTTATGACTGACAAACACTAGATACAAATGACTTAATTCAGTTCATTTTTGTTGTTTTCTACTAGCGATTCTTACATGTTTGACCAAATTAGTTATTTCTTTTTTATTTTCTGTGGATAACAACTTAATAAATTAAGTCAGATATCCTCTATATATTCAATTAAATTATACACCACGTAGACGCGAACTTCTCTTTATCTCATAATTGTTAATTAAATTTGAAAAAATCAGAATTGCACGATTCCCTATCATTTGGTATATGAAGGTGCAAATTGTTTTCTGTTTCGCTTTACATAAAATGTGATAACTTGTTATACTATATATCACTTCTACTAAATTTTAAAGTGTACATAGTCTGTGCCGCTATAGATATATTACGTGATATATCTATCTATATGTAATACTCCACAGAGACCAACATGGCTTTAATAGCTTTTATATTCCTTTCATAATATCTTTCATCTGGTACAATGTCATTATATGTTAACAAATCACTGTGGTTCTTCTGGTCATTGACTGGATGTAGTGTTATTTGTTTTAGTCATATACGAAGATATGCTCAATATGTGTAGGCCAATTCCTTATACTACGCATGTGTATAGCAAGGTCACATGTTCCTTGTTGACAACAAAACGACACCACAATGGCGTAAGTATTTCGTAACAGGACATATGTGTTGATGAGCTATTTAACAAACTTAACATATGTGTCTGTATGAAGTGTTTGTATAACCGTCTATCTAGTTAACCAATGTAGTTCATATTCATTTTTGTTTGTTTGTTTATTGTGGGTTACATATTTTAACGTTATCCCAACAGCTAAAGTCACACAAAGGCTAGTGCAAAGCAAGGAAGTGAACACAAAAACAATTCTTGGTTTCTATTGTTGCAACAGGGACAGCAGTTTTTCCTTCTTTACTGACCCCAAAGCAGAAGTAAAAACACGGTTCTGCACGGGAGGCATAGATATGTGCATTCTTTGCTGCCCTGTGTGGGCCGGAGTTGATAAAGATGATCTTCTGCCTGTAAAGTCTAACCCGTCGACAATTTTTCTCGGTATAGACGTACATTGACAAAGTGCTTAAATTAGAGTTTACATACAAATGTGTTCGTACAGTGGGTCCGTATGTCGCCGTCTGATCTGTTATCGGTATATTAATGCTTTGTTTAAATAGCTCGTTTACATGTTAATCGTAGCGTTAAATTGGTTCTCTAATGCATACCTTGCGGTGTCGGGTGTCACACTTTAAAATCATCGACTAAAGGATTTGCAAACAACAAATACGCATAGCCCGATTTAGGGCATCCCCGATCTCAAAATAAACGTGTAAGTAAATGTAATGTAATGTAATGTACGAGGACTTATCAACTTCTTCAATATACGAAGGCTAGTGCATTGGGAGATACCACCGAAACGAAAGAATGATGAAGTGAAAAAAGACAAATCTTGATTACAAATGTTTAAATGGGGATAGCATATTTTTTCTTTTTCATCAACACAAAGCCGAAGAAATATTAACTCGATGAAGGACTTGCAAACAAATAAACACTCACGTTCGATATATCATACCTGTACTAGCCCGAACTTATATTAAAAGGCACTGTAGTCTGGTGGTAGGACGCCAGGCTCGTGACTGAAGGGTTGCGAGTTCGAGTCGCGTCAGGACACTTTGTTGTATTTTTGAGCAACATACTTTACTTCTCCTGTTCCAGTCTAATCAGCTGTAAATGAGTACATTGTTGTGCAGTGATGGAATTGTTAAATGCTAGCTGTTAGCGCCTAAGTGGCAGCGCCGGCTGTATGCTCTCCAAGGAGTTGCGAAAGATATTGGCTGGTTGCAAAGGCCTAATAACCACGGAAAATAATTTGTGAGACGATCTACGACCTAGGTTGGCATAAAGCGGTATATAAGAACCGCGGATTATAATAATTATGATAATATAACTTATTCTTGTTGGCCCAGATGGAAGCGCGCTAAAAATCTGAAATCATTATTGTTGGTCCGGAAACCCACATGGTCGAGCAGGTCGCCCCGTACATTTTACGTCTGACAGGTAATCGATCCCCGGCCGTCTTTGATGAAAAACGAATGCGCTATCAATTGCGCCATTTGATCACCTGAATGCTGGTCAGATAACATTCGCCATATAATCTTATTCTATGTGAACAGGACAAAAGATAAAATAATTAAATAGCTAAATACATAAATGAAAATAGTAGAAACAAAAACTACAGGCATTTCACTACGTAAACATATCACTACAGTGATAAATGCTCTTGTTACACAAATAAAACTGTATATTCAGTTAATCCATACACTATGTAAACGCGATCAACTCCTTATCTCATAATTGATATCGAATTTGTACAACGATGATTTAGTGGTCACCCATCAATTGTCTATGTAGCTGCAAACTATACACTAAATCTCGGTGTTCGTGTTGGAAGTAACAATCAATATATTTTCTGTTTCGTTTTACACAGTATAAGACAATATAATATTATATTATTTATGACAATATTATGTATTTATATCTATCACTGATACTAATTTATAAAGTGTACAATTCTGTTTCGCTAAATATTTTACGGGATGAACATTTCATTATATCTGTAATCTGTTAAATGTCTTTTTATTTTGACTAAATACTGGGGCTATTCTGGTCATTGGAATGATATAGTGTTATTTGTATTAGTCATGTACAAACATTCCCATTCCTTATACTGTGCATGTACATAACAGGATCACATGTTTCTTGTTGGCAACGGATACGGCGATACAATGCCGTAAGTATTTCGTAACTTGATAGAGGTTCAGTTGGTGAGCACTTAAACAAACATCATGCATGTGTTTGGATGTAGTATTTACATAACCCTCCCTCTAGTTATAGTCCATGTAATTCCCTGTTACACTTATTGTTGCATTCTTTATTCCTTAACGAATTAAAGATTTGCAAACATCCAATACACTTAGCACGATTTAGGGCATCCTGGAAATCAACACAAAAGTGAAAGTTCATGTTTTATGTACGTGGACTTCAATATACTTCTTCAATATACACTTGATCAACAGAATTGGAAAACGTGTACATAATGTACACATCTGTTTGTTTGTTTGTTTGTTTGTTTGGGATTACAGAAATTAACGTTCTTACAGAAGTTAAAGCCATTCTAGTACATTGGGAGATACCATACAAACGAAGGAATAAGGGAGTGGAAACAAACAAATCTTAATCACAAATGTGGCAATGTGGACAGCAAATTTGTATCTTCTCCCCTGACCCCAAAGCAAAAGTAAAAACCCGGTTCTGCATGGAATGCACATATATGTGCAGTCTTTGTTATCCTGTGTGGGCCGGAGTTGATAAAGAAGATAACAAGTATTGTCCCAGTATTGTATCTACTGCCTGTCAATTCTTACCCGTCGACAATCTTTCTCGGTATAGACGTACATTGGCAAATGGTTTAAAGTGGGGTTGATATACAAATGTATTCGTATAGTAGGTCTGTATGTCGCCGTCTGATCTGTTACCGGTAGTTTAATGTTTCCTTAGCATAAGTAGCATTCGTGTTCCACCTGCATACTTTGTGGTATCGGGTATTTTTCGTTAATCTCACCGAATAAGAGATTGGCAAACAACCAATACACATAGCCCGATTAATGGTATCCCGGAAATCAAAACGAAAGTGAAAGTACGTGGTTTATGAACGAGGACTTCAATTTCTTTAATTTACACATTGCCAAATATGAAATAAACTGTTTATGATACGCTTGAGTAAAAATACAACACTAGACTTAATCACTTCTGTTAATACGTGCTTAGTTGCTTTTGTTATTTATCTTACTTAACACTAAATAATATTTGAATGACTTTCAGAAAAGATACAAACACATTCTCGTCTCGGGCATCATATTTTCTAACAGTTGGAGTCAATGATCAGTTGACTCTGATTGAGATGGAAACTATGAGAACCGCACTAGCAAACTCGTCCGGGATCAGTCATGATCAATTTATTATTATCGTGTGTCGTTACATCGGCGACTATGTTTAATATTCAACTATATATGTACAAGTACATGAGTATTTGTACGACATATTAGCGGTGTTATTGATGATGATGATGATGATGATGATGATGATGATGATGATGCGGTATTGGAGTAGCGCTTAAATGGATTCTGTCACAGACATAGCAGAATCTAAGCACCAATTTCATTAAATCATTCATTGAAAACGTGAGCATCCGATAGTCTTCCGTTGAAAAAATGGATGCTTTTTGGTATCCAAACAGTGCTATGGTCTAAGTTTTGATTGAAATAAAGCATTGTTGTGCCAAAGGTTTGACAAATTGAACTTAAAAGTTTAATGCAAAATCGTCCAGGGTACTAAGCATCGTTCGTCGATCTAATAGCAAAAATGCCTAAAAAAAATAAAATACTAAGTAACTATCTAATCATTTTGGTGTATATAAAAACCGAATGGGATCTGTTAAGCTAAAATATATTTCGATTTAGCAGCCGGTTATTAAATATTTGTTGTGACACAAAGAAAGATAAATACATTCTCCGTGCGAAATAAGGTTTCAGTTTTGAATATAACTTTATTTTTTATGATGTGTTGTGTTATCATATCGGCTACCATCATACTAGGAATGTAAGTGACAAATCGAAAGTGAATGTATATGTGGATTTACATTGCCGCAAGGAATTGTCTCAATTCAGGTTGCAATCATAGAAATACTGTCAGACTTGGCTTGTGTCTAAGTGGGAAAAACAGGAAAACTGATAACTTTTATAATCACTACAGACTTCAGGAAGACGATGTTATAATTCCAAACCTCAATGCCCCATGTGATCATGACGAGAAATCAGACGAGGAGTCGAATAACGATAAAGATGATGTACCACTTTCTCCAAAGCAGCACAGGAAGGTGAGGAATAAAACGTGAACCCAAAGTAACAGGACGCTTAAACATATCATTTAATCAATCGATATCATATTGGGAAAATGGTGACATTTCACTGGTTTGAAAGATATATTTATTTATATATCTGTAGACATACAAATTGAACATCAACACGGTAAATAACGTTTTGAAGTCAAACTGCCATCTTCAGGCAATTGATTTAAATGTTTCGGTTACAACATTATGACGTTATACAATTAATACATATACTGTATTGAGTATTGATTGTTTTGTGTCATAATGTAATAAACATATACAAAACCAAATCAATATAAGATCTTTTCAGATCATATCGATGTTAAAACATTCCATAACACAGCAATCATATAACTTGTTACTTGTTCTTTGTAAGATTCTGCAAATCATTGCTCTATAACCTAGTGGCTTTGGTTAAAGAGGCGCAACTGCTGAAGTATACGTATATTCTCATTTTATAGTCAATAACCCTGAAAAATAGCCCTTCAATATAAACAATCGGAAGAAGGCATATATGCAATGGGTTGCCAGAATAATTGCTCAAAGCTTTCAATATTATTCAATGCAAGACGGCTCTTTTGATGTGTCAAGTAATATTTCTTGTAAACCCTTTCTTGCTTAGATTGATCCAGGCATCCTGCCAAACAATGTGGTTCTTGTAATTGAGGATGAACATCTTCATGTAAACAAAACTTTACTGGAATCTGCTTCACCTATTTTTGAGGCTTGGCTTAAGAAAGAGTGTCAAAAAGACGAATGCACTGACGACACGAAAAGGGAGCTGAAATTCCCTGGGAAAACATATGATGATATGGTCACATTCCTAAAATGTCTTCTTCCCAATTTTGCTGACAATGTTACAGGTAATTATGAAGCATACATATATCTGATTGGTTAACAGAAATAGATTAAATTCAGGTCAAGTTCTTTCAGAAGACCCAGCGGATCTGCAGCTAGCTGGATCAACAGTTTGGTCTCATTTTGCTACTAAAAATCATCTACACGAGAGAAAACTATTACATGCACTGATATTAAAGGATACTTAATCACGCTGTTTACGTAATCATGCGTATATTTGATATTTGTCAGATTCAAACCGAATCGAAACTAATCTCCTGCATTCGGGTTTCCGAGTGTTACACTTTGTCAGAATAGTAGTGAAGGAAAGAATATATCATATTTTTCATATATACTTGCCAGGCGAAGATGTCTGTACTTAAGGATCCCTGTCTCACTGCAGTATTTTCCCTTATATACAGTTACCTCCCCTTAACTTTCGTTAAGACATAACTGAAGCACAGTTTAATTGACCATGGACATTTTTAGTTCAAGCGATTGTATAGGAATCTGAAGTCCAGGGTTCGAATCCCAGTCAAACTCCTCTTATCGTTTTACACTCATTCAACTGTTGTTGAATTATTGATATTTTGTTTATTCATCTCTTATTACTCATTAAAGTTCCACGAGGTATACTTTTTTTTCGGAAATGATTTTTCAAATCTCTAGTCATGCTCGAAAAAAAACATTTTCAAAAACTTATTTACAGTGTTTGGCAGTGGTACGGGGCTCCTTATTAAACGAACACCCATAACTGGGGGGAAAGGAAATCATAAAATGGATTTTGTCGTTACCGTTTAGAATGTTATTTCTCTCTACATGTTACACACATGAAATATGCAAATGCATTCTTTCGTATTCACAGATAAAACACTCGATACAGTGCTTCCCTTAGCAGATGAATATCGGTCAGAAAAAATGATCACAGAATTTGTAGAAGTCATCCGACAACGCATGGAGTCTGTCTCCGAGGTAGATATATACATACCCCCATCTCGAATTGTCACATACCTACTCTGGATCGAAAAGTACAACCTTCAAACGGTGAAAGAAGTGGTTGTGAAATTAGCTTCGTGCCTAAGCGGCGAAGTACTAGAAGCAGAGCCAGGCTATGAAAATATCGGGCTTACACTTCAGAAGGAGATATTTACAACAAGAGCAAAGCTACTTGCGAGTCTGTTTGTGAGCAATGTAACTGAAGCCAAAGGTATGTTCGTTTTGCTTAAATAAGACTTTATTTAATTTACTTCAATTATTAAATAACATGTTATATCAACTTATATTAATCTTGTTGACCCAGTTGGTAGTGCATAGGATGTATAATTGTGAGGAATCCGAGATATCCCTAACCAATTATCATGACTAAAGGTTTGTGGAACTATTTATTCCAAATAGCCTGTATTCACATTTGATCACATTTTTTAAATGATGCACACTTAACAATGTCGGTTTTATCTTAACTCTTAAGTGTTTACTCTTTCATTTCTCAACTTTATCACATAGTTTTGCCATTTATTTGCATAAAATTATGCTATTTTAACTTTCCATATCATATATTATTAGTGAATATATGGTATTTTTCAAGCAACAGTTTTTTTATGTTGTATTTCATTTAAATATATATACTGAAAAGATCAGAAAACACAGAGTAAACATTTGAAGTGATTTAATGTTAAGTATTTGAATGTTATGTACAATATTTTCTTCATATAAGTATAAAGAAAAATCTTTAATGAACAAAATAATGGAGCACATTTGACAGTACCCCCCAATATCACAGAGTGAGACCGATTGATTTGTCATCTGGCACAGCCCTGATCTCTTGTGCATGGAGTTCATCAGTGCATTTATCCTTCTCATTGGGATATTGTTCCGCTCTTTCAACAAGAAAGTCCTTAGTTGGTCGAGAGTATCGGGGACATTCCGACGCTTCCTTACCCTCTTATCAAGTTCGTCCAACAAATGTTCAATTAGGGAAAATGTTAACTATAGGGCGGCCAGTCTAGTGGGTAAATGTTATGGTTTGTGAGAAAGTCACGACAAACTTTGGGTGCATGGGGCCGGGCATTATCATGGTGGAAAATTTGGTGATGTTGTTGCACAAAAGGAACTGCAACCGGACGGAAGATTTTATTCTTCTTTGTTACAGCGGTTAAATTCCCGGCTACCACAATCCACGATGACTTTACTCCGTGAGATATCCGTCCCTAGACTATAACCGAGCCACTTCCAAACCTATTCCTCTCAAGCGTCGGCGAAGCGTTCCCCACGACGACGTCGACCGTCCGGACAAAAAAGAGTGAACCGGGACGGTGAAAAAGAATTTTCCCCATTGCCTCATTGGAAATCGTTGTTTGGGCAAACCAAGCCATACGACCCACGCGACTGAGCTCGTGCAATCGGTTCCTTACAGTTTTGGCGTGAAGTTGGCGAATATGATTGCCTCCTTAACATTAGCGGTTTCAGTGGTAGTACATATGCGATTATGCCGGTTAGACAAATAGCACTGTCTCTGAATTTCTGTCAGCCGTATCATGATTGCAAGAGATTCAAATTGACAATAAATAGCGGAAAGCGATGTGTATACCTCAAGAGTATCGAGTGGTATGACAAGATGTGTTCACGAGCTTGTCATCATTATTCTGTACTTTTTT